CGTGCAGCGTGAACGTCCGGCTACGTGCACGGCTCGCTCATCTGTCGCTGTGAATGCAGCTGGCACGTCTGCATATCAGTGACATGGATCCGGGATCCGGGACCCGCTCCGACATGTCACTATGTCTGAATACAATGGACGGTCGTCGTATGGCGCCCGCTACAGACTGAGTGGGACGTATCGGGACAATGGAGCCGGTCAGCAGATCAGAGGGGTCACCCCGGCGTGAGGACAGGTCAGCAGGTACCGTGCGGAGGATGGTTTTGACTGGCTTGGAGCGTCAGCAACCACCGGACTAAATCCAATCCAGCCCTGACCTGACGCCTCAGACAGGACCCGTTTGTCAGTGAAGGTCGACAAAGGAGGCTGGCCGTTCTATTTTGGTCCGCTCGGCGCCGCGTGCGGTGCGGACTTGGCGCCGCCGAAAAAAGCGTCTGCCGCGTGTCCCGAAGGTGTCACGCCACCCGTGTTGGTTATGTTTATCAGCGCGAGACGCGGCGCCGCGGAACGTGTCTGCCGGCCGGGTTTGGTGAGCCTCCGAGGATGTAACGCTGTCCTTGGGGACCGGACGGTGCGAGCGACCGGCCGTGGCCGTCACTGTCCTCTCGAGAGTCCTCACTGTCCTCAGAGAGTCTCCGTCTTCCGCCGTACGAGGCGCCGGGGACAGCGGGGTGACAGCTGGCCGTCTTATCTTCAGCTCGGCGCCTGGATTACGAGACAGCAGTCACTCGCGGCAGATAACACTCTTTCGTGTCCTTGGAGCTCAGCCGAAGAAGCCCGTCCAGTTCCCACTGAGAAAATCCTGTATAAAGTGTTACAACTCAACCTCAGAATAGCCGCCTACTGACCGTCGCTCGACGCTCTATCATTCGGCCTAATTCCGCCAAACCCGCCCCTGGCCAGGCTTCGGGACACATTGCCGGAACTGGACCATTTCACCGGCCCAGCTGTTGTTCATTAGCGGGTGACAGATCATCAGGTTAGGTTAGCGTCAACTATGTATCCTTTCGCAATTCTGGGTGTCAGGTTGAATATGACACAGGCACAGAGTCCCCGCTGCTGCGATTTTCGACTCGGCCCCACCCATCGGGAGTCGTGCCATCGGGACAGGAGAACAAAGGGGTTCCGCCCGGCCGACCGATGGATGGAACGACGACCGACGACGTTGGCGATGATTTATGGCGCCGGCTAGATGACCCTGGCCGTGGCGGGGCGGGATGACCTCCGGCCGGTGCCGACCCGGAACCGACGTCAGCTCAGCGCTGAGCGCGGACCGGGCTCCCGCTCGCACCCCGGCGGGGGCGGCGCCGGCCGATCGATGAGGCGGCCGACGCCGGTTTTTCGTCAGCCGCCGCTCTGCCAACGGGGCCTGCCCCCGGCGCACGCCCCCGACACGTGCCGGCCGGCACTGTTGACGCCAAAATCAACTCCCTCGCCCCTGTCCCCCCCCCCCCCGAATTCCTCCGATGGCGCTCCGGCCCGCCCACCGTGCCAGCGTAAACTCCGCTCCTCGTCGCGTCAAACATTGCAGCTATTTGGGAATCGGTGGCGGCGTGTTGTGGCTCAGTAGCGAATTCTCGTTTTAGCCAGGCCTTTCTATTCATATTGCCTTAGGCCGTGGAGATGCCTCTCAGACTTAGTGACCCCCAAGTTAGAGACGCTCTCAACTGGGGCATTGCCGCTGGCTACCGTGCTCCGATCCAGGAAGTCTGCGCCGCAGGGCAACTTTATCCTCGTGCTCTCATTGCCGGCCGTAACCGATTCCATCCGAGCCGTGCCAGCCGCCGCGGCCGCTATTGTCCCAGCGATATCGCCGGCTCAGCAGGCGACACCACGGGCCATAATCCCAGTCTTCAGCACGGCCGCAGCGCCTCTACTGCCTCGGGCCGAGGCCACGTGACCGGTCGTGCCCCGGGGCGGCGCGCTGTGATTGGTGGACGGATCGGGTGGCGCGGGGCCCGTGTGTCGCGTTGTTGGGTCCCGGCCAGCCCCCTTCCCCTGTGACGTAAGCACGCTCCCCATGACGGGAAGAAGGGCGGATGGATGCCAGCTTGGTGCGGCTGTCCTCGGCGGGATGCCAGGCCTTCCATACTCCATAGGGACCCTAGACCGGTCCCCACTGGGTCCCACTCGGACTCTCAAACTGCGTCTAATCGGTCAACGGGAGAGCGCGCTGCAGGAGCACGGAACGGCGCCGCGCCAGGTCTCTCGACATGTTTGTTCGCCATTTTTTCGAGAACTTATCGGCTCCGCGGTCTGCCGGTGGCGTGCTGCGCCGTCCGCCCGGGCTCCTGCCATACTGGGATACGAATGATAACCGGCGTGTTTTGAGGCACATATCCAGACCTTTGCATGCAGACAAACCGGGAATTTATGTGCATTCTATGGCGCTGTTATAGGTCGTGTTTTTGATAAACGACGCAATCCTGGCAAAATTGGTGCTGCTGGGAGAATGTCAGCTTGCAAATAATTCAAGCAAATTTCACACTTTTTCATGGAACTGGTCGTCGGCATGGAATGGGTGCTGGTGACAGAGGAAAACTGGCGTCACTGGGTGTGTCTCAACGGACCGTGCGCCGCCGCCCGGGCGACGGGGTCGAAAAATGTCAACTCGCATTGTCGTCGACACTTTTATCGCTGCGAGCCGTGCTTTGTTGGTCGTGCTGCACGGGCCGGGTGCAGTCCTCCCGACTGCACGGAGGACGGCGACAGCGGCTGCCGGGCGGGTCTGCGCCGAGAGACCCTTCTCTGTCAGCGGTCCCGACAGGCGATCAGGCGGCAACAGGTCTGGCAGGCTCGGCTACAGCCTTTGTCCGTGCCCGGGTGGTTAGTGCCGGGTATATCTACCTACCATGGAAGGCTCGGTGGCCTGGTGGCCTGCCCTGGGTCGCTCCCGGTCTTCACGGTGATCTTATTGTTAGAGGTCTTGGTGCAGCCAGAACTGATAACCTGGCTGTCACTGTCTCTCGCTCATGTCTTGTCCGATGTTTTGAACGAGATCGCTGCCTTCTATGTTGTGTATCAATTAAGGAATATTTTTGTTTGCATTTGCTGAATTTTACTGTGTACCATGACTTTCATAGTCATTAGTCATGGAATCACATTACACCGAGCAAAGTTGCACGGTGCAGAGCGGCGCTTGCATTAATGTAATGTATGCAACATTGTTTATGTGCTTTGTATGTACAAAGGGCGACCACCGTCACAGACGCAATTACACAAAGTGACTGTGATGTCAGTGGCGTGCTCCCTCTATGGGCGCTCCTCGAATTGGTAGACTGGACGTGACGAAGAACTTCAGAGACGGCTTTGTCCACAGCCGATTAAACTTGAGTTTTGCGCAGATGGGCGCATTCCATGCCAAGCAGGGCTGCAGAGGAGCACTGAATGGACAGCTCTGGTCCTTGCCTGGGATACTCGAATGCTGTAAGTAGGCTCAACTGTGAAAACTATGCACGGTACATGAGTGAATCGTCTTGTATTTGTAACTGGCGGTTTGCATCAGCCACCACTTGTGAAGTGAAGGCGCTGGCAGACGGACCCGACGCCCGCTTCTCGCTTGCAGCTGTTGCTTTCATTGCATCTTAAGCTGCAGTGTTGTGTTCTATTATGTAAGATCCTTTGAAATTCTAATTGTTTTCTTGAAAGCCTTCTGGATGCAATCATCCCATCTGGAGTTTGTGAAAAACAAAGGGTCGAATGGACTGCTTCTTCATCTGTCTCACATTCGATGTCTGTGGTCCAACAAGTTGTTTTGCATTCATTCCCCGAAGTCGTCAACACGACGTTACTGCCATGTCCAACTCGGCTTGCAGCATTGGTAATTACTATGAATAATGCAATTGACATGGTGTTACCGGATGCTTCGGATGGCTGCCTGTCCGAGGAGAGAGTTGAAGAGCGTGTAATATCCTCCCACCGCTCATCCGCTCTGTCTAATGACCGTGCTCATTTCCATGCCCGCCAGCGGGCACCCAGCTGTGCTCTCGACTCCAGCTGGTGACAGACAGCCCCTCGACAGCCGAATTATGGTGACCGACAGCCGGAATAATTGTACTGATCGGCTTGCCTACTCGCCCCTCCTGTCGCCGCTGACAGTTGGGGTCGGATGGTCCGGTCATCGGAGAGGAGACTGTGGCCCGACCCGGGCTGGGGATCGTAGTTCGTCGACCTGCCACCAGAGCGCTCATGTCGCCTGGCTATAAACTAAACATGCTTGACCTTCACGGCCGGAAAGGCAAACTGGAAATGCCGCGCTTATCTGATGCGTGCTTGGCATATCCTAGCGGTGTAAACTAAATATCCAAAGGATTCGGAATAGGGATAATTATCAACCAAGGGGAGTGATGGAACAGTGGGATGCATCGAAGCACATACTTGGGCAGGCAAAGAAAAGTCTCTAATTTTGCCTACAACCTATTGTCAGAGGACATAGCATTACGTTATGTGATGTGACTCAGTGATGTTTGTTACCCGTCTAACCCGGCCCTGTCTGGGGTCCATCCTTCGTCCGGGGCGTGCGAAGTGCTATCGACCGCTGGTGAACTGTGTCGCCAACTCAGTCCGACCGGGCCGCGTCCTTGGCGCCTGACCATTGATCAGTGACGGAGTCTCTCCGCGCGGCCGACTTCCTCCGGGAAATGGCGCCTCCGCCAGATTGGCTGTGATGGCGGCGAGATTTCGGTCGGATCCGGCGCGCCCGGCCGACCTTATTTCGGCCCGATATTTCCCGCCGGGGCCTGAGGCGTGTGTTATTGAGATGGCCCGTTTTTGCTCGTCAGTGAGTGGGTCGGCTCGGGGAGGCGCTGCGAGCTGGTCCCGCTTTCCCCTGTCCCCGTCACATCAGGTAGCTTCTAACACGTCTCCCCCGTTCTATGTTACATCAGAAGAAGCTTCCCTATCCCGTGTCACAACAGCTAGATTTTAACCCTTCTCCCCTGCTCGGTGTGTCACAACAGCTATATTTTAACCCGTCTCCCCCCTGTTCCGTGTGTCACCAGGCGGCGGAGCTGCACCAGTGCCAGGCGCTGATGGAGCAGCTGCAGGACGAGTTCCTGGCCAGCGGCGGAGAGCCACGCTGGCTCGAGGGCCTCCACCTGGCGCCCAAGAAGCTCCAGGACCTGAGCGAGGTGAACAAGACGCTGGCTCACCGGCCCTGGCTCCTCAGCAAGGCACACATCGAGGTGGGTACTCGGTGGTGCTAGTCCCGCTCGGGGGCGGCGGGGCAGATTGCAGCTGCGCCGCCCTCTGCATGTGCTCGATTGACCTTGGCTGCTGGCACTGGCCGTTTGTTTATGGTGATGTCTGAAAGCGCTGCCATTTCCGGATCATCAGAGCTATGGGCTGGGAGAGCTGCAGAGCAGTGGCGGCCGGTAGAAGGGGAGCGTAAACTCGTCTAAGATCAATCAAGCCTGAGAGATCCGAGTTCTTTTTGAACGCTGCTTTGAACGAACGTGCTGCTTGCTCTTATCAATCGTCAGCCTGCTCTGACCGGTAGTGCTCAAAGGTTTTCGTTTACGTCCTGAACCCTCGTCTTTTGGTGTGGTTTAATCGCAATAGATGCACTATGACGGGCTCAAATGTTATCTTCTATTATGAAGAATTGGTTACTTCCTTGTCAGTCGGGGCGCGCTCTGCATTTCAATGCTTATCTCGTCATCGGAGTGGTGACGATGATGACCTCATGGGTTCATGGCCTGGGCAGTGACGAAGCTGTGTGCCGTCGCTTCATGATCGGGGCGTGGTGGAAAATTACTCCGCACTCAGGAACGGGATGGTTGTTCAGCTCTCAAACAAACACGGTCGTTAACACGAACTACGTAGATATCGTGTCCTTGTTTGTCTATTCGTGAGCATTAAAAAACGGGACAAAAACGACCGTTTAAAACACTCCCTATTTCTGGATCGCGGCATGTGCTCGATTTATGTGACCTTCGAGCGTCACCGTTTTTTTTTTTTCGTGCATTCGATAGCGTATGCTAAAATATTTCTTTGTTTGCTGTCAAAATCGACCTATAGCGCCACAAATGTCACTACCACCACCTCCCAATCCGGTTACTAAATTTAACCGCTTGGCAATGCGTTTGCTATGCTGCAATACGCTATCCGAAATGTGATTCTTCCAAATTTGATTGAGCGTTATCTGATGGTATCAATAATGTCCCTTTTTATCTTCATTTCATTTCCACGTAGATGCATGTTTTGTCGAGTCTCATTTGTTTTTTAATCAGCACAACTGCCTTGGCATGACTGTTGAGCAATCAACTCCAACCACGTCATGACTTCGCTGGCCATCCTAGCCTGAGTGCCCCAGTTCCTCCCTCCTCTCCGCACCGCGACCCACCCTGTGACCGCTCCTGGGTGCGCCTCTTGGCAGCGGCTGGTGCGAGGCCGCGACAACTGGAGCCTGGGCGAGCTGCTGCAGGCGCTGACCATCCTGGCGCACTACCACGCCGCCTCGTCGTTTGTACACGGCTGCCGCGTGGTCACAGAGCCATGCGCGGACGCCGCCGCCGGCAAAAAGTCCGGTGAGTCGATTCCACCCGACCCGACCCGGCTGACGTGGAGCGTCGACCTGACCCGACCCTGTTTGCCTGACTTGAGTGTCGACCCGGCTAGATGTGACTCAGGAGGAATGCGGATGTTTGATGTGATACGTTGTTGCAGGAGAGGAGGAAAGACAGCTCGAGGGCGCTGGGTTAACTTCTGTTGGAGGGAGTGCAGTGCTAGGTTTTGTCACCATGGAGTTTCTATGATCAGAGTTCAGACTGAGTTGGCGACCGTCAGTCAGCTGGAGCCTGGCGTCGGTCACCGTCGGCCGTCGGTCGGTGGTCGGATGGCGTGCGTGGGGCTAGCCTCCGCGCCGCTCCGCCCCGCCACACCCCTTCCGGCGTCCCCACGAACCGGGGCGTCGTCGACGGCCGGCTCTGTCCGCCGCGGCGCCGGCCGTCACAGGTTCATGGCACGCCCCAGCGCCACACCTCGGGTCCACAGGGTTCCGTTTAGCTCGGCGACTGGCTCTGCCGTCTGGGTCAGACATTATTCAAGTGGCCGCGTTACTGTGGTCCGGACTGCGGCTGTTTCTCTGGGCGACTGAGAGGCACGGGATGGGGAGGGGGAGCGATGAGACCACAGGTCGGCCGATAGTGGCGCGGCGACCGGCGGGACTATCCGGCCGGTCTCCCGCACACACCGCTCGCCAGTGACTCAGACCCCGCGGGGGTGGTCCCGGCGGTCACCAGACGCTCCTGGCCGGCCACTGCCTGACGACCGCGGCCGCCGCTGCCGGCGCTGCCACCGCAAGGTCATCGGAACACTGCAGCGCCCGGCGCGCCTAGTGACATGACACAGCGCACTGACCGGGCGGCGGCCGGGGCGCCCGCTCAGACCAGCAGCCGGACGTGCAGCAGCTACTGCTACTGGCGCCAGTGGGTGTGCTGGCGCTGCTGACTGGAGGCCAGCGGCGCTGCCTCCGGCGGAGGGGCGGGCCGACGGTTTTTGCGCCGCTCTCCTGCAGGGTCGCGCCGAGAGCGATGGATTGGCTGCGGCGGGGAGAGTTTTTGCTGTCGTTTGGCGCCGCGCCGCGCGCCGGGCTGGTGTTTTGCTCGACCCTGCTGCCATGGCCCAGCGGCGAGATACCGTTGGTCGACAGGTTGGCAGTGTCGGGCCGGGGTCTGCCGGTCCGCTCCTCACTGCACGTAAAGACGCCGCTGCCAACGAAATTCACAGCCGCCTGTGAAAGGTTGATTGAAGCCGTGCATCGCTAACTATTTTACTTGGGCGCATCTGTTGAACGATCGCAAAACAACATGCCGACTTGAAAGCGGCAACTTGCCTGCTGGCAGTGGGCTTCCCTGTTCACTTGTTTGCAGTGCAGTTTCAGGGACAGATTGAAGTGCTGCTTCAAAGGTTGGTGCGGTTTAGCAAGGTGGTGTTCGTGCCCGGTCGCTGCCAGCTGACATGGATAGCCGCTCTGTCGGACGTGCACTGGAGATGCCGACGCGGCCCCGACCGCTTACGACTTGTTTGGAGCTTGCCTCGTCGGCGGGTTGACGGGTGTTTACATGAAGGTGCGGCTCAAATGAGGCGTATCCTGAGCAGGCGGCCCCTCGATAGGTCCGGGCTGGCTTCCCCGACAGGGCGGAGGTGGGCTCTGATGCAGCCCGCTGGCCTAAACTGCCTGCTCGCGAAGTGATATACTACTCAGTTGAATATGGCTCGTACCGACCTGCTGGTCATTGTGCTTCTTCCGCGGAGTCGAAGAAATGGGACACTTGGCTTTGTATCCCTCACCGATACGTTTGTCTTTCTACCTTCACTCATTGTCTCGATTTTACAGCTCACAATAAGCCGAGAGACAGCGTCACAACAACAGTGATGATTCGTAGGCGCCGGCGGCAGTCGGCCGCCAGAGCGCGGAACAATGAACCGAGCCCGCGATAATGGCACCGACTTTTTTGGCGAATGACTAACGACCTCGGCTAATAGCGTGCCGTAAAAAGGGTCGTTAATGTGACTGATTGGAGCCCGCGCCCGCCGATGGATGGCCCGTTTTAACCCAGGGCTCGTCTGTATGGAGCGGCGCTGGCTCCGTGCGGTGCGCTCATTTGGAGCCATCGGTCCCCGTGCAGTGGAGCGGTGATGTGGATGGGTCCGGGCGCCCCGCCGCCCGCCCACCGCTGGGTCCATTATACCGTCCGTCGGTCTGACCTGGACCTAATGAGTCGGTACGCCGGGCGATAGCGCCGCAGCGGTGCTGCTACCGAGGAGCTGCGCTGTTCACAGGCGGGTGCAGGCGGACGGTGGGGTTCTTTGAGGACGGGATGCCCGCCAGTCAGTGACAGAGAGCCACTCTGGCGAGCCGGTGGTGCTATTTATTGTGCAATGATGGTAGCAACTGTGGTTCATGCGCTGATGCATCCATCCTCCATCTGCAATCGAGCCAATGTATACATCATCTTGCCAATCTATCTTGACAGGCATAAGCGAAATGTTGAGGATGTATGGCTGCAGCAGAACGAAAACAACACAGGAAAGAACATCTGCAGGCTCGGACGGAGCTTATTGTTTACCCACTAACAGCTGTCACGGTTAGGTAGCCGGTAGTGTACGACCGACCAGCGGCAGGAAACTCGGGCGACATAAGCCACCGAGATCAATAGCACAACAATATTTCAGAGGCGCCTATCCGTTTTTCCTCGTCATTGCATGCCTGGCCGGGTGTCGTGACATGCCATTAGCAGGAAGTCCTGACTGACCCGGCCGATGATCTGGGTGCTGCGGTTCATTGCCTGTGGAGCGGTCGTTCGTCGCCGATGGTCCCACGTGCGCCGCGCCGTTTCCGGTGCTATGCTCCGCTCGCTCTGCTGTGTGTGTCACGGTCGGCGGCCTGTGGTCGCCCGGCGCCGCTCAGCGCTGCCATATTTATCAGCCGGTCGCCAGCCGTGACCGGCCTTGGATCAGCTGGGAGGACACCGCCGTGAGGCGCTGGCTGGGGCTCCGGTACCGTCCTCCGCTGACGCACGTACCGACTTAACGGGGTGGATTTTCTAGTCGTAATACCTTGACAATGGTGGACCGGTTAGATGCTTTGTTTAAGCCGGAATTAAGAGCTTCTTTATTACTTGTTTAACGTAGATGTCGCCTTCTATTAACATCATCAGAGTTTGAGCTAAGACCTAGATAATTATGTTATGTATTTCTCTAGCATCTCCACTTGTGATGCTGGTGACGTTTCGAACCGGTAAAACCGCGTATTACTTGCCTACATTTCTTTCAGACATCTGGTCGTGATTAATTATGATGCTGCTTTCAAAAACTGGATGCAAACCTGTTCTATCCGGTCTTCAAGTCATGCGCATCTTTGCAATTCACAGCATGATGTCACAACGACGCCCGCCCGCCCGGCCTGTGTATGGGCCCCTGTGGAGCTGGACCCGGACACTCGGCACCCCTGACCCGCGCCTCTGACCTCCCCCGCTCTCTCTCTCCGGCAGGCTCTTCCACACCCGGCTCCGGCGTCGCCAAAGAGAACGGCAAGATCTCGTCCTCTCCGCCGCGCGGTGTGCCCGTCGACGAGCTGATGCACAAGATCAAGTCGCTGCGCCAGCAGGCGGGCCCTACCGGCTCGGCGCCGGCGGACTCGGAGCGGCCCACCGGTCACGAGCGGGTGGACGGCGAGCCGGCCCCGACCGAGGTCGGCGCCGGCCGCCGGCTGGCCGACACAGACGACTCCCATGTGGGCGGCGACTCGGACTGGGAGGAGCCGTTGCGGCGCACCGACGGCGGGGCCACCTTCCGCGTCCAGGTGAGTACAGCTTCCGACTGCCGCCGCTGGCAGGGAGGGGGCGGTGTCTGAGGCCGACGGTCTGTAGAACGGGCTGACGGCGGCCGGTGGTGTGGCCCGTCTCTATGGGTCTCCGAGGCCGGCGCCGTCTCAGCAGCAGCAACGCTGTGTTAGGATAAACACCGGGTGGCGCCGCGGCCAAATGCTGATCTCAGCTCCAACTTTCCCCGCTAATGACATCAATCGTGCTCCGGGTAATGGCCCCCACGCCACAAATGATAAACTGCGCCGCATTTGTCCGCAGAAGCGGCATATTATCGCAGCGGGCCTGCACCACAGCGGACGTTATAAGCATGATGATTACAAACTGACTAAAATTACGACCCTGGCTTATTTCAACCCATCGTCGCGTTTCGTGTATCATTAGCAGCACCGCATTCCCCCCTCATGCAGCGCTGTGGTCGTCCGAGTCGCATGCCCTCATTACAACATCCCCCTCCCTCCCTCCCTCCAGGACTACAACTGGGAGGACCACGGGTTCTCGCTGGTGAACCGGCTCTACTCGGACGTGGGATACCTGCTGGACGACAAGTTCCGCAAGGCCTACCACCTCACCTACCAGACGATGGGCTCGTTCCGCGCCGTGGACACGCGGCCCTTCCGGCGGGCTATCTGGAGATATATCCAGTGCCTGTACGGCATCAGGTGAGTAGCGAGGAGCCGCCGCCGTACTGCGGGCGCTGGTCGCGGTACGGGGAAACGATGCCGACGTATGGGAGTGGGGTCGAACGGCCGGGGTTCACAGCTGCAGCTAGTTTCTATAGATTGTATCAGAGTAAAGTAGGACGGGTGGCATACAGCTGTGTGAACGATAAGAAAAGTTATTTTTGTGCTTTTGCGGCTGGTGCCACAGCTGCTGTTTTGTGATCACTTCGTGATAATCTTGGGGGCCCATGGCTGGCACCTTGTTCCGACCACACAGGTGACATGACACCCGACATTACGTTCCTACTTCCTAGTATCGCGAGCGGCGCAGTTTGCCTCTCTTCTGCACTATATTCTGCTAGGAAGATAATGCCAACTGCCGACGTCCGACAGTTCATTTTGCCTGCCGCTGTGGGCGGCGGCCGTCTGGCCGAGTCGATTGTTAGACGCTGCATTTGTGTAATGGCTCTCAGCTGTCTGGTAATCGCTGTGCTGTGTGTCGGTTGTCGACCGGCGCCGAAATGCCACAGGTAGTCGTCACGGGAAGGTCAGGGATAGGCCGCCTCCCACTCACATGCACTCGAGCACACGGCAGTTCAGTTTAGTGCGGCATATTAATATAGCAGGGGTAGTGTGAAAGCGTGCGACTCAGACGTTTGACATGCGCTGTTTTAACTCGGCATTTTTTAACTTGGAATGCCTGCCGTAAAATTTAAGCGTTACCCAACCACAAACGTGACAATTTATTTATTGTGGTCTTTGCATAACATTCTGGACACAGATTATTGAGTAGGACATTTTGCAACACGATTCCGAAATTCCTAGTTATTTCCAGATCGTGCTCTAATGATGTATTACATCATTGACGTCGTGTTTGATTTCCATTCCGCTGGGGCCCCTTCCGCAGTATCATGATTCACGTCCTTCGACACACTGCTGGGCCTTACCGCGAGCGACCTCTCAGTGACCTCTGGCGTATGACCTCAGCGGCGACCTGTGACGTCTGCCTGGTGACCTGTGACCTGTGACCTGACCGTGACCTTACCCTGTCCGGCAGACACGACGACTACGACTACAAAATGGTGTCTGAGCTGCTGGACCGGCGGCTGAAGGAGCTCATCAAAACGACGTGTGTGTCACCGGAGCTGCTTGATTCCACCACCCCGCTCAGTAGGGTGATGGCCGGATTCCAGCGCTCAGAAAAGGTACGGAGAAAAGGGAGGCGTTGAGAATGATTCAGGAGTCTTTAAGAGGGGGTTCGTTGTTCGTTGTGTCCGATATTTGCTGGCATTGCATCAGGCAACCATAGAACGCTCTTAGCCTCTTACCATGTGCGACGTTTCTTGTTTGTCATGGCGTGTGTGGAGGCTGCACTGTGCAGATATTCGTTACCGTGATGCTGTGGGGCGGGTCGTGCTATGCGTCCACTGTTGGCCCGCATGACGATACCATGTCCGGGTGTGGGTGGGAACGTGGATTCCGCTCTCAGCACTTCCTCTCTCCCCGGGGTGAGAGAAGGACGTAGGAACATGGGCGTATACCCCGCTGTCGACACAGCTACATTGGGGTTGGCGTGTTCCCTAGCACGATGTGGCTTTGTGTAACAACATTCCAGCGGACATGTTTTACTGATAAAATGGTAATTGGGGTCACATTCACATTCGACATTCCTGTTAAACGGAACAGTTCCGCAGGAATTTTCCGTAAATACTGGCTCAACCTGCGATGTTCGGTGATCGGTGTGATGTTTGGTCCGCTGTTCGGTGTTCGGCCTCGTTGAACCGAGTAAGCTGTGCTGATTTCATCACCCCAACTGACCAAGCTCGCTACCCTCTGCGACATGGGTGTATGTGTACCATAATCCAGCAGTGTCAGTGTTGATGCGCCGCGCTAACCGTTTCTGACCTAGTCTCTCCGTCCGTCCGCAGATTCACGTCGTGATCCTGTGTTTGGAGGCGAGGCTGCAGTCGGAGCTGCTGTACGCGCTGAGGGCAGTGATGCGCTACACGACGTGATGGCCGGCCGCCGCCCAGCCAGGGCGCGCCGCCGCCGGCCGCCCAGTCGGGGCGCCGCGCTGCTATTCTCTGTGATGATTGTGTTTTATATGTGTTTGGTGGGCCGCTCGCCGGTCCGGGTACCACTGCCCGGGGGCCGGGTCGGGTCGGGACGGCAGGATGCCGCAGGAGCAGCCGTCCTGCCCCTCCGTCCTCCCCGCCCGCGCCGGGCCCGGAGGCCGCGCCGGCACGACCGGCCGCGTTGTTGACAGACTGTTTTTGAGGCCATGTTTGATGAACTGAGAAGATAGCCGCGCTGAGGGGCGCCCGGCTGCTGTTTTGGCGAGCTTTACGTGGCGCGCGCGCGGCGTCCAATGTGTGTTCTCTCTATTCGTGCTGAGTGTAGTCGCGCGGTGCGTACGATGGCGGCCGTGTGTGATACGAACTGACGACGGGTCGGGGCCGCCGACGGCGCGCACCTACGGCCGTAGGTGACTGAGAGCGCCGCGGCGGCCCGTGACGGACCGCCGTGACATTGTGTGTGACGGGTGCCGAGTGAGGCGACGTGACAGGACCCTGTGGTGCCGACCGTGCGCCGTGTAGCCGGCGACAGGAGCTACGTCTTTCATGTAATGCGGCGGAAGTGGTGAGGACCCTGCCAGCCGAGAGCTACTGATAAATAAACCAGACATGCATGAGCGATTCTCTCGCCTGGGCGGTGGAAGGTGGACGTTGATCAGCGGAAACGAACAGAGCTGGGTGGAAAATGTTCGGCCGTGGGAAGGATGAGTGGGATGAAGCTGTCCCCGGACGCTACTGGATTGGATCAGTCGCAGCTGACAGCCGTTCCAACTTATCCAGATAGGTACTCCCAGCGCCTACGCGCCGATTGTTAAATGCCGGGGATTTTTTTATTAGGGTGGACCTAACAAGAAAAATACGTTTTAGTAGCCATCACTCAAACAACAAACAGAAGTAGAGAGAATACAGTCCTGTATTTATTCTACAATCACCACAGTGTGATATGTGAAGTTCACAATTACAGTGCGTGCATTCCCATCAAGCACCGGTTGTAAGGCCATTTCAAGTGAAGCGTAATACAAAATACTTGGCACAGGTACGATCACACTGGCACGATTGTCTACTGACGAGCTACAATGTTCTACAGGCCACATTATCGTGTATAATTCTATGGACGGCACCAGGCACAGGGAAGCCACAGACACTAGCCGCCGACCGGTCCCGTCACAACAGGCCCGGCCGGGCCGGGTCGCAGGAGACAAAATCACAATACTCTGACAGTAGAGCAACAAACACAAACCTAATGACCACCGAGCCGGCGGCATTGGGTTCTGAGACACTGCAGAAAGACTCCCGGAGCACTGTAGGAGTTCCCTACAGCCGCGCACACCTGCTGCGCATGTGTCGGTGCGACATTGCTTATGTATACTCGTATATCCGCGCACACACGCTGCGCATGTCTCACGTTGCTAGATAGACCGTCTAGCGCATGCGCGTAGTTTTAGTATACCGTCTAACGTCCGTGTGTGCTGTACATTAGTAAAATCTGAAATTTGTAAATACACTCTTCTACTCATCGGTAACAAGGCTTTGGAGGGAAACGGAAGACGAGGAAGCGAGGGCGACATGAAGAGCCCTGGGGGCTCACCGAGTGCTCGGAAAGGAACACGTTTCCCGATCACCATGATCGGATGACTGTAAACCGGGACGACCGTCTCCCCCTAAGTTTACACTGGTGACCCCGACGTGATCCGGGCTACTCGTGGACCACACCATGGAGTCGAGCGACGCCACCCGGCAGCACACCGCTCCTCCCGCAACCAGCTTCAGCTCGCCGGCACCCGAACCCGAGGCAGCAGGTCGGCTCACAGCCCTGCTAGCCACCATCGCGACCCTCATCGTCCGAGTACAGCAAATGGAGGCCACCCAGCGTCGACTCAAAGGCGCAGCATCGCAACTTGGCCGAAGCCAGCATCAACGACGCCATGAAAACCGCCCTCTAAAGCCAGCGCATCCATCAACCTACGAGATCTGCTGGTACCACCAGCGCTTCGGTGCCAGAGCGCGTCGCTGCAAAGCGCCGTGCAGTTTCTCCCACCGCAACAAAGGTCGACATCGCATCCGTCATACGCCTCGCCCATCACGCCCTCCGACGCCGACGTACCCAGACAGCTCTGTCTGCTGGTACCACCAGCGTTTCGGCAACAAGGCCCGCCGCTGCGAGCCTCCGTGCAGTCGGTCGAAAGCATCTGCCGCAACACTTCTCTTCGTGCGGAACACGAAGACTGCCAAACAGCAACGGATCGACGCTGACGCCTCACTCAGCGCATCTCCTCGCGGCAACCTACCGAAGCGACCGACGCCGACGCCAGCTCCACCCAACAAGCAGCCGGTGGCCGCCAGCGCACCAACCAGCAACATCGACCACTGCGAGCCTGCGTCTCCGGAAGAGACGCCACACCTACCTGCGCAGCAGTCTCCTGCCTCTGCGACTCTGCCACCATCAGCTGCCCGGTCGGACGGCCTGGAGCTGATGCTGCCACAAGACACGCCGCCTGCAGAACAACCATCTCCAAGAGCAGCAGCACCGGGACCAGCTCCACCGCGATCTATCTTGCGCTCTCGCACCGATCACGACGTTCGATCCCCACAGCGATCTCGACGCGTCACGTTCGCGACCCGTCTAGGGAGGGGGTAGTGTAGGAGTTCCCTACAGCCGCGCACACCTGCTGCGCATGTGTCGGTGCGACATTGCTTATGTATACTCGTATATCCGCGCACACACGCTGCGCATGTCTCACGTTGCTAGATAGACCGTCTAGCGCATGCGCGTAGTTTTAGTATACCGTCTAACGTCCGTGTGTGCTGTACATTAGTAAAATCTGAAATTTGTAAATACACTCTTCTACTCATCGGTAACAAGGCTTTGGAGGGAAACGGAAGACGAGGAAGCGAGGGCGACATGAAGAGCCCTGGGGGCTCACCGAGTGCTCGGAAAGGAACACGTTTCCCGATCACCATGATCGGATGACTGTAAACCGGGACGACCGTCTCCCCCTAAGTTTACAGCACATTAATCGGCCACTCCCACCGCTCGGGATCGACAGACCGGGGCGGGCGGGCTGACCCTCCCCAGCCGCCGGTGACCGGTCGCTGCCGTGTGGGAGGTAGCACCGTCAGGCGACCCCCGTGACCAGCGGTCGGTATTGAGCGCTGCAGGTGGTGATGCTCAACGTACCAGCCTACCGCTGGCTGACGACAGCCTGCGGCGGGCCGAGCGGTGCAGGCAGACCCCGGCCGGTACACCACCGGATCGCACCCAGTCTACCGCACAATCCCGCGATATGGAAGGCTGATCAGCCGCGAACCTCAAGAGGCCAGGCAGCGAGCGATCCGTTCGAAATGCAATTGCATAAAAATATATACTTTAGCTGGACTTTCCTACGTGATTATTGTATCAATATGACTAAGCAACGAGGAGTAAATATCTGTTCATTCGCCAAGAACATCATCCACTCACGCACTAAAATTAACAGTAGCACGATAAACAAGCGATTTAAAACTTCAAGCTGCGTCGATCTGATCACCGTCTCAACCAAGGCCGATCACAATGCTTCAAAGTACCGCGGTGGCACCAATAGACACCGCATTGGACTACGGACCAGGACTACGGTCCACTGACCAAACAACTGGCGAGAGTTACAAGCTGAGTCGCCGGTCAACGGTCAGCCCGGGCGAAAGGGATCGGCCAGTCCTGGGACCTTTGAACGGTATGAGAATGGGAGGCTCGGATGTCTAGAGTTCAAAAGGGAGCTGCGAGTGGACGGTACAGAAGCAATGAGGTTCTGGACTGCCAACTGCTCAGCTCAGTAAGAGCGACTTGTTGCAAACACTGCGTCACCAGGTGTGGACTTTTGTCTGAGGTGAGCAGACACAGGTATTGCCACCGGTGGCTGCCGACACAGGGCGGCACCTATGCCGGCCGGGTCTGCCGCTCGCCGATCGAACCGGCCCGCCGGTATTGACCGGCCGTTTCTGCGGACCGACGGCCGCGTCAGCCGGTCGCCGCCGCCGCGGAGCCCTCTAGAACACGGGTCCGACATGAGGTGACGCGGCTCAGACCAGGGCGGGTGGTGCAGACGGTAACGAACGACTCGGCGAGGCGGCTGTAAAGCACGCAATCGCGTGTTTCCCAACATTTCAGAGACGAGGCAGACGTCATGATCGAACGCCTCGATAAATAAACTATATAGGGCGAGCAGCCTTATGGCAGACATATTGCCGCAACATTCCGAGACTAGTAAGTAAACAATTCAATGCGGTTACCTAATAGAGTAGAATATACCCTGTTAGCATTCTGACGAAAAGATGATAATCCTAAACATACAAGAAAGTTGCACGATGCAATCAACCTTATACTGATCAACAGCATCACAAATATATCTGGAAGAACATTAAATACCTCACCATTACTGGCGTGTAACTAACGTGTGCTCATTGCAACATATGTAGAGCTATAAACGCAGCATCAACCATGGCCATTGTCCATATAAGTTCCATGGATAGAATTCATACACAGATAAGTCAACAAGGTGATGAGAAAGACAAGACTCACTGAGATAAAATAGCCTCATATGCCTACCACCTAACTGTACCTACTAGCGTTATTATTCATCTTAACTCAGCCCTCAACCAGCAATCAACAAAAGACGAGGTGACAAGACCCTGCAATAGCCACTGGCCATCCAGGCGATTGGACGGACGGGGGAAAGGCCGGCGACCTCCGTCCGACCGCTCCAGAAATACCACGCAGTGTGTCCCCGCCGCCGCTGTGCCGCCGAGGATCGTTAGAGACCGGCCGGCCACCCGAGCCGTGTCCAGGCGTGGCCGGCGCCACGGAATAGCTCCCAGAACTGGCCATGGGGCAGCGCCGGCGCGCCTGGCCGCCGGCAGACGACCCGCGGCTACGGCCGGACATACCGAGCCAGGGCCAGAAGGTCGCGCCGCCGCCGGTCGCGGGCTGTTGAGAGGGAGCCGCGAGGTGACCAGAGCTGCCGCGGCGGCCACTGCCCGCTGGCGCAGGCAGCAGCGGTGCCAGACGAGCGACGCCCACGAACGAAACGGTATGCCTGCTTCTAAATTGCGCAGCCGCATTTGGCGATCTGAATTCTCAATCCCTAACGCCTGGCTCTTGAGCTAAGTACTACTTCATCGTCAGTCATCCCTGCTCTACATCCCGTCAGTGCTTCTGTTCTGTCCCCTCCCCTCCGTCCGCCACCCTCCATGAGACCGTCTGTCCAACACTGAGCAGTGCGTTGTCGGGCGGCGCGGTGCCCCCGGGCGGTCCGAGGTGCACGCCGAACGGCATCCTCCGTCCCCTGGTGGCACTGAGGGTGAGCAGAGGCTCGGGAGAGCGGTGACCGGTGGCCTGGTCCACGCCCACCATGTGACACCGGCTGCAGCCGCCCAGGACCTGGAACACAGAGGGGGACGGTTGATGAGAGGGATACCTGTACGCGGCTGGCGACGGGTATCGTCAATGATATTCCCAGGTTATACATGAAGAACTGACAATGCGATGATGATCATGACAATAATATAAAACAGCTAGTTATATTTGTAGATAAATATGAGCGAGTACCTATATTTAGGTCACTGATGCTGAGTTCGGCAAAGTTGTATAGAAACACACGGAACCAGCCTAGCAATACAAACACCAGGGCAAAGAGCCACCAGACCAAGATAAAAGTGAGCATTGTATGAGCCATCAATCATCACGCAGGCAGATTAAGACAAAGCAGCCCACTATGCGACCAAAGAAAAGGCCAAAAGTTTCTTGCAAAGGTCACTTATTGGAGAGGCGCATAATGAAATGGTCTGCAGGTTACAGCAGAGGGAATCATCGAACGACCCATGGAGCGCTACATGGGTAAACTGCCCCCAGGGATTAACTCGTAGGGTTGACAGAGCAGAGTATAAACAAATCTGCAGCAGTAAGGAGCCGGCATCCAGTCACCCCCAGTCCAGAGCATAGCTCAGATAGGCGCTACGTTCCATGGTCAAACTCAGCCACACAAACAGAGAATCGTTTGGGAATATGCAGTGTCCTGAAATTGATTTTTCGGAGAGTGTGATTGAAGCCGCAAGGACGTCGCTATTTCAAAAGGACGTCGATATCGGTGCGGAGCCTAAGCCACACTGAAGATCCCTTACCTAAATGTCTTAAAATTAGCGATTTTCACTGGCAATATTGACTAATAGCACCTCAAGGCACCTCAAATGATCATATATAGACACAAAGTAATGCCAGTTTACCCCTAGTAAAATACAAAATTCAAGCATTCACCACAAACACCAAAACAACACTTTGAAGATGTCTAGTTCTTGTCCATGATCGTACACACAACAGTCAACAACAAATATGCTTCAACAAAAATCAGCCTAAGAGTCAGCGGCTATCACTAAATATTGACGTCATAAGAGGGATACTATATCGAGCAAGAGGACTGACGTAAAAAAAAAACGCGTCCAAACAAAGAGGTTCAAAACAGTTCGGAAAATTAATTTCCATAGCTTCCTGTTATGAAATTCAATTAAGAAAACTCCAAGGTAGACGCTGAATTTTTCTTGGCTGGAAAAAATGTGAAATCATTGTGCACTTTTCAGTTTACTACAGACGTCGATTAAACGGGAATGACAAGGTCAATCGACGTCCCCAACATTGCGTGTATTTTTAAGCCAAGGACGACATACTTGAATTAATACTGTTGAAATTCGGTAACTTTATTTTAATTCAAACGGATAACCACTAAACTTTTTCCCCAACCACTATCAACATATACAAAATTAACTACTTTTGAAGGGCATGTCCCAGGAGCAGCGCTACCCCGTTACTGTGACCTTCTGAGGGGAAAAAATAATTAAATATGTTACAGTAATTTGATACAAAAGGTATGTTGCGTGCTTATAGATAAATGTTGAAGTAATATATTCGCATGATTAATTTTTATCTATACACTGCACAGTTACTAAAACTGAAAAGTGGAAAACAACGTCCTCAGATCCCTCTATTCCGACATCTTTTCTCCTTCATATGGCAGCTATTACCTTCACATGGTAAAGGAAAAAACCTATCCATATCTGACGCACAGAAAACGAAAATAAAACCGCGTTGTTTATTGTTGCGGCAGTTGGCCAGCGGTGTAGGAAAGGGGAGTAAGGAGTTGAGTGTAAGAGTGGGTCAGTGAGGACTTAGGATATATTTATTGTCATTCTGCATAGCCGTGTTTTTAGGCTACAGAAGTGATATTTCTTTTTGTTGGTTTGCTTTTGGTGTTCGATATACCTGTCGACTTTTATCTGTTAGGGACGTCGTTTGGCTTTCCAGGACGTCACAAAGAGAATCTGTTAAGGTGTGGGTTTCCACCCAAATTCACGAAAATCAGGACACTGGGAATATGTATGTAAGCATGACAGATGTTTTGTTCAATCATTTCTGAGCCTGAGGAGATGATTATAGGAGTTCTGTGGGGCCGAGTCACGATTTGACTGCGGCTAAGCCGTGCCCCTGAGGTCAAACTGTCGTTCCAGGTACGATAGCGATGGAGCGAACATCACAGGCAGCCGTCCACTACAGGTGTGGTGCACTTCCAGGTAGGGTTATGCCAGCCGGTCACCGTTATGCTTTATGGCATTCGTACCGACAAACCGAAAAACGTGCAGCAACAGCTGTATAAACAATGAAAAATCCCGCTTGTTCGTACCCCATGTCGTTACTTGTTCCACCGGCTTTCTGTTCCTGGTGATTCTGTTTAAATCGTATTAAGTCTAAAAATAAATAAACAAAACACAGATGTTCATTCGTACATCACACTTCTGAAAACCAGATCAGGAAACAAAGAATAATCTGACTAGCACGGCTGTAACAAATCCCTCCCACACACTGACTGATAACAGACATAGTTAGTTTAGACGGCTTGAGAAGATGGGATGGGCGCAGGAAGTGCTGACCTTTAGACAGCAGTCCAACTCTGTTCCAGAATCGCCTGACAAGAGCTGGTTGACTATCTTTGTCCTCCCACAGTCACCTGACAGACAGAGATCTAACACACGGCCACCTATACCGGCTAACACACGGGTCTATAAATCCCTGCACATCCGTTGCGTGGTCTGCCCCGTCCAGATCGGTCTCTGCTCACCTTGAGAGTGACGTCTCCGACGGTGACCGAGTGCATGGTATCCTCCTGGTAGGCGGGGACGCCGGACACGACCAGGTTGGCCCGGAACCGGTCCGTCAGCTCGTCCTGGTGGCGCACAATCACAGACGAGCGTCACGACAGGACAAGAACAGCCCACACACCCCAGAGTCACACCAGCGAGTCATACACCAGAGTCACATACCAGCGAGTCACACATCAGAGTCACACACCAGCGAGTCAAGTAGCACACTAGTGAGTCACAGCGGGACGGGAACAGCAAGTACGTCATACGAGTCACACTGGAAGAGCAGTCAGTGGTTGGAACCAGGAAGACTGTTATAAATTCACAGATACATTCGTTTATAATTTCAGTCAAGTTTCGTGTTCTTTTAAAACAAAATAGCTCTACGCATAACTGGCCCGAACTGAAAACAGGCTTACTGCAGCAAAAAAGCTTCAAATTGTCATACGCATAGCACATGCATATTTCATACACATTGCATGTAAGACACGTTGTACAGCGGTTATGTAATACCTCAAGGGAAGCCTGTCACATGTCAAATCGATGCAGCGGAGTTATATCAGGAGACGCAATACATTTATCATGCCCAGAACGCATACAAATCTCAATGACCGACACTGCTGTACATACGCATTCCACAGAAGAATACTATGCAAGACACAGCTTAGTTATCTCAAAATAGACTCCATCTACTTCTGGCGTTTTTTTTTTTTTGCAACAACGCCACAAAAGCAACTTAATGCGGCCCGCTGGAAGAAAGTCGGTATGTGGGTTGTTTATTTCTGCGCTGCTTATGTAACCGATCTGGGCCCATGTCCCCCGCAAACGGGCTGTTTGTCGTGCCAGAATGTCTCTGCGGCTGACCTGCTGGATAAACAGGCGCCCCCGAAGGCCGGCGGCGCGCCCGTCTGCCGGTGGCAGTTCACTCCGGAAATGGGTCTGTTCCCCGCGCCGGCGACCCAGACGACAGAAGCGGCGGCCGTCAAACCGCCGGCGGCGGCCGGGAGTCGGCCCGTGACCTTGACTCGGCACATCCCCCGAGGCGGAATGTCTCGCGATGACCGTCACATGGCCTCCGTCCGTCGTAACATGACGAAATAATCACTCAGGTGACGCACGCCGAGGAAATGTGGCGTGGCAGGGACAGATTCAGTGCCAACACGACGGCGCGGCGCAGCGCGGCCAATACGGCGCAGCGGGCCAATGCGGCGCAGCCCGTCAGCCGACTTAGGGGGAGGATCCGAGCGGCGCAGTTGGCCCGCCTCTGTCCCTGGGGCTCCCAGCGGGGCCTCAGGGCGACGGCTCTGACCCCGCCTCAGGCCGTTAGCCAGGAAAAGAAGGCCGTTAGTTGGGGCGAGAACCTCGTTATCCAGGGGCGAGGGATGTCGTCAGCCATCTGCGAGGTATGCGCCCACGGGCTGACAGAGTGTCCTGGCAGCCACTGAGTCGCACGCTGACTGACTTACAGACTAGAGTTGCAATGTTTCCCTACCGCATTACCGGCATGCCGGTAATTTTTCACTACCGCAGGTTTTTTGTGGTATCTGGCATGTCTTGCCGGTAGCATGCCGGTATTTTTTGTTTTGCACACAAAAAATTATTAGCATATGATTCAAACTTTGGACACTAAGAGGAAAATGTGGCATCTCTTGTAGGGGTAAACTGGAATCAACAATGCAGGTTTTTAGTATGCCGGTAATTTGGTGGTGTTTTTGCTTTGGGCGTGGTAGCATGCCGGTATCCCCAAAAAAATTTGTGGGGCGGGGCGGTGCCGGTATCAGCCTTTGGGGGAAACTTTGCAACTCTATTACAGACACTCAAAGCGCTGCCGGTGACGAGTCAGTACCTAATTCTGCCTCGCATCAGCCAGGCCTAACCTCTAAGACCAGCAGACGGGGACACGGAAATACCATCATCATCCTCGCTTATGAGTCGCCCTCCATTCTCCTTCCACCACCCGCCTGCCGGCTGAATCAGCCCGGGCGCCCGCCGAGGGAGGAGCCGTCATCTCAGTGACCGTGTCACGACCAGACGCCTGCTCGCCGACGGCCTTCTGCCGGCTCTGAGTAGCTAGACTCTGTGACTCTGAGTCAGTCCGGGCCCGCCGAGGGAGAAGCCATCCTCTCAGTGACCGTGTCATGACCAGACGCCTGCTCGCCGACGGCCTTCTGCCGGCTCTGAGTAGTCCGACTCTCTGACTCTCTGAGTCAGTCCGCGACCGCCGAGGGAGGAGCCGTCATCTCAGTGGCCGCGTCATGACCAGACGCCTGCTCCGCCGCCCGCCGCCTCGCAATGACGAGCAGTGCCGCGAGGTTGACGGGACCGGCGCGGACGGGTTTCGACTGGTTCGAGACAGCCTCGGTCGGACAGAGCGCTGCTTCCAGCGCCGAGCGGCAGAGGGATCGTCTGAGAAGGGAAAGCCTCACAGGGCACGGTCACGTGGTGACTTCAGTCACAATATCCACTCACCTATGTTTTAGGGCCTTGCACTCACCGAACTTTTGACAAACTTTGTGAAGCATGGCATACTCTTCCAATACGATTCGGCGGCGTTATCAATGGTCATCTTTTTTTCTTCTACTGGTCATTTATCCACAAACGACTTAATTGATTTTGGTTGAGCCGAAGTCATTTCTACTAGGCGCCTGAATCCTCTCTCGATCAATGTCATCCGCCATCCACTGATCCACCAATCCTTTCTGATCCACATTGATCTTCACAGATGTGATTGATGATTGATTTCCACTTCTGGCATCGCCGCTGGAGTTACTTATAGAGGACATGACCAAGAGCTTTCGCTCAGCGAATGCACAAGGTACAACATAAAAGGTTTGGTTTTACACAAGGAAGCAATCAAATCATAACAATAAAGAGCAGTTTCGGCCCGAATTTGTTGAATAATTCGACAGTGTCCTACTAAATACCTTAAAGGAAGACTGCCACCTTCAAAAAGTTTTCTCAGATCGGCCTATGATTTATTCCCTGGACAAAACAAAATTTTAGAATTCACCTGACAAAGTATCATCACGTGAATCGCGAAAAAAAAATTGTCGATTATCATACAATTATCAATCGGTTAATGTCTAGCGACAATGTTTACACATCACTAGACTTCAAGGTCATAAGAATATTACATTTTATTTGAAAAAGTAAGGTATTTTATGATTTACTAATATATGATTTCATAAGAAATTGGCCATGTTTAATTCATTTTGCATTTAAGTTCGTAAAACATTTAAAAAATCATGGCTCATTTGGAATGGGTCTGGCCCATGCACGGACGTATAAATAAACTGGACTGACAATCCCAATGGACCTCCTATGGAAGATAGTGAAGCCGACAAGGCGCCATTTTACGTTGCCAAAAACCGTGCTCTGGAAGGTCATCGAGCCAATACAATTAGAATTGCGTCTAAACGGATGATCGGATCGAGATGCTGGTGGTACCGTTCGATGGGTAATGCCTTGAGGCAGGTGATGATGCATGTCACAGGTCACCCGGTGTCACATGGCGCGTGCCACGTGCCGACAAACTTACAAAGGGCAAAAACCTTTAAGCGACGCTTCAAATCAAACGAAGGGCGGCACAGGTGCCAAACTCACAGGTCACATGTCCCAGTGTTCGACCACTAACATATGGTATGCTCGGCATCAGGGGGTGCGGAATGCACGCGCTAGGGGCGAATACATGTTTTGAGGAGGCAGCCTCCGATTCCGGAAAACCTTGACCTAGGCACACCAAACTTGGCACACTGACACTACTGGACACGCGCTTTAAGGTGCTGTACAAATAGGCGTGCTGGGGTACACGGTGCACGTGCTGTGCACGTGCAACCCTTTTGATGTTGCACTCTGTGTCACATATGCGGGCGGGCGGGTAGCGCTGGCAATTGCTCAAAGTGCCAAATTTACACAGGGCACCCAGAATGCATTCCAGCATAGTTATTGAGCATATCTATCTCCTGGTGGACCTCAAAGGTGCGCTCTGCACGTGCAAAAAAAATTGTCCACGCCGGGCGGTGGGGATGCTTGGACACCCCATGTGGATTTATGTAAATATCTCGAAAACGGCGTTGTGTAGCGCCGCCGTTTTTGGCACACCTTTTTATACATCTTTGTCACACTTGCTGCGCAACTTTCAGACTTAGGTCACTCAAGGTTAGGTCATCAGGTTACGTCCAAGTGACCTTACCTTAGAAAAAGTTATAGTACCCGTCATAGCTACACAGAATGAACAATCGGTTTAAAACGTGCAGTGATTGATAAGAGCAACGGTATATACGTAGAGTACCTCTACCTCGGAATTTCAATATCACTGACCTAGGGTTCTGTTGATTTCGTGATTTTTCTATTACAGGTAAGTCAATGGGAGATAATTGAACTGCGCTTCTGTTGCACGAAACGCATATAAACATACTAAACAATGCACTCAAATAACGGGACACGGGTGGCAGGGAAACGCGACGAACTTTGAATCGGGAAATTGCACCTGTGACCTATCTTTATGTCCTACGGTTATTTCAAATCATGATGGACCCCATAACTTTTTGACAGTAACCTTTGATAGAGATATCTAATAGCGCTGAAAACACTTTTGATATGTTCAGTTCAACTTCGTAAATTGAGGTTGTGAGTTTTTCGGGTTCTGGATCAGGAATGTCATGTTTGTTTTGATCACAGCTGATGTTTTCATGGATTTAGGCCAGGTCGCGTTAGGTCAGGTCAGGTCAACCAGTAGGCGTCCTACGGCTTATCCATAGTAGGTGTCAACTATCACTGAAGGCGTCGTAACATGTTTCGAAGACACTAAAACTACATACTTCTTTAATAGTATTTAGTATTTATGTTCAACTAAATATTAAATTCGAAATCAGCTCCAAGCACTGCCCTTTTCCTAGGGTTTTACATGTTTCTATAGAAACATGTAAAACTCGAAAAAGTGAACCAAGGTCATCAAAGGTCAGTGACCTTGACCTACCCTTCACGTAGCCTTGACACCTACCATATTGCATGGGACCAACAACATTCCAAATGTTCGAACGTACAACCACAAAGAGACTGGAAACGCGCGGATGTGGGCTGACTTCGCCGAATCACGATTCTGACCCAGCACGGTCTCGTGCCTACTGATTTACCGCTACTCAAGTTCGAACCATTTCTTGGCCGCGGTCACCGGTCCAGGCCACCACATAATCGTATTACCACCGCGCTTCCTCAATGCTCAGCTCGTATTGTAAGAGCACTGCGGCACAGCATAGATGCAGGCGCTTTGCTAATGCCATCTATGGGTGAAAAATGAAGATAATGGTTATTGCGGTACAGTATCACTGCAGGCGCAAACAACGTGGATAACAAAGATGCCTAGCTACGCTGGCCGGCGATTGAGGCGTAAATTTGCGTTGCTGGGTAGCAAAAAGTTTAGGAGCCCGAATTTGACAAAATAAATGATTTGCCGTGGTGGTGGTCTGAGGTCGCAAAATCAATAGAACCCTAGGTCAGTGATATTGAAATTTCGAGGTAGAGGTAGGTACTCCACGTACCTATATACCTACTGTTGATCTTATCAATCGCTGCACGTTTTAAACCGATTGTTTCGTCTGTGTAGCTATGACGGGCATTATAATTTTTCCTAAGGTAAGGTCACTTGGACGCAACCTGATGACCTAACCTTGAATGACCTAAGTCTGAAAGTTGCGCAGCATGTGTGACAAAGATGTATGAAAAGGTGTGCCAAAAACGGCGGCGCTACACAACGCCGTTTTCGAGATATTTACATAAATCCACATGGGGTGTCCAAGCATCCCCACCGCCCGGCGTGGATAATTTTTTGCACGTGCAGAGCGCACCTTTGAGGTCCACCAGGAGATGGATATGCTCAATAACTATGCTGGAATGCATTCTGGGTGCCCTGTGTAAATTTGGCACTTTGAGCAATTGCCAGCGCTACCCGTCCGCCCGCATATGTGACACAGAGTGCAACATCAAAAGGGTTGCACGTGCACAGCACGTGCACCGTGTACCCCAGCACGCCTATTTGTACAGCACCTTAAAGCGCGTGTCCAGTAGTGTCAGTGTGCCAAGTTTGGTGTGCCTAGGTCAAGGTTTTCCGGAATCGGAGGATGCCTCCTCAAAACATGTTTTTCGCCCCTAGCGCGTGCATTCCGCACCCCCTGATGCCAAGCATACCATATGTTTGTGTTCGAACACTGGGACATGTGACCTGTGAGTTTGGCACCTGTGCCGCCCTCCGTTTGATTTGAAGCGTCGCTTTAAGGTTTTTGCCCTTTGTAAGTTTGTCGGCACGTGGCACGCGCCATGTGACACCAGGTGACCTGTGACATGCATCATCACCTGCCTCAAGGCATTACCCGTCGAACGGTACCACCAGCATCTCGATCCGATCATCCGTTTAGACGCAATTCTAATTGTATTGGCTCGATGACCTTCCAGAGCACGGTTTTTTGGCAACGTAAAATGGCGCCTTGTCGGCTTCACCTGAATGGAGGTGGTTGCGGGTCCAGTTTATTTATACGTCCGTGGGCCCATGTTAAACCCCATTTCCCACACTTTTTTGGAAAAATGAACTACTGAATATATAAGTTTAACTTTTATTTTGACACTCCAAAATTCTTCTCTGATCTCGAAACAATCAAAGTTTTGACATATATTTACCAAAAGATAAGAAAATTCATGTTTCAAAGTTATCGATAAACAGTAGAGATGTCGGTTTTCTTGGACTAAAAAAATGGCATCAAACTGAACTTTGGTCTCCGATTTCTCGCAAACGGGTTCGAATTTCGGAAAACCGACTTCAGTCTGGGACATAGGTGGCTCAGCTCTAGTGAAAACCGTTTTGTGGAAAAAAGGTGGCAGTCTACCTTTAAGAGATAAAACGACAGCGAGCAGTGATCCCCATGTGATCACTGCTCGCATGGGGTGATCCCCATGTGATCACCCCAGTGATCCCCATGATATGAACCCCTCGTCAATACAGCTGAAATTATCTACATTGACCCCATGCCTGACCTCTCTTACCCTAACTGACCTCCTGTGAGTCGTGCCCCCAACTGACTTATGTGGCCACAACTGAACTCTGTGACCCCGATAAGTCCCGACAGACTTCAGTAGCCCTAACTGAACTTTCTGACTGACCTCTATCACCCCTACTGACCTCCGTGACCCCCCACTGACCTCTCTGACCCCTACTGACCTCCGTGACCCCGTCGTCGACGCCGCGCTCCTGCAGAGCCTCCCTCAGGGCTGCCACACTGGAGCGGTTCACCATCACGTACGGCGACTCGTTGGAGAGGGAGAGAGAGGCGCCCGAGCCGCCTGGAGAGGAGCCTGGAAAGCAGACAGCCGGATCAGTGGGAAATTCGGGACCAACTCCTGTTTGACAACATTCATCACAAACAGGCCATTTACAGTTGCGCGTTATTGCAGTGAACTGTGAAAATGTGAAGAAAAAAATGCGAATAGTGTAAAAAGGGGAAACTGGACAGTCTTATTAGACAGATACATCAATGCGATCTTTCACACATTCCTGCTAATTAAATGGGTCACCGAAGTTGCCGTTTGGAATTATCGGAGTAATCCGCAGAAAAGGGGCAGTCTGGTCACGCCGAGCCCAGTCATGCCATAAGTGAGTCATTGTGAATCCAAGGAAACGTCCCATTATAGACTACATTTATGTGTCGGGGGAGAGGGTCACCTAAACACAACCCTGGCAAGATTAGTGAGATTTGCCATTTTAATGTGAAACTTTTATTTCCAAAGACAGGTTTTTAACACTGAGCAAGTACTAAAATCTCATATGAAACATTTTTATTATTATATTAACACGTCAGTTGTGACTCATGTGCCAACAATCGCTGAGCTATAAGCCTGTTTGGTGGTGGTTTCTTTGTTGCACATATCGGTGCCGGCACGCTGCACCCGCGGCTCCCGGCAGGACCCAAATAGCGCGATGAGTCAAACCGACAGGACCACTTTCACATGCACGTGTCATGACGCCGGATGGCGATAGTTGGATGCATAGTGCATATGGTCCGCCTGCTGTCTCGCCGAGGCCACTTATGATTGTTGTGACAACACCATCTATCAGGCGGGAAATGCCTGCGGCTCAGCGGGCTGGCCACAGACCAAGGCGTAACAAAAAATTACCTTCCATATATTACCACGATTGGCTATGCCCCATCATGACCATTTTTGTTCATAAGCAGATCGTGAGGAAGCCAATGCCGATTCAAGATCACATTGGCGGCAATGTCGCACCATATGGCTTACTTGCCATGTGTAGTCCGATGAAAAAGATGCATTAATGATGACTTATAATGAACAACTGCTGCAGTGGCACTGCCACAACCAGGCATCATTCCGCTAGCCTTTCGTTAGGTAATTGCGAGCCAGATCTTGTAACAATCAGAGGGGCACATCGGGCCCACAGTTTACATTACGGATAAACGATTGGCGCAGCTGTCCATCTGACCCTGTCACATTGCTGCGTTTTTGGCTGGCAACACAGGGGCCCCGACACACCCCCAGGGCCGAGGGGGACGCCTGTGACGCCACTGCTCACTGGCCAGGAGGGGCCGCGCGGGAGGGGGTGCTCCCCGTCCCCACACCCTAGCGGCCTCGTAAGGCGTCAGCGCGACCGGACGGAGCCGTGAGCTGGAACAGATGTCCGGCCGGCAGCGGACGTCAGCAGAAGCTGGCAGGGCCGGGTGGTATCCATCACCAGAGTCACGATGATCACAGGGGCGGGCTGGCGCAGCGCCGCATATCATCACAGGGAGACGGCTACCCCATCCCAGAGTCCACCGTGAGCACAGGGGCGGGCTGGCGGGCTGGCGCAGTGCCGCATATCATCACAGGGAGGCAGGGGCCGGTGGGCACAGCACGGCCCATCATCACAGGAAGGCGGGCTTCCCATCACCGGAGCCACTCTGATCACAGAGGGCGGGAGGCAGAGAGAGAGGAAGATAGAGGCAGAGAGGTGGCTCACAAATATCCGAGCGAGGGAGCGCAGCTCTCAGCGACGAGCACGGACAGCTGCCCTAGTACAAACCACCCTGATCTGAGCGAGGTACCGCAGCTCAGCGACCAGCACGTACAGAGCTGTCACAGTCCGACCCATCCTGATCCGAGGGACATGTGCAGTGCAGCTCAGCAACTCAGCAGCAGCCGGCTGCCCCAGCCAATGATTAGTACCAGACGAGCCGAGCTGGTCGCACACACACTCCAAACATCATTAGGGTTCGAATGTGATGTTTAATTTAGGTCATAAATAACGACTGATCACTACAATCAGATGCTGCTGTAGTCAGGCAGCTGTCGGCTCGGTAACATTTGCACTGTCAATTTTCAGGCATATGTCAGGCTCGGTAACATTTGCACTGTCAATGTCAGACATACTCAGCTGTAATGGGGCGGATACGAGCCTCTGTTACACACATCCGCTCAATCTGTTACTCAATCGACAATTATCTCTTACTCAACTGCTACCGAGGTATTCAATTCATTCCTATTGCCGAGTCGTTTGGGCGTGTACTCCGAGGGCGGAGGCCGTGTACCGTGTACCCCCTGAACTATCTAGCCACTCTGCTGAAAACAGCTCTGTGGGTCTGAAATCCCAGCGGATCCCCCGATAGCCGCCAGAAGCTCAGTGTTCAAATTCCCAACCCAACTGACATAAACATTTAAAGTAGGTCTCAGATCAAACGGTATCTGCCCGGATACATGCCTATATGACACTTTTGTTCGGTGCATAATGCATATGATCAAGGTGCAGGTAGTGTAGGTCACCACAGTGTATTTATATATACTGTGGTGTAGGTATTCTGATCAGGGCAAAACGGGGTGCAATATGAGACATTGCGACATACACCACATGATTTCATCATATATGTATGCATGATGAAAGTGGGGATGCAAACTGAAAACCCACGCAGCCGACACTGTGCTCCGAGCCAGGTCAGGTGGGAATAAAGAGAGTTGTTTGAGCATAGAGCATGCTGTTGTATCAAAGGAGAACTCTGCGCGGTTCGACGTCGAATTCAGTCAGAGTCATCTGTAAGTCAAGGCATCCCTTCCGAAAACCTCGGTGCTACTGCTGTCCTAGCGGCGTCCTAACGCCCATGAAGCTTCGGCATCACAGTCAAACGACTTTTTACAATGAATATGGTACTGACTACTGAGGCTTTCATTCGAGAAATTCTCATGAGCGTACGCACTTCATCAGAGAGTCTACGCAAATGAGCAGCTTACTCTATAAAACTAAATATAGAGTAATATAGCTCGAACTCTTAATTTCGATGATCTAGCAGCGATTTCGGCCTTTTTTGCGCCACCGCTGACACTGAACATATGTTACGGCTGTTCAAAAACACGCAATGCATGGTGCATCCCTGTCGTATGTCATTCGGAGGTGAAAAACAGCTTTGACAGCAACCATTGATTGAACCTAGCCTTTTTGCATCCATATTTATACAGTACAAACTTCTTTGAGCGATAACACTGCATGTAAAAAAGCTTAGCCTACGTTTTGGTGGCAGGAATACAAATACATTGTAATTGATACACGGGCCGACAAAAGTTCAGGATAGTGTTATTAGTGGATGAAGTTGATCTTCCCATCCGGATGAGGCAGCCCCGCGATTAGTACGCCCTTGTACACTGCTCTCCTGACCATCTCTACTAGTGGAACCAGTCACTACCAGCAAACAGCTCAAACAGAAAAACGGGGCCGACACCGGCCTCCACTCGGTACACCCGCACTGCACTGGTCGATTTACCCCAGAGTTTACCTCAGCTGTCGATTGTTATCTGGCGTGACACTCGCCAGAGGGCCGCGCCTGCCGGGAGCACACCGAGCCCGAGGGCATCAACAATCGCGGGGCTGGCGGCGGACCCTGCGCGGGACACAGACTGACGAAACCACCGGACCACGGCCGACAGCGGGCCAGTTAGAGCGCCAACGCCTACAGACCGCAGGCTCGGGTGTCGGGGCTGGGTTATTAAAACGCTAGGCGACTATTAGCAAGTGGTAAAGAGAAATATCATGATCGGAATCACTAACGAAGCTAGTCTATTCGAATGTGCGCATCACAATGGCAGAGCGAGCTCGTAATATTTTCATTGACGTACAATGCCAGGGTAACGTAGGATCACCATACTTCGATAAGTTTTGCAGCGCTACGGTAAAAAAGCTGGTACTTTCTACTACCAGCTATTTTCACTCCTTCCCTGACCATTCTCTCATCACGCACCACCTACCGTTCAGTTTGGCGGCGCGGGCCGAGGCCGGGTTCTGTCGCACCAGCCGCACCCCGTCCTGGTCTAGCACCTGACTCAGCCACTCAGCCGCCTCGTCGCCGCAGTCGAGGCCGCCCACCCGGTCACCGCACACCCGCGACTCGCACATAGAGAGCGGTGTGCGGGAGAGAGAGGGGTCCGGCCACAGCGGCACGCACACGGACGGGAATCCTGCCAGGGAGAGGGAAGGGGAGGAGGTCAGTGGGGAGCATTATAGCAGCGACGGTGTCAGCGAGGGGTTAGGTTAGGTGGCTGCTGGTATGGTACCGTTATGAAATAGGTGATTTAATATTTGACGCAACACCTGTGCAGATTCTTAGCATAGCTTGCGACGTTCATGCGAAATTATAAATAAAGGCGTCACGTAAGACTATCGTCACCATGTAAAAAATTGACAGCAGTTGTGACATATCAGTCATTAATCTCAATACGCTTTTTTACAGGCACATCTCAAAACAATGACAAAATGAGTCTGGACAGCCTCCAAACTTACCAAATGTGCTCAGCACTCACGCCGCCTATATCTTAGCCCTACAGCAAAAAAGGCGTCAATTTCCCCCGCCCTCTATGACCCTCTCACCATCTGCCGTCAGTCTCAGCAGCCCAGTATGAAGGCACACCTCTGGCCGGACCCGGCAGAGCGCCGGCTGTCGTTTCTGCGTCAGCGCCGCGCCGGCGGCCGTCACCACCATCCAGTGCCGGTCGTAGAGGAGGCCGCGCGGCCCCAGAGGCCACCAGGGCACCGAGAAACCACAGCACGACTTCACCGGGAACACCACCAGCGCGCTCAGCTGCGCGACGGGACCCGGTGGTGGTGTGCCGTTGGAGAGAGCCAGCGGGCGGGAGACGGTCGGGTCAGAGGTGGTCTTCGGTGGGACGGCCACTGATGATTGAGGGGAAGAATCTTGGACAGGACGCCGACTCAGCGGAGGCTTTAGAGTTTTCTGGAGGTGGCGAGGTCTTCACCAAGCTGCCGTTCTCTGAGCTGGGTTGGATACCATTCCCTATGCTCGTATCTGACGTGGCGACTTTAGCTGTGGCAGTGACAGTGGAGTCGGCCGTGGACCGTCGCGCCTGAGCCCTGCGCAGTCTCTCTGCCGTCTCCTCCGGGCACGGTTCGGCACTGACGAAGCACTGGCGCACCATCAGCAGTAGCCGGTCGGCGTCACTGCGCCGGGACATGTAGCCGAAACTGACCCGCACGGCGCCCGTCGGTCGGCCGTCGATCAGGTCTGTCTCGTCGCCGCACACGTGACCCGCCTGAGGTCAGACAGAGGGGAGGGTCAGGGGGAGCCTCACACGTGACCCGCCTGAGAGAAGGCAGAAGAAACAGAGGGTTAAAGAGGTTATACATCGATGTCGGTTTCACAGAGTAGATCTTTATGGGCGTGAAGTGGTTAAACGGATAAGTAACAAATATCCGTGACACCAGTAGCGCCGTTGAACTCTACAAACGCTACAAAGCTGGCGCATAGGTATATACTGCAGGACATCACACAGCATCAGATCAAATCAAACATCTATGCGTTTGGTTGGGAATAGCCACCCTGAATCCCGGTGCCCCACCTTGAAGTGCTGCCGGACGGTATCGGTGCTGAGCCCCAGGTGGCGCTGGCAGGCGCCGGGGTTACAGAAGCAGCCCGTGCGCAGGTCGATGTCGTACACCTCGGCAAACTTCTCCACCTGAGGAGGGCAGAAAGCATTCGACACTGTCCACTGGTCGAGGATGACGATAATCAATTGACGGGTGTAATGATGATAAGAAAACGAGCAAATGACAAGCATATGTGAGAATTTATGTAAAATGATACGCCGTTCCGGCAACTGATTTATATAAAATAATTTAGCATGGTATGCTCTAAATGACGAACTTAACAATAGGGTGACCTGAAACAGTCGCGATATAAGCATTTTATGAAACATTTAGAGGCAGCATCATAGACAAATATATGTCTCCTATGATTGGGTAATTCATATTACATGGCCCCAGCCAATGACTTGTATATACCAGCATTCCACCACACCGCTCCAAACGGTAACCTCCCCTCCGCCGATACCATTCCCAGGAGAGGACGTGTATCCCTGCCCCGGTACTTTCCACTCCCATTTCAACGGTACGGTATTGGCACTATCACTATCAGCCGTGGAGCGGGGAGGGCTGGTGGTGCAGGGAAGGGTGGGTCTGTTTACACTGGACCGGCACGTGGCTAGTCATGAGGGCGGAGCTGGAGCGCGCTGCACCGTCTCTGGTGACCATGTTCGTCACCCCACTCCAGTACCAGCCCCATACGGACAGCAACGAGCAGTCATGGCAATACTCGACAGATGGCACTATCTGCAAGACAATTATTAGTTTGCGCTGTAATATTTATTATCCGATTGTGTTGCACACAAATAGGCATAGAAAAACACAAGCATTCATACAAGACATTCAGGGATAAATACAACCGAGGTCACGACTCACGAGCCAGGCTAGCTATGAATTGTCCGTCAGTCTAGCTCAGACGAGGCAGACGACGTTGACAGGACGGAATGCACAGGTTCCGATGAATAAGGTAAGGCACCTGACCACAGGACCAGGTGTCCAGGGTCCGGCTGTGCCGCCGCCCAGCAGCCGCACGGAGTAGACACCGCTCCGTCTCGGTGACCGGGGCAGCACGCCGGCCGACGCCACGACAGAGTCCCTCCAGCTGTAGAGGCTACTCGGCATGACAGAGGCTAGGACACAATAGCTTACACAGCACGGCAAGCAGACTAGTGGTAGCCACCGCCGTAGCCGCCGCCGTAGCCTCCCTTGTGTCCTCCGCCGTAGCCGCCGTATCCTCCCTTGTGTCCTCCGCCGTAGCCGCCGCCGTAGCCTCCCTTGTGTCCTCCGCCGTAGCCGCCGCCGTAGCCTCCCTTGTGTCCTCCGCCGTAGCCGCCGCCGTAGCCTCCCTTGTGTCCTCCGCCGTAGCCGCCGCCGTAGCCTCCCTTGTGTCCGCCGCCGTAGCCTCCCTTGTGTCCTCCGCCGTAGCCGCCGCCGTAGCTTCCCTTGTGTCCTCCGCCGTAGCCGCCGTAGCCGCCCTTGTGTCCTCCGCCGTAGCCGCCGTAGCCTCCCGGGCTGGCCAGGGCGAGTGCGCAGAGCGCGGAGAGCACCACCAGAGCCGACAGGACCTTCATGCTGAGCGCTGGCTGGTAGAGCAGGCTGTGACCTGGCACTGGCTGGTCGGTGTCGGGCTTTATACCGGCCGGCCGAGGTGGTGCGCGGTTTCTTCGTGGCTAGGTCACGCTCGCATAGCGCTGGCGCTGACATGTCGTGACCTTTCTTGTCACGGCGTACACGCTGTGTGACATGACAAGACTGTTCAGTGTTTCACGTCGTTCCTGCGTGGCTTGAGTATTACACAATACAGATCATGTACTAAAGTGCCGATTTTCCTCTGTAAGCTTCAATTGTCATCCACTATGAATGTTCTTTTTACTTCCTGACATTCCCGAAAATACGTACAACCGTCTTATTATTACATTTCCGCTTCCTCTCTTCCCAAACTTGTATCTTAATAAAGTGTACAATGAGTAACGACTAAAACAATGTGCTTTCACACGGCTCCATGAAGCGTGGTGTGACCTTGTGGTAGGTCCTTCCACTTTTTGATGGTTTCAGACCCTTGTCTGCTATTTTGGGGACGCTAGCCCCTTGAAGCTACGAATTACGATAGAATAGCGTTGCGTAATGCGTACCTTTGCCAAGAAAACAGCGGATTTCAACGCGATGTGATTTAATCGAAAAGACAGAACTAGGAAAAAGGCAGCAATAATCTTCCAAAATGTCCACTTGTGGAGGGGTATCTCTATCATTTTACGAGGAATGACAGGTACGTCTCGAAAAGGATATGCAATGAAATTTAGATTGGTTTTCTTATTTCTAAGAAATAGGAGCTCCCAGGATTTAAATTATAAAATTACCAATTGAACACTTTACCCTCACGCTGATCAGAGTAAAGAACCCTTCTCGTTAACTTTGAGCCGAGTACAACGAACAGGGTTTTACCAGAAACGTTTAAGATTGTAATCAAGGAAAGCAGGATATCACTTAACGACAAATATCACAACTGAGAGAACAAAACTAGTTTGAAAAATGTCCAAGATGTGACTGAAGTCTAGTAGTTCGAAGTACAGAAACAAGTTACAACTTACATTATCAGCTGGTTCTCATGTAGAATCATTTAGTGCTAACGTAAAGCCTCATGAACCACACAGCCTCCCGTTCGACCTCTCTGGACTCTGATGTATCCTACGGGCGCACAAATCCTTCTTCTGAACACCTCAAATCCCCTGTTCCGGGTTGGACGGTCACCTTCAACCGACATGAGCAGCTCCTCACAATCAGACTCACGTGAGGTGGAGTGACCGCCAGTGGGTCTGGATAGCCTGCCCACTGGACTGGCTCAGCCCCTTCGGCGCACCAGGGTGGGTTCCAATACCAAAGTCTTCCCCTGGTTCCTGTCATCTTCCCGACGCTAAAATCATCTCATTAGAAGGAAAAGGTCCAGATAAGAACGACCTCTCTCACCACCTAGTTAACCAGCTGGCCAGCTGCTATCATCCGCACACCCAACCCGCCGGTGCCACCGTCCGTACCTCTGTCGACCCGAAGAACTCTCCGTCGGGTCGGAGCAGGTTGAAGGCCACGATACCGCCCTGTGTGACCGCGCTGTCGTACTCGGTGTCAGCGTACAGCCGGACGACGGGCGCGCCGCTGCCGTGTCGCAGCTCCGCCAGGCGGCGGTACGTGTACCGGGCCAGGCCAAACACGTGAGACGACACGGCCGACATCGAGCCTGGGGAGATTGAGGAACCGGCGTGATGGCATCGTAAGTACCTGAGGCGCTATGAATGTCTGAGATCTTTTTCCTAACGAAGGTGACATGGACATCAGCAAAAAGCATCGGGAAGACGCCGACAAAGTCTGAGATCATTAAACAAAGCGTGCACGAACCGAAGAAGCCGGTATCACAAGAAAAGAAAAATATTTCGGCGTGACTCATGCCGGTCTCAATGCATGTAATTATGCAGGCACGGAGGCGACACGTCCACCGTAATTATGCTTATATGTATCATAGCCAGCGTATTATGAAAGCGAGGTCTGGAGCGGTACCTGTCAGTCTGCGTAGCGTGTCCAGGCCGTGGGTGACGGCAGCGATCGCCAGAAACGGTACCGTCCCGTCCTCCATCCTGACAACAGAGGCCAACGTGAAACAGCGATACGTAGGCGCGACAGAAAGGACATCAACACAGCAGAAAAACTTTTACAAGTATTCAATATTTTCAACTGATCGTCTGTGAAACGGATCATATACAATACGCTGATATACATACATGATATCGATACACAAATGCATCCAATCGATGTCTAATGCCCAGGCTCCACTACGCGATTTTCCGTGCGATTTTGTGATAATGTGAGAATGCGACGCCCTTGACGACGATGCCAGAAAATATTAATCTAGTGCAAACGGATGCGCTGAGCCACACTGCGAGAATCGGATTATCGCATAACATGTCACGCAAAATCGCTCGCTCACGCATTATCGCAAAAAGTTTAGAATTTTGAACTTTTTGGCGATAATGCGATATCGCAATATCGCAAAATTCCACGGAAAAATCGCGTAGTGGGGCCTGGGCATAACAATCGCGTAGCAGACTTCCAAGACTGCACATACCAGTCGGTCACAGCGAGGGATCCCACCAAATCTCTAGCATAGCACAGCATAGGATCCAGCAGACCCGTACCTTTCGTGGAGGGCCTCCCGCGGCACGTGGAAGTCCTCGCCAGCCAGTGACACCTGGACGGTGCCGCCGCCAAAGTAGGCCTTTTGGAGGGTGTGCTCCGCCCGACGGTGGACCAGAAGGGCACCTGGGGGTGACAGGGGTGACAGATAGGCTTATAGGGCCGCTGTGGGTGCCGGAAGGTTTCTAGGGAGAATGACAGCTGACATGTAAAGGGGCATACCAGAGTGTTCAGCAATGAGTTTAATGATTTGGTGATGCAAAATCGTGAGGCAAGGAGGATACCATTACAAATATGGTGTGATTCGTGATAATATGCCATTCGCTATTCATGCGCTTATTTGTATTTATTATATGCCATAATTGGCATCAAAACAAATCCTAAATGAATCAGCTGATATATAAAAAACACCGTTGCAATTTGGTCATCTATCTATAGCGTTATCATCCATCTTTGTTCCGTGGCCGTGCCCCGGCTCACATCGCCACCGCGGCCCGCCGGCGGACTTTCACCACAGTTAATAAGGGCCAGGGTCCCCTCCCACCTGAGGGCTCTCAGTGCCGCTCTTGAGGCGCCCGGTGGCGTCATCGGTGCTGAGTCACCGTGACTGAGCGATTCGGCGCCTGAGACCGGTGACGGCGCACAGCCGGCACGGAGCCGCTTGGAATATAGGCGCAGAGAGGCTGCGAGCGAGCCGATCAGCCACGAATGCGGTACCTACGAGTCGCGATTATCTCCCGGGCCGAGATTCGGAAACAGGGGAGATTACATCTCAATACCATTACTTGATAATTGCTAGGAAAGAGATGCCAATGAATCATGTGCACTGTGCACATGTGTGCACAGGCAGAGACGATGAATCACTAATACACTAGTTTTCGCGTTGCTACAAATTATGACTTGTCACAAAGCGCGCCGTTATATGTATCTTTTATCGTCCTTTCTTCAACAATAAGAAAAACACGCACTGGCGCGTACAGGGAAGTCATCTAATTCGCGTCATCTCACTGAATACGTTTAATTCATCATACAACTCCTCATCTGATTCGAGTGTTGCACAACTGCTGTGCAGTCTGAGCAGTAACTGTCTAGTTATTTACGAACCCAAGCAGTCATCATACTCACCGAGCCCAGTGGGGTATCCAAACATCTTGTAGAACGATATGCAGACGAAGTCGGGCTGCACGCGGCTCAGGTCCAGGTCGCAGGTGGCGGCGAAACTGGCGGCGTCCAGCAGGGTGTACCAGCGACAGCCGGGTGTTGGGGGCGGGCCACGCACCACCGAGCCGGTACTGAGGCCGTCCAGCGCCCCGCGCCGCGCCGCCGCCACCCAGCGCAGCGGGTACTTCACGCCGGAGAAGTTACACTGCGCCGGGAACGCGAACAGACCGCGCCGCTCCCCGTCCGCCGCTCCGGAGTCCCCCTCCGACCGTTCCCCGTCCACAGGAGCCGTCTCCGGCTCCTCGTCTCCATCCTCTGCTCCAGACAGAGCCGCGGCGGCAGCGGCGGCCGGCAGAGCCGTGACGCTGACCGGGCGGCCGGCCAGGCGGGCGCGCATCCCAAGCACTGAGGTGTGGCTCTCCTGGAGGTAGACGAAGGCGCCGGGCTCCCCCGGCTCACCGCCGAACTGGAACGCGTCAGCCACCAGCGCCAGAGCTGCTGTCGCGCCAGAGGTGAACACCACCTGGTACTGGTCACTGACCGTGTGAAAATGTTGCAGAAGCCTGGAAACGAGCCACCGGCGCGGCGTCAGCACCCATGCGGCACTTTAATTCATCTGTATCAAGTTTAAACCAAAAGATCAAACAAGGACAGCGCCAAAAGGTAGACAAATCCTAAGGTAACTATGCATAATAAGTGAAGAGCAAGCTTGGCATTGTTGTTTATTAGAACTGAGTTGACCGCAACAAACACTATAGTCAGTCATCGATCATGCATTCAGTGACTAGGTATAGCACGATCAGCAATGCCCCGGGCCCCGTTCGCACCTGAAGCGCGCCTGGTCGATGGCGTCCGAGGTGGTGCGGCTGGCCGGGCTGCGGGTGTGGGGGTTACCGTACACGCTCCGCTCCAGGTCGCGACGCACCGCCGCCAGCTGCGAGCGGCTGTACAGCGTGGTACCGGCATGGTCCAGGTACGCCCGGCCTGCAACGAGACGGGCCGGCGGGATACAGAGCCTGTGGCAGGCCAGGTAGGCAAAGACACACATTTGCACCGACATCAAACCAGACGGGGTTAGAGCCACGTAAACCTGCAGCGAGACGGAAATGTGAGGCGTGGAATGAAGAGGTTGGCAGCTGTTTCGCACGCTAAGCGCATACATCGTCTACAGTCTACAAACATACACATTTCAGCGCGCATGCAAACAGGACGAGTAGCGGACACATTTCAGCGCGTACGTGAACGTGACGGGTGATGACTCGGCAACGGCGAACGGTGCGTGTGGTGTGGTCACATCAAACACGCGTCGCCGACTAAGTTCAGGCTTCGTTTCCGTGAGGCGACCAAATCAGCCCGATCAGGCGGTCGTGTGTGCTTGTGTGTGCAGGTGGGGAGGCGGGGGGGGGGGGGGAGACGTCATAGACGCGTGCTGACTGCTGGCATTTGACACGGGCCAAAAGGACAAACAGAACGTAAGCTAGCGATACGTTTCAGTGTACAAACAAAGGCATCGGCACCCCACGCCACGAATACGCCGTATCACCTTAGGGCTATCACCAAATAATCTACACTTGGCCGCAATGCCCTAACGAATCATCCATGATACCCAAATCATGGAAAAAGATTTTATAATGCAGCTGTGTTAGAAATAGATAGATGGAAGGGTTGAGTACAATTATCAGCTATACCGTTGACCTTCTGGCCCTACAAATCAAGCAACCATGTGAGTTGGTATTGTGCCAGCCACGAACTTCACGACTATAGGGCAATAGTGTAAGTTCAAAATTAGATAAGACTCATCAAAAATATAATGAAGGCTGTTACATTACTGTCTTGCTCTGTGGTTGTTACTGCTTTCCTTGAGTCCAACAGGCATAGCTGACCGAATTGAAGGGACAGAAGGCATTCCTCAGGACACGGTTCGTCAAAAAGTCATTTCATCCACAAAAGAAAGGAAATACCATTTGAAAGCTGACGGTAAGCTGATTCCAAAAATGTATTTTTATAGAAATCGTTCAATGGCTTTTTTCAAAAATTTGAATTACATTCTTGTAAAAACGTAATAACTTTTTATTCAACGCGCTGTCCAGGACAGTCTTGAAATCATAGGCATGTTTTTTCGTTTTCCAGTGAAAGCTGAATACCAAAGGAACAATATGCAGCAATAAAATATTCTCAAATATTAATATGCGCCTCTCACAGCCGGCAACAAGGCGCAATCACACAACTCAGTATTGTCCGTGGTCCCCGACTCCCGAGCAACTAAAGATGGAGGCTCAGCCCTCAGGCTAAGCTGCAGTGATTACTCACCTGACAAAGTCCCAAATTCTTCATCAAAATTATCGACTATGCTCTCTTTGACAACAAATGAGGATTCCATGGTCTCTTTTTCCCAAATTTTACAGACGACCCTCCAACACAGTTACACAACAACCCTCCTCCGATGCCCTCACAAGCGAAACTGCCCAAACTGCCGTCGATAAGGCATGAATTGGTGCCCTGTTCACTAACTCAGCCATCCAATAATCTGACGTACAAAAGCAAAATGCCTAGCAACGGATACCATAGAAGGCCATAGAGCGTCGCAAGAGAAACAGCAGGTTGCTATGGAAATGTGTCGGTAGTGCAGGACTATCTCGACAAACGAACAGCTTTGCTGCGCATTATTTTGTCCTATCTGCGCAGTTTCCTAATAAGTCATTTGTTTGGATGGGGCTCTGGTATTAACTGGATAATTCGCCAGCTGACGCCGTATGGTGGCGCTAGTGGAGCAGCACCATATGACGTCAGCAGAAAACACCGTGAGCAGCTATGAAATGGGAGCGAGCAGCACGGAAATATTGAAAGGTGATGGACATGTACTGACTTTGGTCATTCAAGTACCACCAACACCATACAAAAATCATATAATATCATCAAGACTGATTCTGAAATCGATTCGTTCGGGTATTCAAAACACACAAAAAATGTTTGTTACCGAATTCTGAAACAGTATAAGGATATTCTTGTTCCTTACTTTTACCTTGTGGAGTACTTTTACTTGCTTTCTAGTGCACCCATCACTATCTTGAAATCTGGATTGCAACGCTGTAGGAAAACTTTTTTTCGTTTGTCATTTCTTCCACTTTTGAGCAGTGATAATTTATTTTGTTTTATACATTAAATAATGAAGACGGCTCCTAACTTTTTAGGGATCTGCAGTGGCCCAATGGGCCCAGAGAGCAAAATCAGATATTTTCTAGAAACTTGAGGCCACTATTTTCTTATACGCTAGGTAATATACAAATATTGACATGTAAAGAATGATACGGGTGTATAATACTGCAGAAATATAAATTCAAAGTATTTGAATTTTTAAGAACCTTTCTAAAATCTTCCATAATGACTTCTTTCAATACAAGCTGGAAGCAATTTCAATCAATAAAGCAGCACAAGGCAGTACATTGAGCTACGATGATCCATAACCAATCGGCACCTGCAATTTGATTGATCTTCGAGATGTACCCTGCCTCTGTTCCCTGACTTTCCCTTTTCGTTGTACCGGGTGAAGTGAATATTCTGTGAATATTCTTCTGACAGTCAGTTTTTAGTCCTACATTATGTTGTCAATCAGATTTAATTGGTTCAAAAACCGTCGTAGTCCGTCTCATTCGCAGTCTACATCTCCACATGCGCACCCATACATGCTCAAAATTTTCACTACGTATGTACTATTGTAGTGTACCCCGCAGCGTATGCTGATGAAAAATGTTTTGTTAAAATCAGAGACACTTCCCAAGGTAGGCCATAGTCCATGGCCATATATTTAAGTCAAAACGGATGAAACAGATAAACACAATTCCAATCATCAAGTCAACCAGCATCGACAATCTGCACATAAGTTCTAAACCTATTGTAAGACTACTTTGTATTCAAACTTTGTATTGCAGAAGGGTGGAAGCTGCATGGAATTATGCGACAATTTCAGCGTGCATCCACGCTCGAAAGAGCAGGGTTAATTGTAACAATGTCAATACCATAACAATAACGTAATTGTAGGTGTTGTGATTCGGTTGTCTCTTGTCTGTGCTGGCCATTGCGCGGGCGGTCCAGCGGCGGAACTCGGCTTCGCCGCCGTGGCGCGCTGGCAGTTGCTTCTTCTTCTTCTTCTGCATCCCATCGCCAACCCGCTCAGGGGGGCGGCGGCGCAGGCGGGTCGAGCGGCGGCTCGGTCCGCCCAACATCCTGTTGTTGTTGTTGTTGTAGTTCCCTCCGTCCCTTAGCGGGACGTAGCCGTCCGGCTCAGGAGCGACCTGTACGCGGTCACTATGGCCGCCATGATGTCGCTGCTTCGGACGTCCTCCTCTCTGGGGTATATGGATCCCAGCAGTCTGAATCTTGTAGTGATTAGAGCCGGGCAGCGCAGCAGGACGTGCCTTGGGGTGTCTGCCTCCTCCCGGCATACTAAGCAGTAAGCAGCGGGCCGCAGGGCAGCTGTGGTCCGAACACTGCTCGCACTGCCGGGAGGGCGCCAGCCCGACTCTGTGACGCCACTGGTTGGAGCTGGACCAGTGGCCTGCTCTCAGTTGGTGGATATCCACCGCGGTCGACCGGTCCTCACCCGATACTGGTGGTGGGAGTCGACCGCCCATCAGGTCTCTGTACCACCCGGCCGGCCAGGCCTGGGCAGTACGGGCGCGCGCTGACCTGGCTGCGGCGCGGTGGATGGTGCGTCCACCTCGATGACCCAACCAACGATGACCCACCCAACATCCTCGATGAAGGTGACGACCGTCGTCGCCAGGCCGCCGAGGACGTCGACCAGGCGAGGGTCGACACCCCAGCGGCGGCGGCGGGCCGCCTCATAGGCCGGACAATCGGTCAGTAGGTGCGCCGCGCTGTCGGGCCCCCCGCACGCGAGGCATTCGTCGTCGGCTTCCGGGCCAATCTTGTGGAGCGTGTCACGGGTCAGCGGTGATGTGCCGGTCCTCAGCTGGGACAGCGTCACCGACCCCAGCGCGCCAGGGAGTCGTGGCCAGGCGTGGGGTCCGGGTGCGGGTGGGCAGCGGTTGCCCTCTGTCGCGACAGCTCCCGGACATGGCGCGTGACGGCGGCCCGCGCACCCGACAGGTCGATCGGTGCGCTGTCTTGGTCGCCCGCCATGGCCTCGCCAGCCAGGCGGTCGGCGGTTTCGTTGCCGTCCAGCCCGGCATGGCCTGGCACCCACTGGAGCACCGTCTCGGTGCCGTTCTCGGCGAGGGTGCTCAGCAGCCTCCAGACCTCTGCGGCCAGGGCCATGGTCTGGTTAGCTGGGCCGCGGCCGAGTAGTTGGAGCCCAGACCTTGAGTCGGTGAGGAGGCGGACCGACTTGGTCGATGCCAACTCCCCGTCCTCCAGGCCGGCCACAGCCGTGAACGCCTCGCGCATGGCGGTCAGTTCTGCTCTTAGGCTGGAGCAGACCGCCCCTGCAGGAGCGCGCACGGCCTCTTCTCTGTTGAGGTGGTGGAACTGGATCAGCGCCTGCGCCGCCCTGTTCCGTCCGCCGCGAGCCGAGCCGTCCGACCAGATAGTGACGTCCGGGTGCGGGAGCTCTGCAATGGCTCGCAGGGCAGCTTCCCTGCGGACTGCAGGCGGGTCCGACCGGCGGGTGGCCACGGCCAGGTCCACCCTGAAGGTGATGCCGCCGCGGTGGCCCAGCCATGGCGGGTCGCAGCTATAGAACGCCGAACCTGTAACACAATAGAATGGCAATTGTAACAAAGACCTGCATGGTCAGCACACATCTGCAGTGACTGTCATCCCAAGTTGGTATGAATTGGCACAACGTTGGGTCATGGTAGCAGACGTAGCACAAGCTGTTGTGATACCTATGCCATACCGTAGGACTTGGTCGTAGGATGTAAATTTTAGGTTTAAGGCAGTAGGTTGTAGGTCAGGTTAGGTAAGGTTTGGTTAGAAAGACCCATTCTCGTGCATCGGGCAGCTTGTGCTACATCTACCTTAACCCGCGCCCTGGTGGGGTCTGTTTATAACGCGACCTGGTGGGGGGGGGGCTATTTTTTGCCCCCCCCCCCCTCGTATCTCCGAAACTACTGGACGGATCTGCAAAATTCAAACGGCGTTCGAAAGGCCTGTCAAATTTGTCGAAGGAAACTAAATTTCATTGACCTCGGGGTCACCGATGACGTCACAGGTCAGGTCAAAGATGAAATGTTTCACCGTTCACGGGGCTTCTAGGGAATGCGCTATAACACCGAGGAAAACGCATTTTGTCGAGAATCAGCGGTAGGGCGTCAGTTGCCTAGTAGATATGTTGCTATTAGAGGTCACTGGCAATACCAGGTCAGGTCACAGGTCAGGTCACCAAGGGTCACAGGTCAGGTCACATGAGCCCAACTTTACTCAGGTTGTGTGATACATGTTTTATGGCCAATTTTTCATTTCCAACTCAATGGTGTTGGTTATAAGACTATCAGGTACGGCTTAGGTCAGTTTCTGGTGAAGTTCAGGTCAAGGTCAGGTCAAGGTCAGGCCAAAAAAGGTCAAATTTTAAAGTTGATAGTTTTGCATAAAATGGGTATTGATTCGATGCAGCTCGTCACGGGGAGTCTAATGGTGGTCTTTGTTTTGCGCTACGGGGTCTAGAATTGCTAAAAATTGAGTTTGAAAGTTTGACGTCATCAATTTTGAACAGTTTTTTCGCTATAACTTCGCCAAAAAAAGAGGTATCAATCTTAAATTTGGTATGTGGATGGAAGGCGGTAAGGACTATCACATATATTCCGGTTTTTGCGAAATTCAAAAAACTTTTTGGATTTTTCGATTATTATATCCAAAAAATCTTTTTTTTGATTTTTGGGGGTCTAAATCCAAAAATTTCAAAAATCCGAGATAGCAGTTTTGTAGCCCTGTCCAATCTACAGCTTTTATGTCTTTATCATTTTTCTGTATTTGCAAAGCTATAGGCCTGGCAGCTCTTCCCGCGAAACCTTTTTTTGGGTCGAAAACGGCAGAACATGACGTCACTCTGACGTCATTTCCGGCCAACCTATCATAGCCTTTGGAAAAATTTTTGGTCACAATGTGTAGAATTGATGTCCGGGAGGGTACTGAAAGTTTGGTAACGATCGGCGCAGCGGTTCTGGAGATATATCGAAAAGTCTGGAGGGGGGGGGGCAAAAAATAGCCCCCCCCCCACCAGGGCGCGGGTTAACGTACCAATACCCAATTTGGATTCCCAAAATTGATGGCAAACAGGCTTTTTGTATAACAAGTGTGGTTAATTGTTCTAATCCCCGCTGCAATGTGAGGGTAACTGCTTTTCTACAATCACAAAATTTGAATTCATATAGGTAGGTGTTTACATGTTCAGAAAATGATACAAAATATGACACAATTATAGCTGCAACTGGATAGTAGATACCAACCTCAACTTAAAGTTTCTGCAGCCTTATTACCTAACAAATGACTTAATTGCCAAAATAAATCCCTTAGTACAATAGCTTGACTCTAAAGTAACAGAAATTTTGCATGCAGACCCTGAAATGGAGGGTTTATGAAAAGTAGGTATCAAAAATAAACATTCACTAATATCAATATGTTGTTATCATTATAGAGTTCAGTGGTTGTTATAAATTTCATATGTAGCATAAGCGCCAATACTGCCTTCATTTACAATGTTGCTACTGTTTTCCACTCACAAACGCTGCCCTCCGTGGACAGCAGCAGCAGCAGTGAAACGTCACCCGTGGTGTGACATCATCACCCATGACGTAATGGAAATCCAGTTGTTACCAAGGCCCTTTGGATGCCGGAGTGGGAGGTTTGCGGTGGGTAAGTTGAGTTATGTGATATGCCCACATTATTCATTTTTTTGTTGCAACCTATCATTTGAGTTCTTGGTCCTGATAATATGAGGATCATAAAGCTGAATCTGGATGAGAATGAAATGAGTTGCCATTGATTGATTTCTGCTGCATCGATTCCTGAACGATAACTCAAACTTGACCCAGCTTTTATTTCAATTTTCCGTGCAATGCAAACAGCTCAACTAGGTAGTATTACATGAGAAAGCTGACTTATTTATCATTAACTGTACGCCAGACAGTGATTGATCCAGTTGGCCTTTTTGTTCAATGGATTAATGGATCAATGGATGGATCAATGGATTGCTCGGGGACCACAGACAATACCCGCCTAGACACCCACTGGGCAGACTTCGTACACACGATTCCTTACACAGACCAGTAAAGCCCACACTAAGCAGCTTGACTGGAATGGACCTAAAGGCCAAGAAGCCTATCAAAATTCTGTACTTCTAAGTCTTAGTAAGATTAATTTAAACGTGAATGGGCATCTTTTGCAGACATTGACAAATGACAAATCCCATAAATTCTGCTAATGTCTAAGTGCACCCACACCACCTCGCACCCAAGCCCACACCACCCAGAGCACTATTCTTATTAGGATGCTGCTGGCTTCCCCATATCAATATATGCTAGTTCTTCAAAAAAAAGTGACTCCACAGCCCACTCCACAGCATATTAGTTAAATATGCCCTTTCATGCAACATCTGCCTTACCAATACAGTAAATAGGTACCTTACTAGCGATTCTTGGCATCTAGTCATTGCTCATTGGTGAACTGCACAGACTACATGAATTTGACCAATGAGGCAATAAGGAGTCAACATGCACTGGCAAGCTGGAAGTCTGCTCTGCTGAGTGCTTATGAACGATGACCGAACAAACAACACCAGGGCCGAAAATTTCCACTTCATTACATGCCTGTTATCTGTATTTGCATTAAGTAATTAACCACTGTTTTTTTCAGCAGCTCAACCATTGGTGGGGTGAAGTGGTTTTAGACTCAACTCTTCTCCACACACCACTCTGTGGCGATGAGTGGCGGCTCGTCCTCCGGCGCCGCTGGGCAGGCCCAGGAGCTGCGCCATCTCTCCGACCTGAGTCCGCCGGCGGCCAGCTCCTCCGGCCCTCCGTCGGTCACCATCGAGTCGGAGACGGGCGCGCGGCGACCGCGACCCCGCGCGCGCGGCAGGGCCGACCCGCCGGCACCGCCGCCGGCGACATCGTCGGCCGAGGCGGCGCGAGACAAGCACGCATTCAAGGGTAGGTGGCCCGCCAGGGATGTAATAACAGCGGGGAAGGTGATCGGTGTAGTGATGGCCATCGCAGAATTATTGGTGGCCATGGCTGGCCGTGTACTGCATGCTAACTGACCATGAGAAGGAAGGGGGCGTTGTATAATGCAGTATAATGTATGTATTAGAGAATCGTGGTTATGTGGCTTTGTGTAGGCGATGCATGCTTTTTTAGCATGTCATCCATATTGAAGTTTGCACTATCATGCTTTGACTCAATAACTGCTTATCAGTATCATCAACAGCTCTGTGCTTGGTAGCTCGGTAGCAGCTAATTCAGCGTTGGACCTTCGTTTTTAGAGCCGGGATCGGGGATTTGAAGTCTCTTCGGCGCTCGTCGGATCTAATGCCGGAAATTGTCTGTAGTTTGCGGGCACAGCTGTAGCCAGTTGAAGTGACTCGACGAATTATGCTCGACTTTGAAATATAATTTTTACGATTACCCGGTATTACTCGATCAAGCGATAGGGATCAAGCCCCGCCTAGCGTTGGCTTCGAATCCCGGTTCCATCAATCCATCCACTCAAATGGATTGTATTGATGACGGAAATCCATTTGAACATTTGAGCTAAATTAATGTAAAAAGTAACCGAGCATGTTTTGCTGCTTGTCGTTTTTGTATTTTGCACGCATGCGTACGTAACCATACATACTATTAGTATTAGCGTAGGTACTAACTCAACTCAAGACCTACTGACCAGCTATAAATACCCTTTCCCCAATAATGGTGGGTGTGGTTTCCCGTTGAACGCCATAGTTCATATTTTGTTACCTTCTGTTTTGGCGTTTGTACTTTGTATCATACACTTTGCAATGGTTTTATTTACTCTGCGTTTGGTAATATTCAGTCTGATATTACCGTCGTAGTATTTCAGTTCGCCTGTCGCCCTCCGCGTAGCACCACAGAGCGTTGATGCCGCTGTGTCCCCGCCTGTCTGTGTGCCCCTGTAGCGTTGTTCCGTGGCCGCGCCTGTGCCGCGGCCGGCCGGGCCCGTGCGGCAGGGTGTCCGGTGACTGAGCGTCGCCGCAGGTGGCGTGCCGCGCCCCTGCCGACACCACTCGTTTCTCACAGAGCCGGCGGACGTGAAGCGCATGGAGGCTGACCTGCTGCGCCTGATGCAGGGCTTCAACTCGGGCAGCCTGCGCGCCTTCGGTGAGTCAAAAATGTGACAGCGCTCTGTGCCAACCTGACGTTACCCTGACGCTCAGTGGCAGGGACAAGGAAACATTTTTCTTTGCTTGATTGTGCTTGGTTGCCGAGTGGGCTTCGGAGAAAAGGAACTAGGTATATAATGCGGAATCGTCAATGCGCTCGAAAAATGCATGATCCATTCTGATTCAGAAATCAGGATTTACAGATATTGGTCGTTAGATGTCGTAGTGTACAAATGTGCAGTGCAGTGCACCGTTACTGATTTGCTCGCCGATGTCGGTCCGGCAGGTAAGGACGTCAGTATGGAGCAGATGGAGCAGATTCGCGAGCAGCAGGAACGACTGGCCAAGCTGCACTTCGAGATGGGCGCCCAGCAGGAGCTGTTCCCTCCGCTCTCGGAGGAGGGGCTCAGCCGCGCCTCGGCCAGCCTCCAGCAGCTGATGCAGCAGCTGCAGCAGCTCTCCAGCTCTATCGAGAAGCTGCACTCGCGAGCCGACGCCCCGGCGGCCGGCCCCGCCTCCACACCTCAGGAGCCGCCTCACGGAGCGAGCACCTGAGAACGGTGACTGCAGTCTGCCGCTGTCCCCTCCGCCACACCTGAACACGCTGCGGAACGGTGACCGGCAGGCCGTGCAGCTTCGCAGTGTTCATTATGTGATATTTATCCGCCATGAACTGCTGGCGGTGATGAGCACCGAGTGTTGGGACCAGTGGATGCGCTGATGGTCCTGCAAGTGAGCTCAATCAAGACGAATGGAAGCCAACAGAGTGGGGATGAAGTATTGCAACATCTCCGTACCATTACTTGGACGTTTTGAACGTTGCTAAATAGTAATCGTGCACCGTGCGGCAAGGCATGCTGCCGAGTTGACCCCCGTGACTGTTCGTTGCGTGAACAAAGCGCCAAAGTGCAGTCCGAACTCCTTGATCAATTACAACTCGCGCTCACAGCAGTGATTGCATTTTGCACGTGCGTTCCAGCAATGTGAGATGCTGGAATAGTCATCACTTCTCATCCTTTATCAGAGGCGTTCGAATGGCTTTCACCTTCAGTCTTCCCACGCAGTATTTCAACGCGCGCGTCGTGCTTGACTTGGTGTCCATCTTTGCTATACTTCGTCTTCATCCTATCCTGGATTATCCTGAGGTCGGATGATTGCTGGTCTAATTAATTATTCTCGCAGTTAAGCCATAATGTCCCGGTCTATGTCGGTGAATCTATGCGTTTTATTTTTACTTTCGTCAATATGTTTTAAATGTGTGCATTTATCAGATCAGTGTACGTACGCTAGGCGGAGTTGATCGTGGATTGGCAGAGTTCTGCGATTTGTTAGGGAATTTTGGACTGACCGTAGGATGAAATTCGGACGTTTAGCATGTGTGCTAGCATAGTCAGCAACGACCAAGGCTATATAAACCGTAACGACCAGCGGGCTCTGTTGCGAATGTGATTGTGGCAATTTTTCAGTGTGCAGCTTAAGGGCATGGAAGAAATATAGCTTGAGGGTAAGGCAAAATGTTGCTGTGACAGTTAACACTGCTTTCGTCGCAGTTCGCCGTTCTAGTCGTGGGCTACTGTAATGTATTGCCTCTGCGTGAAATGCTATCCCTGCTCGGCGGTTTTGTCGCTCTAGTCGGCCTAGCAGTCGTATGTCCGAGCGAACCCATACTGAAACGTCCGAATGTCGGTAGGTGCGGCGCGCGCGCCTAGCCAAGATGAGAAGAGTTGTACTACTCGCTATATTTTTGACAACGAACGAAAATATACCCTGCTGTGTGTGCCTGGCGTCATGATTTTCGATCCTATATTGGCTATTATAGGGATCTGGTAGGTTGCATGATGGCATAATGACGTCCAGGAAATTTGGCACCCTCCACTCGGATCTCATGCTTGTCACTTGTTTGCCGCTGTCAGCTGCACTCCGCGGGACCTGATAAGTGAAGAATGCCAAGATCATAGGCGCTCTACGTGACTACGTTCGGGAGCAATTCGGGAGGTTGTAGTTCGCCTCTTGGCTTTCCTAGAAAATTTAGGAATGTCGGGGAATTTACTACACGATGCCCCTGTGAGTCCCGGCAGCCAGTCCATTTTTCGCTGTACATAATGTTATTTCTATATAATAATAGTAAATAATATAATAACAATATAACAGGAGCAATAATCATATTAGAAAATAATGTTATTGGCTGCATTTTAAATTTCATGATTAAAATTTTAATTTGATAGTCAAATTAAAATTTGATAGTCAACTTTCATTTTTAGCGCGGTGGCGTCAGTCACCAACCCAAAAATTTGTTCTTTTTATGTTTTTAGCAGCAAACACAGCACAGCTTTCCATAACGTCCGTCTTTGATTTGAAGCCTTTGCTATATACTGCCAGCGCTAGCAGCAGTAGAACAAAATACTGAGTTAGCTCCTAGCTCCAAGATGTTAGCTCGCGGCCCTCGCGGCCCCATAGCGCGTCGTAAATTCATTTCTATGGTCGTAAAGGACAGGTAGGATTTTTCAGGATTTTTATGTCCTTTTCGTCCCTTTTTTGTTTCAACTATCAACATCGGGAACAGTATTCAACTGGTATATACTGACTTGATTCAACTTACAAATACGCTGACGGCTCAGGCCGGTGATGTTTAGTTCAATTTTTTTAAGTTAAAGTTTCATTAAAGTAGTCCATTTATTGACAGAATTGAATTCTGGTTCGGTCTCGCCTTCTCCAGTCGTTTTAGGAACCATGAAATTTGAATATTGTTTTTTCTTATTTATCTGTTGATCTAGGTGTTTAGGAGTGAATGAATAGGATGGAAAATCATGGGTGGTATATGATACAAGAATGCATTTAATTGACAAATGAAACAGGTACCTATGTGGTTCATCTTTGGATTTTGGGTTTAAATTCCATTAATCTGTAGTTATAAGGCTGTTATCATCTATATTTGCACGCTGCCAGTTACCATATCCCTCCCATCAAACAAATCTACGGTCAGTCCGCTGCCAGCCCACTGTGCTATTCGAGGATACAGTGCGGACCACAATGACTGGTTACAATTCTGGTAACTTGATGGTAATCAAACTACAGGTGCAGAGCACCACCACAAATTTAGATGATGGTGATGATGACCTTATAGTAAGTAGATAGGAACTTATTAGTTTTTTCCAAAACCTCAACTTTGGAGCTAGGTATTTAATGTAATTTATAGGATGTGGCTGAGGCTCACTCTATCCCAAGCCATTTATCCCAAATTTGCTGAATTTTCAAATGGTGGCCCTCAGAAGGTGATCTGCCTGCCATCTCAACTTGCAAGCTCTTCACCCAACATGTAAATTCCAGGCTATAAGATGTCACTGCTGGTTCGCGCCACCCCAAGGGCGCACGTCCTATTTGTGCCTTTGAAGCGTTCATCACGGGAATCATTCGCTGCCACACCGAGACGGTACATCTCTGCAGGTTCGTTCCAGAAACTATACAGTATGAGACCTGGCATGACATATGTTGATGGTTCTGTAATTTACCTGCGATCTGTTCTGCTACACGATCTGTTCTGTTACATGTACCCCTGCTTTCTTGTATTCCTCCTTTCTGTGTCGTATGTCACTTACTACAGTCAGATGATTACCATTTACCAGTTACTTTTGCTGGATGGTGTTTGTAATGTGAACATGACAAATAGAACATTATTTTCAGATTCCGATGCAAAGGTGATAAATATCGGTGGAATCCGGAAAACCCTGCAGACTCCGCTGCATCCTGAGCTAGTTCCACGCCTCATCGGTAAGTTTGCTATACACATGACTGATCACTGAGTAGTGAGTATAGAGCCTCGCCGATGAATGCTGAGCATTGAACATTTATATTTTGTCATTAACTGTCATATACCCATTTCTCAAAGTTTTATAGGCGATCAAACCTGAGCGACTGCCCGACCTGGAAGTTATGATGTTTTCCATGTCAGTTGTTTGCTCATTTGGAGAGGAACTGAATAGTTTGATGCGTCTTCCGATGCTTATATCCGTCACGTCGCCCGTGCTCCGTGTTCCCAGAGCTGACCAGTCACCAGTCTGTACTGCGCACGCTGAAATGGATGCTGCAGAAGGATCTGCTGGGACAGGACATGTTTCTGATTGGGCCGCCCGGCCACTTCCGACGCACCGTCTGCATGAAGTATCTCTCGGTAATAATTCGCTGGGCCGGCGGAGATTCACCGGTAGATTTTATTGTTTGTTTTTGTTCAAAGCTGTGAACGTCTTTTCTCTCCTTGTTTCACTTGGTGTTACGTTCGGTTACCGGTTTCGTAAGCGACGTTGCCACCCATCGACGGTCCTATTGTCTTTTACTTTTTCCATCATTTAACGACATATTCCCGTATACATCCGCCATATGCCGTGTTTTCTCTGCGGTCATCGCTGCCGCTTTACTGCGATATTATGACATGTCCTGTGCTCGGCGTGTTGCAGCTGACCCAGCGCGAGGTGGAATACGTGGCGCTCTCCCGCGACACCACCGAGTCTGACCTGAAGCAACGCCGGGAGATTCGCGGCGGCTCCGCGCACTACGTCGACCAGGTAGGAAGGCCGCAGGTCAGGTGGTCAGGAGACGCTGATGTAGACGTCGGCTTTGGTTAACTTTTTGTATCTAATGATCCGTATCTTTCTAACGCAACTCGTGTATTTCGGCTGTAGTTTTCGATTGTTTTGTTTGCTTAGCCTAATGCGCCTGTGGAGACTGGCGGACCTGTCCCACAGCTGTGTTTTCCGTTGTCTCCGCCAGGCGGCAGTGCGCGCGGCCACACTGGGCCGTGTCCTGGTGCTGGAGGGCATCGAGAAGGCCGAGCGGAACGTCCTTCCCGTGCTGAACAATCTGATGGAGAACCGTGAGATGCAGCTCGAGGACGGCAGATTCCTGCTGAATCCCACCAAATACGACAGTCTATTGCTGGTGAGAGCCGTTATATGCTGTGGCATCGTCATAGTGTCGTAATGATGTCGTAATGGTGCTGTGGTTGCCGGTTATGGTGTCGTTGTAATGTTATGGTGTCGCTTCGGGGTCGTTAAAATACGACGAACTGAGAACGAGTTCCGTAGAAGGTGGGTCTGGCTATCGCTGTCGTGGCGATGTGTCGAGACTTTTTGGCGCCGTAGAATATTGATGCAGAAAACTTGTGTGCATCGTTTATTTTAGATTCAGTCGTAGGATAACGCGCGGTCTCCCTCCCTCCCTCCCTCCGGCCACAGGACCACTCGACAGAGGAGCTGGCTGAGCTGCGGCTGGTGCGTGTTTCCGAGCATTTCCGCGTGGTGGCGCTGGGTCTGCCGGTGCCCCGCTACATCGGCAACCCGCTGGACCCGCCGCTCAGGTCCCGCTTCCAGGCCTACGACCTGCGGCCGTCGGCTGTGCCGTTCAAGGTGGGTTCATGAACTGGGCGGCGCCGTTTAAAGTGAGCTCTGGACCTTTGCCCTTCCGTTGAAAGTGAGCTCCATGGGCGCAAAATGACCTTGTAGTCGGCGCGCCCTTAACCAATAAACAAATTAAAGTGAGCTCCGTTCTCTGTAGCGGGGCGATTCCGTTTAAATTGAGTTCCCGATTTCGATGGTTCAATGTCAAGATAAGCTGTGGCTCCTAGCAGCCTGACTGGACTACTTTGTCTGTCGTTCATCGTTAGCACTGTATAGTCGACTACAGAATGATGTTCCACTTTTCACAGGCAATTATTTGCCTGGAGTGGTAGGTTGCGCCGCATCACACGGGCTGAGTTCAGAAATTATAGCTTTGTCCCAATGCTCTCAACCGACACGCTTAATTGCATGATAAACGGCACAACTTAGCGCTCCGGTCAACTGATAGCTTCTGAGGAGTGGAACATCATTCTGTAGTCGACTATACACCATCGTCGTCGCCACACGTGTTTTTTCCAATGAACACTTGTATCAGATGGTCACGTCAAATATGACATTAAAGGTTAAATCACGTGAAAGTAATAGGAAAGGAACCGATCATAGTGAAGCTAGACATCAGTAATGTGCTGTCAATGATCTACTTTTGTTTCACGGCCACTTTTCCTACCCCAATCTTGATGCTGAGATGTGCTGTCAATGGCCTGCTTTTATTTCACGGCCATTTTTTCCGACCCCAATCTTGATGCTGAATAAACAACCTTCAGAATTCGCGATCAAAGGCCCGAGTGTCTGACGCCGGAATCAAAACCGTTCAGCGGCTAATAAAAGGCGACGTTTCGCCCCACGTCGCGTCCCGCTGCTCCAAACGAACGTCGCGGGACACGAAAATATCGGTGTCAAACGGAGACTAGCCCAGACCGCGCCGATTATATGACATCCCGCTCGATCGCTGCGCCCGAGACGGACGATCGGCGCTGAATGAAACTGTCGCGCTGGCTGAGTGCGAATTAACCCACACTTTTCACGCAGATATAACTAAATCAGAAAAGTCAACAATTAGACTATATCACGATGTGAGTACGAATCATCGTCCGGCTGCACATTTCTCGTCATTGCCGCTAAATACGGAAGACCGTCAAATTTCCCGGGGTTGTTGTAGTACGGAGGGGGGGGGGAGGGGGAGGTGAGGGCGCTGGCTGACGGGAATCGCTTGCCAGATTACCTGTCAAGGTGCGGGCTAATGTCGGGCCGCATGTCAGCGGTGGTCCGCCGTCCGGGCTGCTCGCGAAATGATTTGCGAGCAGTTCAGCGCATCCTGAACTGGGTCATTTTTATAGTATTTGGATTTATAGTTTAATTTCAGGAGGTTACGCGACCAGTCATTTTTATTTCATCGATTGCCCGGATCGGTATTTAAAATGTGATGGGTGTGCTCGTGAGAGTGATACAATGATTTCCTTAGGATGAGTTAATTTCTCGAAAGCCACTTCTATCCTAGATTTCAATTAGCCCAAACAACGTAGGTATGTCTGCGTCGTGTATTCGAATTCCGTTTGTTGCGTGTCTAATGAAACCACGGAAGCGCTTCCCGAGGCGGCTGAAAATGAGTAGGGGAGAGCGGGTGGGTCGAGACTCGGGTCTTTGAAGGCCACATAGACAGCCGCGGCCGGTCGAGTGGGGGCGGGGATGGGTGCCATCGGAGTGGGGCTCATTGAAACGTGAGTAGACACGGAACTGGATCGGCCTGTGGTTAGGAGAGGCGAATCAATCGGTCCGCCGCACTATGGTTGGAAACGGCCTCACGGATGGCCGTGGGCAATTTCGGAATATATGTATATTTGGGGTGTCATTCTGTTGGAAATTGATGAAATGTTTTGAATTGGGCAGAAAAAATTATTTAGTTGCGCATTTAGTCTCCATTATTGTACGTGGAATCGGGAGTTTCTGATAGTGGCTTTTTTGGTGCGCCGTCAAAGGTTTAAACAACCGCGCTGGTGATAGCATGTGGAGTACCTCCATGACGTTGTAAAACTGGATTATTATATATCAAAATAATCCTTGTTATGTTGGCTATCGAGTGGAGTGACTCTTTTTCCCATGCGTGTTCAAAATCAGGAACGGCATTGCATTCTGTTTGCAGTGTCACCACAGCAATATTTGCAAAATTACGGTTATGTTTCATTGGACATACAAAAAGTTCTCCATCGACCTCCATTGAGCTTTTTGGCAGAATAAATCTCTGTTCAATTCTGTGTAAGGGGAACGTAAAAGCAGACTGCGCACTTGTGCGCAAAATCGTCCGTGAAGCTTCATCTCCCGAGGCGTACCTACCCGTCGCTTCGTTAGCACCAGGTCGGCTCGTCAGTCTTGCAATCGTTTATCCTTATAAATGATGGTAAGAAGCAGGGTTGCGGAGTCGTGGTGGCGCCAAATACGACTCCGACTACGACTCCGACTCCTGACTCGTTGCCATGACTCCGGCCGACTCTGTCTCCGACTCCGGACCCCTGCCAGTGTTTCGGAGTCGTGAGGGAGCTGTTCCGATTCGGACCGACTCAGACTTCCACTGCGGGCTCCTGACCGACACCGACTCCGACTCCGACTCCTGGCTCGTTGCCACGACTCTGGGCGACTCCGACTCCGACTCCGACTCTGACTCCGACTCTGACTTCGACTCCGCACCCCTCGTAAGAAGTAACTGCTCGCCCCTGCACCTGGAGTATGGATATCGTGCAAACGTATATGGATATCCTGGAGTATGGATATGAATATCCACCGACAGAGCAGACATACAGACATGCTGTAAACGCCATTACACTGCCAATACCATGGCAAATCAAATGGCTATCTATGGTTTTTGATCATCGTTCTACATTTTCCAAAATCTTGAGCTGAATGTTGGCAATTTCTCGTGACTATACTTCACGACCATGATGCATGCATTTCTGAAATTGATCTTTTTTCAACCAGCCACGTACTCGTATGATAAAATGAATGTCACCATCGTGTTCTACGCCCAAAAGTACCCATAAAACATGTGTCATGCATGGGCTGCGAATAGGTACCAGTTTTAATTTTCGGGGTTATATGCTTACCTGATTGACCTGACTTTGAAACTGGCCAGTGGCCTATGTTTGACTGACCCCTACATTGATCTGACACTCTTTTAGCACTTATATGAAGGGTTGTGACAGTTGTGACAGTTGTGACAGATTGTTTAGGACCAACTGATGACTGAATTTATTTAGGACCAACTGATGACGATATAATCGAAACGCGAAACGCGAGGCACCGATTGCGAGGTTCTAAAGTCCATGCTACTGAAAGCCCGATTTCAAGTGTTTGACCTGACCTTGACCCGACCTGTGACCTCGAAATTCAACTTTAAAGTACTCATGTGAATCGTCTCGTCGCGTTCTTCTTTCGTTTGCCGCGCCTCGTGCGTTTCGCTGCGCCTATTTGTTCGCGAGTTATCGGCTGGGGGCGTTGAACGCCCCCCCCCCCCCGGCAAACGGCGGATGGGGAAATACCCCAGCAACTGCCGGATTAATCTGACGCATGTTTTGTCATTTGATCGTTATTTTATTTCTTGCTTTTTTGCCCAATCTAAAAAAAATCATAAATACTCTTTCTCCAAATTTTTTACCCTTTATGACCAATAGTAAGACACTGTGCGTCACTACGTTGATATTTCTCGCCCTAAAGCATAACAACAATATCCATTCAGTAATAGCAGTATTCAAAACATGTTCAAAATGCCTCGCGATATCGATAACATAACGAAAGACATAGGCGACTTATAACATACTTGCAATGATGACGTCACACACGCGTGACGTGACGTGACCTCGTCATTTCTGAGTTACTGTATGATGCACGAAAGACACTGGTATACCTATGCAAAGTTTCATCGCAGTCGGTCTACGCATTAACAAGTTATGGGCAAAACATTTTTTCGCGTTGACCCCCGGCCATCCGTGAGGCCGTTTCCAACCATAGTGCGCCGCCCCGATGCGGCAGAGAATGTCGGGCAGAAGGACGCGAGTGACAGTGCCGACCTCACAAACACCTATTACTGTGCCTGCCGGCCGGGACGGGGCGGGGAGGACGTGTCACCTGCGAATGGGGGTGGTGTTTGAGGCCGGCGATCTCTGTAACCTGACAATATTTTTATTGCAGCAGAAGATCAATTACTTTTAGGTAGCATAAAAATCACCTTCGTAACTTGGGATCATGAATGAGGTTGTATTGGTTGTGGCCGTACTTCTTTGACGGGGGTGTTTGTGACACGTTTGGCAAAACGTGGAGGGTTAAAACCAGTTAACTATAGCCATTGAACGTTTGATAGCCACAACAGGCACCCGGAACATATAATAATTTCTGTTGCGAAGAATGTTGTTTGTTTAGGTGCCAGTTGTGTGTCCTTAATTGGCCATTTAAAATTTGATAGCTTACGTTTAAAACCATACGTGTCGTGGTTCCGGTAACGTGACTGACGTTCTGTCTGCTCCGAGTCTCGCCGTAATAGTTGTGGCCAGTGGGTTCGCTGAATAGCCACTTGGGTCGTGATTCTCGACCATTGTATGGTGACATCGGAACATTATGCCGTCATCATCTCTGTTGGTGCCGGCTTCTGGAAGTCACTTTCTGTCGCATATTGCGGTCTTACGAGACGGTATAATTTTTGTCACGTGCAGTGGTGCAGCGTGTTTCAACCCTACCACGACATTGTCATTCAGCCACTTTTCTCTGCCATTTTTTTTTTCGCGTAACAACAGCGTGGCATGCAATTGATGAACAGTGTTTCTGCAGCACGATACAATGTGATTGACATTGTTTTATTGACGAATATTTCGATAAGAATATTTCGAATATTCGTATCGGCGAACATAATCCGAATATTTTGTTAATACATAGGCCTCAGATCTTTACACGGCAATGTTACAGATACAACAGCGGATGCCAAATCAAATATCAACATAACTATTAACTACTTTGAGCACGAATTTCTCAGCGTCAAAAAAGTCCCATTCTGCCCCACGCCTCCCCCACCGGCCGTCTCGGCTCGGCGTATCAGCGCGGCAGGCGCGGCTCCGCTGGAACCATCGCTCTGTCATGTCCGTCCGCTCCGCACGGGGTCGGTAGAAACACGTGCAGGTGGGTCCTCCGGCTGATGACGCCGCCCTGAATGGCCCAGTACTGGACGGCAGCGGCGCGGCCCCGGCAGGGTGGTGGCGGTCGGCGGGCGCTCCGCTCGGCCGGCTCCGTGGCTCTGTCTGTCCTCTCTGAGCGGCTGCCTCCCTGGGCGTCGTCTCTGGCTCTCGGTCCTCTCCTTCCGCCGCTCTCTGTGTTAAGTTTTGTCTCCGGGGTGACCTCGAGGCTGCGGCTGGTGTCTGAGAGACTGCGCTGCCTGCTCCAGCGGTGGGCGGTGCCGGTGCTGACGGCGGCGGCTATCTGCCGGCCCACGAGGACAGCCGTCGCCGGCCGCTGTTTCTGTCTGGGTGGCCGGCACCGGCCGAGGAGCGGACCGACGAGTCGCCGCAGCGGCCAGGGACGGACCGGGCCGCCGACGCCGGACGCGGAGCCCCGCCTCGGCTCCCCCAGCAGGAGAGCGAGCTCACGGGGCCGCGGTGAGGGGACGGTCGGAGCTACCGCCGTCGGTCGGTACACCGTGTCCTCGGCGGTACCAAGCTGCAGAGACAGCAGCTGCCGGAGCACGGCCAGTTCGGCCACCTCGCCAGGACTGCGGCGACCACAGTCGGACGGCCGCGGGGACAGGCTGCCGGCGGCGGGCGGCTCGGTTCCCCGGCCGGCCGACAGGTTGTGGACGGTGGGCGACTCTGTACCCCGGCCGGCCGACAGGCTGTACGCGGTGGGCGGCTCTGTACGCCGACCGGCCGACAGGCTGTCAGTCCTCTGACAGCAGGGCACTGTGTCTCGACAAGCTCCAGCAGCGGTAGAGGAGGGTAGTAGAGCGGTACCGCTGACATTCGGCCCATCTCCACGTGACGGTTCCTGGCTGTGAGCCGCCCGGGTCCTCCCCGTCGGAGCTGAGGGCAGTTGCCTCCTTCGTTGTACGCCTCCTGTGTATAATTGTTTGGCGGCGCTAGGCCATCGGCATTGCGCCGGGCTGGAGCTCGCGGCGGCCGGCATTGTAAGAATGCCAGCGGGCAGAGAAGTACGATTCTCTTAGTCTGCGAGGCTGCGTGGTTGTATATTCCACTCTCTGGTGGAATTCTCTCGCTCCCTGCAATGTGCTGCTTCTCCGACCTTGAGTTCCGTGAGCTGTGGCCGGGCCGGGTGAGCTCGCAGCGTTCAACAGGCCGTTGTGGGCTCGATGAAGTGGAATCGAAGGTCGCCGTCTGGGAGGAGCACGCGTCTGACGCGTCCCGGGACCTCCCGCTGGCACAGTACGGCAGGGCTTAGTACGGCACGGCACGGTACACGGCAGAGTACGGCGCGGCACAGGACACAGTGCAGTACGGCACAGTTCAGCAGGGTACGGCGCGGCACGTCCTGCCTGTTTTTGGCGCCTGTGATCGACTGCCCCCGTTTTCCACAGCAGAGCACTGCACGGTACACGACACACTATGAAACGGCACGGCATGTGCTCGCCAAACCGGTGCCGACGCTCAACTGCGGCCGTTCCCCGGCAGCGGAGTTGTCCTCTCGATCTGAGCTCGTGCCGCCGACTGCCGCCGTGCCGCCGCTCCTCACGGCCCTCCCAAGGCTATGGAACACCGCCAGTCGACAGAGCTGGGAGGGGGCCGGGTCGATTCCCGAGCCCTCGTCCATCTCCGATTCAGTCATACTTACTTTACTTTTGCCACCTGAGGTGGGAACATATAAGACCTTGAATTGGTCATAGCAGAAAGGTGAAATGACCATCGCTTTGTTTCGAGGCACTGTTTCGCTCACTGAACATGTGTCGGATTACGGCGGCTAATTTTTAGACCACCTGAGTGTGAACTGTGAAGTACAGATGAAAAAAATACTGACATCACTCACATAGCTATAAACGTTTTATCGGTTCTTGATCCAATGTAATTTTCTTTTGATTCGGACATCATGCGTTGAGATGCGGACTCGGTATTCACGTGACAGAAAATGACCTCTGCTAATTTTCGTTCGGCACATTCGGCATTCGTCATGATGAATCAGTTGGACGTTGAGCATGTGAAAAACGCAATAAAAATCGTGCGCCTCCTATGCTATCGGCTTGCAAGCTGGGTCCAAGGTTTCGGACTGATGAACTGACGAGCCATAGTATCCTGAATAACGCAAGATGAACACTAGGGTAACTTTCTTCAAAGTCGTTCACGCCACTAAGAAGTTAGTAAAGTTGTAAAGGCGTAAAACCATAAAGCAGAAAGTCAAGGTGAACCATAAATATGACGCGCTCTCTGAAGAAGATCTGATCAATATTGCGACTGCCTAAGTTGATGGGTGATATTTGTTCTTGCTAAAGGCGCTGTTACTCCGCCTGCTTTATGTTTGCATTCACATCAAACGTGGCTAATTGTGCCCAGGTGATCGTTCCGCAGTTAGTGACTGCACGTGACACTGTTTCCCGTCAATCAGGAGACGCTGATGGCTCTGGAGGAGCTGGCCCCGGCCGTCACACCGAAGGCCCTGTGCGACCTCCTGTCGTTCGCAATGACCGTCAACTCGCCGGAGACGTCGGAGCTGAACCTGCCGGACTTCCCCATCGATAACCTCAACAGGGCCGTTCGCGTTCTGGTGAGTTGGAATAGTTGGAATAGCATTAGCTGGAGGCTTGTCGTTCAGAATCGTTTACAATAGGATCGCAACTGCACTTCTGCAAACGATAGGTATCAACAAAGTACGTTTTTAACCCTGGGCTTGGCCATGTAATATTATGAGCTCTGATGAACATACTCTTTTGACTTGGGATTTGGGATTGATATTTGGGCTTGGAATCTTTTCACAGGAATCTTTTCACAGCTCTTTGAGCCGTGCAAACTGCAACTAGTCCCTCATTGGTGGTGTGTCTGGCGTAGCTCCTCACAGTGTCAACATCAATACACCCGGCTCTGACACCCCCGCCTCCCCTCAGGGCGGCGTCCCGTCGCTGCCGCCGCAGGAGGCCGTCGCCCGGCTCTATCCCCACCAGCTGGTGGTGCCGAACGACGCCAGGAAGCCGGTGGCCGACGCGCTCTCCACGTTCGACCTGGACGCGCCGGCGGAGACGGAGCTGCGCGTCACGGAGGTTGAGTCCGGCGATCAGCCGCACACCGCGCACGTCTGGCTCACCGCCGCCGGCCAGGAGCATAAGATACAGGTGGGTGAAGTGGAGGTGGGTATACAGTCCCGCACAGCTCAGTGTGGCGATATCCTGAGAGATGCCATCCCATTGACAAAGGTGAAAGCTAAATGCAGCAATTTTAAACGCAAACTGCGCTCAAACGCAACTTTTCAAACGCAACTGACTATTAAATTTGCCATGTTGGCTTGCACAGCCCGTACAAACAGATCGCCCTTATTGCACTGGTTAGGCCAGTTGATACCACCACAACCACTGTCATCGATCACTTGTGCTTATTACGAACGTGTTACCATCCCGTCGCCAAGGTCGCGTGCTAATCACACCTCCCGCCCCTAGCCCCCACTCACACCCACTTACTCTCCCCTCCCCCCTCCACTTCCCTCAGGTACCGGCCGGTGACCAGCTGGGCTCCGAGTCTATTACCTCGGACCGTCCCTGTGTACTCACACCGTACCACAGCAGACTACTGGCCCAGCTGGTGGCCTCCCACGCCGTACACGACATCTGCCTGGTGGGGCCCAGGGGCTGCGGAAAGTCGGCCATAGTTAGACACCTGGCGGATATGCTAGGGTACAGGACGGAACCCGTGGTACTGTATCAGGTGGGTACTTAAGCAGGGGTATAGCTCGGGGGTATCTGCTGGGGTATAGCTCGGAGCCGGTTGTGTCATGCTTGGTGCGATGTGGGTGGGTCAACGCCCTAGTGATATTGCCCACATATCCCAACTGTCGTTTTATTGGCATGTGTAGGCAATATAACTTCAGATGCTGCCGAAGCATCGTCATCACCTTTCCTCGACTGTGCATAGTCGCTTAATGACACCTGTCTGACCTCAGTTCATATTGTCTTACCTGACACCGGTTCGCGACACCATATCATTGTCACCATCTGCCACCTTAGCTTCTCCCCCTTCGTTTCATCCCTCTCCCCGTCTTCTCCGAATAACCTCTCTCCATCTCTCCGGCAGGATATGACGTCTCGGGACCTGCTGCAGCAGCGCAGTACCCACGCCAACGGCGACACCGTGTGGCTGACGGCACCGCTGGTGAAGGCGGCGCTACAGGGCCGGCTGGCCGTACTGGACGGACTGCACCGCGTCCACGGCGGTACTCTGAATGTGCTGCACAGGTGCGACAGGCGAGAAGATAGAATGAGACGGAGGAAGGCACTGGAGACACGCATAATTGAATAACTTGGGGGTGGGGAGACTAGGGCCATGCTCGAGCATAGGGAAGGGCAGGGCGAACGGGGTCGGAAGAGAAGACTGGAACGGAGGGAGCCGGGATGGCAGAGCTTTACAGAAATGACGTGAACAGCACAAGTTTACTTGGCTTGCACAACACCTGTCGTTACCCATTCCCCACCAACTTATTACCCCATTCCTCCCCTCTCTGACAGACTGGTGCATGACCGGGAGCTGCAGCTGTACGACGGTACCCGTCTGTTACGTCATGATCGGTACGATGACGTCATGTCCGAGCTGGGACTGGCCCCGGACCAGATGACCGAGCGGGGAGTGCTGAGGATCCACCCGGCGTTCCGGCTGGTGGCGCTGGCTGAGCCGCCCGTGCTAGGTGAGCAAGCGGGGGTCGGAGGGGCTGACTGAGTGACAGAGGGGTTGGCTGAGGGGCAGATGGGCTGGCCATAGCCGTCCGTACTCGGTGAGCGAGCGGGGGTCGGAGGGGCCAGGGTTGGGGTTGGTGGAGCATAGAGGATTGTCGGTATGTGCAAGTTGAATTGAAGCAACTGATGGTTAGTGTAACTAACTAGTTAGTGTTTAGTGAAACATGAAGGAAATGGCAGACGTGTGGGCGTCATTAAGAAAGACAGCTTTTTCTACTAAACAAGAAGTTAATGCTCTCCCTGACGAGCTACCTAAGAAATGGATCATTTGAGGTAGCATAACAGAATGTAATTTATCCATCTGGTGTGAATTATATGTGGGGCTTTCTCCAAGTTCCACATTGCCATCTAGGTAGGTACCGATCCCTCCCTGACAGACTGGTCTGCGTGCCGTTTCAGGCAGCGGCAAGGGCCAGTGGCTGACTCCTGAAGTGATGAGCATGTTCATGTTTCACTCTATGAGACCGATGACGCTCAAAGAAGAGTCGGACGTCCTCCAAGAAATCGTGAGTCGCCATGCGACTGTGTGTTTTGCAGTCGATTTTTGACTCATGCCTATCGGTTTTGTTCGGGTGTTTTGAGCAAATGATATCTTATGATGTCTGCGATGTTTTGTAATATTTTTTTTCTACATTTTATCACTCATTTCTCAATGACTGAATGGTGGATTGCTAATGCTTTCATGCTAATCCCCCTAAGCCGTGCCACTGGATCTTCTTAACTCCTGCCATTCCCTCCCGCGTCAGTGTGGTGAGCTCGGTGAGCCGATTCGGGAGGTGGTGTCCCGCTCTGACTGACTCCCCCTCCCCTTCCCGTGCCAGTGTGGTGAGCTCGGTGAGCCGATCCGGGAGGTGGTGCGCTTCAGTCACGCGCTGCGCTCTGCCGAGGACCACACGCTCCAGTCGCTGGCGCCGTCCCTCTCCACCCGGCAGCTGATCCGCGTCGGACGCAGGATGAAGGCCTTCCCCCACGAGAGCCCCCACGCGGCCATCTACAAGGCCTGTCTGGCCAGGTACTGTCTGTGGGAGTTTGCTATCGTCACGGTGTGGTGGAAGATTATAGGTGTCGCTAGTTGGTACAGCTATACCCAGGGAAGCTGGGATGCTGGCTATGTAAAGCTTCACTGAATCGTTTTAGCTCATATAAGTCATGCTCCATCCGCCTACATTATTAATTGATGCGGCTGCCATAACGAATATGTTACCATCACGAAAAAGCAAGTGGATATCAACATTTTCCACTACCCAACATCTTCAATAAATGGCTCGCAGATTCTACTTTAGCCTCCAGACCAGTACTGACTTGTTTATGTCCTCAAATGTCTTCTCGCGTGCTTCTGACTCCCCCTCGTCAATGTCTCTCCTCTCCTCGCAGATTCCTGCCTCCCCTGGCTCGCCAGGCGCTGGACGGCGCGCTGCAGCGGATGAAGATCGCGCCGCCACCGGCCGCGGCCGAGCAGAGCCGGGTGTGTGAGGTGCGGGACGGCATCCTTACCATCGGTGGCACCTCTGCGCCCGTGTTCCGGCCCAAGGACAGAGCCAAAGTGCCCGAGACGCTCTTCTTCGACATCGATCAGGTGGGTGACCGGGGGAGAGGGGTGGGGGAGGGGATGGGATGGAGGGTAGATGAGGTGGCATCACTGGATTCTATGGTCGTCATGAAAGCATGATTAAATATTGGGCACATTTATATCTGCTATGGAATGATATGGTAACATCAAGTAATGCGATAACTCCTCGCCATCTTCAATTTTAGCTTTGGTTACCATACCGTGTTCACTGTTTTAGAATAGCTGTTGGAGTCGTTGCGGTTTCAGATTGCCGCCTTGGAGTGTCAGCTGACATGAGTTGTCCATGCTGCAGCATACTGCGGTGCTTGAGGCAATATTGGAGGACTTTACTCTGGGAGAGAACCTACTGCTGGTCGGAAATCAGGGCGTGGGAAAGAACAAGCTGATCGACCGTTTCCTCTACCTGATGAGCCGGCCGCGGGAGTACATTCAGCTACACAGGTGCGAACGGGGAGACTGCGACCGCGACGATAGACAGAATAGTTATGGTACCTACTACCTACCTATTCAGCACCTGCCACTCATCCAACGCTTATCTGACTGCAGCGTTTGTCGCACTGGACCTGGGAGGTCGTTTGTCCTAAAAATGCGGCTGCAATGATAACTGGAGTCTTGTGGTGCCTGATCAGAAATGCTGCATTGTTACCAAATGCCATGTCGCTTGGCTTCTCATGGACCGGCACTTTGATCCAGGCAATCACCAAGTGAGCAACTGCTTTTTCGTGTCTGTCCTATCAACAGATTTTGGTAGCCTTGTTTATAAAATGCCAGTCCGTGAGAAGTCCTGACTTGTTCGTTCCCTAATTTCCATCAGCATTATCGATCCAGTCGTAATTTACCTGGCTGTCCCATTACGAGAAGCGGAATGGCCAGAGGCAAAGGTTAACGGTCTCGCCTGCCATTAAACCCCTGACCTACCTCTGAAGTCTTATCTGCTCCCTGGCATTCACCCTGCCCGTTTATGATAACCTGCAGCACCTTAAGCTTTCTTAATAATTCTTTTCGTCCGCATTTATCCATGACCCTCCAGTCACCATATCATCACCTGGTGGGCACATGGATCCTAGTGGCTGCTGAGTCTGGCTCTCGCCTCGTCTCTGCCCCCGCCCGCCCAGGTCGCTCAGGAACCTCGGTAACCCTCTCCACCCCTCACCGGGTTCACTGGGACGTCCGGATGAGTTCTGGCTCTCTTTTGACCTCTAAACCCGCCTCGGTCCTTGGCCCCCCCGCCCCCCTAGTGACCTCTGATCCTTCTCTGACCTTACTACTCATCTCTGTCACTGGAAGCCCTGATGACCGCTGACCCTCTTTTGACCTTTGAAACCCTCCCCTTCTCTGGGATCTCAGCGATCCCTGACCTCTAACCACCGCCCTCTGACCTGACCTCTGACCTTTCCTCCCACCACAGGGACACCACGGTACAGACGCTGACGGTCCAGCCGACCGTACAGGATGGTCGTATCGTGTTCGAGGACAGCGCCCTGGTGCGAGCCGTCCGCTCCGGGCACGTGCTGGTCATTGATGAGGCCGACAAGGCGCCCACCCACGTCACCTGTATACTGAAGGTACGGGGATGCCTCCATTGCGGTCGGGTCTGGTCTGGCGTGGCTTCATGTCGGTGGATTTACCGTTGGTAGAGTGTGCTGAAGGCTATAAGAGTAGGGTTTAAAGCTATGTGTTGGTTTCGAATGATACGCTCGGGTTTTCATAAAAATATATGGTTTATTTATATGTCGTTTTGAGTAGAAGAGACATACTGGCTGTCGATGTTTCTTTCTTTCACCAGGCGTACCTACTATGCAGCTGGTAACTTACGGCAACATTGTGTGCAGTATTTATGAACCTCAAAATAATTGAACTACTCGTAAATGGCAGTCTCTTTGTCATCATTTACCCGATACAGTTGAGTGGTCTTTTCTACAACGTGCCCTGTATTTTAAGCAGCGTATTTACTACCATAGCGTTCTGTTTCGGTGCATCGTACCATCTGAGACCTTTTGTCCCCCCGCCCCCAGACTCTGAGTGAGGACGGAGAGATGACCCTGTCGGACGGACGGCGGATCCAGCGGGCGGCGGCCGGCCGCGGCGCCGCTGCCGCCTCCGATGACGTCATCACCATGCACCCCGACTTCCAGATGGTGGTGCTGGCCAACCGGCCCGGCTTCCCCTTCCTGGGAAACGACTTCTTCGCGGCGCTAGGTACGGCTGTATTTTGACAGTGGGATGGTGTCTGATCTGAAGAAATGCTGATCTGTACCTTGTAGGGATGCAGTATGTAGGGTAAGGGCGGGTAAGAGTACGCGGGCGATAAGAGTACGCATCAGCTGTTTCGGTTGCTTAGCAACGCGGGTTTGTCGAGTTCATGAAGTGACATGAAGCCGCCAGTGCGTGCATGTCACCAACGGAACGTGGGCGTTGAGCGGCGACGCTGTTGAGTTTAAGGCGATGAATATTATTTTCGAGCGTTATGATATTATTATGATATGGTACAATAATTTTGATACTTGGCAGTTGAGATAAGGTACATTTCCGTGATTGTTGTGGGAAACTTGTGAGGTTATCTGGGGAAATACTGTACAGTGCAATATTCTGTTTGCGAAGTTTTGCACAACGTTTCGGGGTTGTTTTGTGCGCGAATTGCATGTACGGTAAGAGGACGCACTGTTCAGGAGGGTAAGAGTACGCAGAATTATACATTAAATCGAATATACAGAAATATAGAATTATTAAGCTATCGCTCAATGACGTTTGTTTTGTAGGTATATCATCAATGGAGCACTGTGATGCAGATGCGTACCCGAAATTCTTCCAAATACGAGTTATTCTCCTTTTTGATTGTGCATTTTTTTTTTTTAAGAAACGCACGACAAGATTATTTCCTGATTTATAGACTTGAAAGATTTATTTTATGTTTTTCTTTTTGGATACTAGAATTAACTTAAATGCCTTCTGAGTTTGAAGTTAAGCATTTGGACAGTGCAAGCTGCATAGGTGTATGTTCATATGCTTGCGTACTCCACCCGCCTGGCGTGCGTACTCTTACACACCCCATATGGTAAGAGTACGCAAGTGCAACGGTTCAGAAATTGTCAGTTTTAGACCACTTCCATTTACGCTGAAGGATCGTTGCCCCATGGGTTGATGGCTAATTCAATGAACTTTAATATTCCCTATTTGCGATTTCTTTCCTTCAAATATTAAACAAATGAGAGCAAGAAATCCACTAAGTGCGTACTCTTATACGACTTCACCCTATGTCTGTGCTAGTTTTTTTTTTTTAGTGGGTAATTGCTAGACGCCGACCGTTCTATGAAAACTGATGCTGACAATATCCGAGAGGAACGACTTCCGCATTTCAATGGGTTTTAGAAAATGTTGTTGATTGATAACTGGAAAATGGCCTATTTCAAGGCTATCTGGAGCGACGCATTGCCGTTCCGTGCATTGTACCAGACAAATGAAAAAAGGCCGATATTGGTTCGAGAACTGCTGATCTGGAAAACTGTATTGGTGGCACGAACAACCAGCGACGATGATGGTGTTGGGGACTATTGAGTATGGAAGTCAAAGGTCGGGGTTTTACCGGAGAAACACCGATGATTTCCACCGAGACTGGTTGCCAAGACAGGTCCGCATAACAACTAGATTCTGACGAATGCTCCGATTTATGCCATTCATTCCGGCTAGCATTAAAGTCATAAAGAGGCAAATGCTGCACGGGATATGGGAGCATCGACACCCGCTTTGGTTTAGAATATGGCGTATGTGCATCTCGAAAATTAATCCATAGAATGGTACAGTTTCAATCAACCGTTTTCCGTCTGAGCAGTGAGTACTGCCCAGAAACTTAAACGAAGGATCTTTGTAAATGCAGTATATGAAGAACCTTAGTGGAGCTCTCCAGAAATGGACTGTCGAGTGTCTGTGAAGGCCCGCTCTTCAGCGCTCAACTATTGAAGGAGCGACTGAAATGAACGCTTTTTATCACCGTGTGGGAATTAGTGTTGTCAAACACGTAGAGCGGTACGCAATACCTATTTAGAGAAGTGTTCGATCTGGGAAAAGTTTTGCGTGGTTTCGTGAATGCTGTCAGAGATATAGATAGCGGGTTTTGCTCCTGCGGCATGATGGCACTTCTCTGCCCACAAACTAGGGTGTAATTGTAATTATAGCTCTAATTGTATCTAGCAAATGCCGTAATTGGGAGGCTCAATTAGCCCGCAGCACTCTCGGGGATATTTGTTACAATGTTATAGTTCGTTTTTCTTAAGTTTGCCCCTCACTGTAAACGTCTTTTTGAACAAAGCACGAGAATTGCTAGCTGAATTACTGAGAAAACTGGTTAGCGCACATTGTATTGTAGATATGAATAATATTTTCAAAATCAGTTTTGAACACCGATGATTTAACGTAATGTTAAGCGCTGTGCAATTTATTTATCAGTTCAGACATAATTCCTGAGAAGTCGTCTATCCCTGTGGGGCTGTAGGTATTGGCAAATACGAGCTACGAGTCTGTGAAATAATGAATAAATTTGATGAAATTGATCGTCTGTAAAATTTGGTCAAATCAATGTGCGCCAACCAGTTTTCTCAGTAATTCAGCTAGCAATTCTCGTGCTGTGTTCAAAAAGACGTTTACAGTGAGGGGCAAACTTAAGAAAAACGGACTATAGGTGCTTCGCGACAGTATTCCTGCGCTATGTCTGTCGTATGTTCCGCAGTATTGTGTTATTCTGGGAGACTGCAGGCAGGCATATATTACTTTACTTCATTAGTGTCCCTTCGCCGACCTGAACTTTGTCTCGAACGCCATTCTGGACGAGAGTTTTCTGCCCGAAGAGCCGGCGACGGCAGCGACCGCGAATATTGCCTTTCGGCGTGCCTCATGCCTGGCTGCCCATTGTCCTGGCCTGATTAGTTCCGGATCGCCCCCTCCCCTCCCCTCCGACTGTCACTCTCCCGCTCCTCTTCTGCGTCACTCGACCTCCCCCTCCCTTCCTCTCCCCATCCCGACCTGCGCCGTCAGCCTCTGCTCCCTGAGATTCGGCACGATCGGGGACGGACAGAAAATGGAGTCTGTTTCCCGGGGGACCGGCCGGGTGATGTCGGCCACCCCCCTGCCCCCCCCCCCCTCCCGCCGCTGTCGCCGCCGACATGCGTGTCGCGTCGCAGGCGACAGACCAACGTCATCGGTAGGTATATCCCCTACACACTGGGTATAGAGACTGAGGCAGACAGAGCATGATGAGCAGGCTGGCTATATACGGAGCTGTCGGGACTTGTAATGCGTTTAGTTTTTTCTTCTTCTTTTAGTGGCTGTTCAGTACTCGGAGTATAAGTTAATTGCCTGGATGGGCATCGGGCTTTACTAAAATGTATTGCATTCCCATTTCCAATTCAATGCAGGTCATTTATTTCCCATTGACCCTCGGACATGAATTACCTAAAGGTGAATGAAACACCTTTTTTCTGAAGGAAAGGACGTTTTTAACAACGACGCAGATGTTGCTATCTCTTATGTCTTTTCTTTACATGGCTTGTCGTGTTTACAGGTGACCTGTTCAGCTGCCACGCCATAGACAACCCCAGCGAGCACTCGGAGCGTATGCTGCTCAAACAGTACGGACCGGACGTGCCAGGTAAGCCATCTCCGCTCAGTTCGAACACGATCCTGTCGTACACGGAAAACACCCCGCTGTCTGGTCTGAAACTTTGTCCGAGACTGTTTGAGTGGCCGGTCTCGCTCCGCTGCGGTTCAGATTCCCAGCTGCTCTCCAAAGTTGTTTTTGGGGCGTCGGCTGTGGTAAATAAAACGAAAACAAGTGTGACTTACACAAGCAGTCAAGTGGGTTGTAATAGGGCTGTAGCTTAGGTCGGGTGTTGTGAAAGTGTGCTAGAAGAATATGATGAAAACTCGAGGAAGGGTAACATGTTTACGATGTTAATTAGTAATGGGATCATTTCCATTTGCGTCGGCTATTTTCCACACATTTCTGAACCAGGTAGTTAAGGTAAACGTGAATGCCTGTGATATTTTACATCTGGGTCGAATCAAGCCGGAACAGTCGGTAGGTACAACCCCGCGTCGTGTATTGGTGGTCTGCGGTTCCTGGTGTCACGTGTCCCACGCCCCTGCCGTCAGACGAGCTACTGGACAAGGTGGTGTCGTCGTTTGCCGAGCTGCGCCAGCTCTCCGACGAGGGTCTGATCTCGTACCCCTACTCGACGCGGGAGGCGGTCAACATCGTCAAACATCTGCAGGTGGGTGGTCCCGGGAGACCGGGGACGAAGTGGGTCGACGGTTAGCTAATTTACCGGCTGTGTGCGGGTTGAATGGAGCGGTGTTTCCCAGCGTCAAAGCACAGGGTAGTTGTCAGGAGATAGGCTCAACATTTCTTATGTTGACTTAATTGTCAAGTATTTGTGTTCACGTTTACATCAGACAAGCTCTTAGTTTTGATTTGACTGGGACGTATTTACCCTTTTATACTCGTATATGAGCAAAGAACAAGCACTAAGAAGAGATAATTGAATATCTAGGAATGAATGAATGAGGAATGAATTGATATTAAGGAAGGTTGAGCTTTAACAAGTTGTTAATCGCCTCTCTGTTCTCTGCGGCAGAAATACCCGGAGGACGGCCTGGCCACGGTGGTGCGCAACGTGTTCGACTTTGACTCGTACAGCGCAGAGACGCAGGACTCGCTGGCCCAGGTGCTGCACAAGCACGGCATCCCCATCGGCGCCTCGGCCAGGAACCTGCAGCTCGCCAAAGAGTAAGGCCGCCGCGGGGGAGGAAGGGGAGGGTTTGACACTGTACGAGGGTGTCTGAATCCACTGTGCGGAGTGTGTCGGTATCCACTGTGCGGTTGTGTATCGCCTCATGCCGGTGATATGTCTCGTGTTCGATGTGCAGGTGTCGCAGGCGTTGTGGTCGGTTTGATTGTTCACTGATAACCGGTGAACTGTGTTGGGCAGTCAGCGGGTATAATTGTTATGGAGACTAATTTGGCTGGGATAAGGGTGCAGGTTATGCAGGACAGTAACTTTATAAAGATTACTCATAGTTATTCATGCTGAGGCTGGTGCAGAACCTTGTGCTTACTTACAGGGTTGAGAGGATGTTCGCATCATCGTTAAATTATGTGCTGATCAGGCGAAAAGAAAGTTAGAACGTTTTAGTTACATGTTTATCCTCATATACTAATCATGCTGTATGTCGATTTTTTTTTTTTGTATTTATTTGATGGGACTGATGAACAATGCCCGATTCTCCGGACACATATTTTATAACAGCCAGTATTTGTTCGAGAATCTTTAGGAGTGGTATGTCAGCTACCAATTCAATCGTCATTACATTTATTGATTAAGTGTTGTACTGTCATACAATAGGTCATGTTTCGATACATAATGTGGCGAAGCTACCGTACCTACATTACGGGTTGCGAGGCCTGAGAAGTCAGGGAGTGCTGTGCATTGAAGCAAGGGTAGCTTCAACCAGTACGCTTTTACAATGCAATGTAGGCTGTTCTGAAGTGTTATTGTACGAGATACTGTATTAAGAGAAGCACATTCAAACTCATTACTCACTGACAGCATTGAATGCTTGCGATGACAGCGTTGGTGATGCGTACGAAATATCTGTAATGCGTTTCTGGGAAATAATACCTCACTCCATGGCAAATGGCTGTAATATGGCTTCATTGACGTCGCTGTGAAAGCTCTCGCAGCTGTTGGCATTGTAAACTGGACAATGTTTTCATTTATTGGTAAATACACTGTTTGCCATGGATTGATGTCTTCTTTCTCCGGCATTCTTCTCAGCGAGCGCGAAGACAATCGGAATGATAAAATACTGAACCATTTATGTGTAACTCGAGAAGTCATTTTAGGTTGTATAATGTATAGCACGACTCGAATCTGGCACCGTTGATACCACCTATTTATAATGCAGAAAATGAAAATATTTGGGTCTTTTTTCAATCGGAGCTTCTAAACCTGAAGCATTCAGTAGATTAAGAAATTAAAAAGCTGGTGCCATGGCCAGATTGGTTTAGGCGGAAGGACTCGCGCACTTCAGTGCTAGCCGTACCCATTAGCACAAACGAAAGCCTTTTCGCACCGAACGTTAGCGGTGATCTACCCAATACCCATGGTCTGCCTAACGCGGCAACATGCTAACCACACACGCAGCAGCGTCTAGTGCAGAATCCATGGAAGGAAGATAGTGAGACTCAATAGATGACAGGTCAGGTGCATTCATCGGTCCTGGTTTGAGGCAACGCTGGCCTAGATCAACACTGGCTAGTGAATTACAACACGGACGCAGGTGTTATACAGATAGGAACATAAGAAATTGTTACTGATAGGCCGTCTTATGGCTCAAGGGTAATATTCTGTACTGACAGTTTAACACAATGCACGCTATCAGATTTTCCACCCAAAGCAATCTCGGATGCAGTGGAATTAGTATCCATCATCACATCAATTAGCATGCATGGGGACTGTGGGTACGCCATCTCCTGTACAGGTGCCCGATGCTGTACGGTATTTGTGTACCGACTGTGCGGTAACGGGAGTACACCTCCTCCCGCAGGTACCCTCTGCCGTCGGTGGAGCGCTCGGGCGGCTGGCGGCAGGCGGCGGACGGCGCCGTCAGCCGGCTGCTCCGACTCCCTGCCGAGACCCGGCCACTGGAGTTCCGCGGTCCCTACCGCTACCAGGGCCGAGATATGGCCATCGAGAGGACCGAGGCTCGCGGCACCGCCTTCGGCGAGCTGCGCTGTCACTGGGCGCTGCCCCTGGACGAGACGGAGATCATATCGGACGTCACGGTCGTCAGAGGTCAGCTGGAGCGCTCGGGAGGGTGAACGGTCAGAGGAGAGAGGGAGAAGGGAAGGCAGGAGAGAGAGAGAGAGAGAGAGAGAGAGAGAGAGAGAGAGAGAGAGAGAGAGAGAGAGAGAGAGAGAGAGAGAGAGAGAGAGAGAGAGAGAGAGAGAGCGACGAGAGGAGTCGTGAATGGTGTGTGTGTGAGCTGTGGGAGGTTGAAATGGATGTCGATGTTTTGATAGAAAAATACGCTCTCGTGAATCGCATATCTCTGGACTATAATGAAATTAAAGTGCAGTTTGACTGTATTCATCGTGAAATTGACGAGACACGTGTCGCATCAGTCACTTTGTTCGGTAATTCATTTCAAATTTTCGAGAGTTTTGAGTCATAAAACCTGTTCAAGGAAAGACTTCAGCGGCCTGACTTCCACCGGGCTGCTTCCATCGCGAACGGTGCAGCGCTCACAAAGTTGGCCACTGGCTAACAAGTTGGCTTCCGGTCATTGCACGCTTCGCTCGCCGTTCGGGGAAGAGAGCGCGTTGTCGCATTTTCCGACAGACAGGAGGCAGGTCATGCACAATGAATTTGTCGACATTTTAATTCGTCGATCTGCGTCGTTTAAGTTGGGTGAATGCTCTACTATGTAAACTGAAGCAATTCAGGGGAGGTGTCTGATATATTCGGCAGTGATGATAGAGCAGCTCTCTATAAGCTATGATGATGGAGCTTGTAGTATTTATTTACACCGTAATCACGGGCGTCCCTGTGGTGTCCTGGGTTCCAACACGAATTGGACTACGATTCCCTTGCTGCCCAGTCGATGATAACTTTGCGGAACTTGTTGATGGACCTTGTCAGTGCTTCGACTGAAATCGAGAGAAGCCTGGCAAAGTCATTGGTGTTAGGCCAACAGGATGTTTTCGCTAAGCCTCGGACCCAGAGTTCCCGCTGTAATTACCATATCCGTGGTCAGTATGTCAAAGCAATAGGCTCGCCTTGCCGGTTTTTAGGTGATGATGGCCGATGGCCGTGCTACGGGAGACATGGAATGAACTTATGTATTGACTAATGAGATTGAGTAATTTGGGATGGGGAAAACCAACCAGCTTCGTTGCCATTCACAATTAGCATGTATTTGGATAATTATTTAGGCTGACGTCATCCCCGATTACTTGTTAATCTGTCGACACTAGGCCGCTTTAGAAGCTCGAACCTCCGTGAGGATTACGTTAATGATTTCGTCGAATGTCTCAATACGCAAGCATTGACATGACAAGAGGCAATTCTGATATACATAATTTCAGTCGTATGTGTTCACCGGGATTGCAGATCATTAACCAGAATGTGACACACATCGTCCTTCTCGTGTTCTCTATTTCCTTTACTTTGAGCTGTGATCATTCACTGCTCGCAGTTGGGAAGTAACCTGATTAGCTGTACCAACCTCCCCGTCTGTCATGTCAGGAATGCACTGACCCGCCTGTCTGTCAGGGCTGTGCTGAACTATCAAGACTGTACTGACCTCCCTGTGTCACGGCAATACTGACCCTCCCTCTTCGCCACCTCAGGTGACAGTCCGTCCGACGACCAGCTACTGGTGGGCGCCGTGAACCCGGCTGGCCTGTACTCTGTGCCGCTGCAGCGCGGCTCGACCACGCGCTACTGGCCGCTCTACCACCAGCTGCCAGCCGACGGCTACCGCAGCCGGCTGCAGCTGGCACCGCTCGGTGGACCGCTCGCCTGCAGGCTGGTCGCACACGAGGAGCATGTAGGTGGCCGGGCGGGGAACGGTTAGGGTGTGGCCTGAGGGGGTCTTGCTTTTTATCACCCGACTCGATGATACGAACCATCAGCAGTTGTGTGCTCCGAAGACCACGGACTGCGGTTGAATTTCATCATACCTTTAGTTTTAAATGTGGTAGCATTTTCTCCTTATTTTGTTTGGTTCTATATCCGGGAATCGTTTTACTAGCTTTGTTTGTCATAATGCGCTGCGATGTTTGTAGCTTCGCTTCTTTCTCCAATATTTGTCCACTGAGCATTTTTGTGCTGCTGGCTTCCGTTCATTCGTCACAGGCCAACAGACAAACACATTCTTCCGTAGGACTACATCATTCCCGGAAACATCACCTCCCGTCTGTTTGACGAAGCCCCGGAAGGCTTCACCCCTCCCAGAGGTGCGATCCCTCGCCGTCCGTCTGTTGCCGAAACGTGTCGCGTGTCACCCTCGTCCCCCGAGACTTTCTCCCCGTGTCCGGCGTCGGTGCTCCATCACCAACCCTCTCTCTCCCTCGCTCCCTCTTTCTCCGCAGCTGAATGGTTTGGTAATGCTGGACACCAGCACGGGGGACATGTGGCGCCTCTCCTCGTCAAACCTCTTCCAGACGGCCACGGAGAAGATCCGACGCTCGTTCAATACGCAGCACGAACATTTCTGGAGGATGAACTCAGAGCGGGCGCATGAAAACGTCGTGGTGAGTGGGGTGGGGGCTGGGTGGGCCGTGTGTGGCTTGGTGTAGTGTGGGGATGGAGAGGGGCTTATTGAATCCGCTGAATTATGCAGAACTAGCCTGATTTTTTTTTTGTCAACAGAATAAATCTGGTCATATACAGGGGTTTGCTGCGTATAAGCGCCGAAGGATATGTCGGCACCAGTGCCTGGGAGGTAGCTTAGGACTCTAAGCAGGGCTGAAATGGCGTGTGATCAGTCGAACAGGATGTGGGGTCACATCCGCGTGTTTGTCTGTATCCGTGGTAATATTACTGGATTGGTGCGATAATACTGTTTTGTATCTTTGAGCTCGCCTCTAACGTTATGCGGTGACATTAGGTGGACCGTTGTTGCCAGCTAGCCAGGGTCGTAAATAGCGCTGTACGTAATGCCTCGTAGATTTGATCTGATTTATACGAGGAAATGCTCGTAACTGCTTCCACTGAAGATGGCTCAGAAGTTGGTCTGACATGTTTGCTGATAGTTTGAAAAGATGCTACATCGCGCCATATACAGATTAATGCAGTACGGCTGGCCTGGGTACTTTGCCAATTTGATTGAAAGCCTGTCAGACCAAGGCATGCACGATGCTCGAAACTTGTTTGTTTCACTTTACAGTAAAGCATGTCGCTGTCTCCCTGGTAACCTTCCGACCCTCTGACCCACTGCTCGACTTCCCCGTTGTTCCACTGACTTTCTTCTCCGCTAACCCGCTGTCCCGATAATTCGCTGTCCCTCCCGGCTGACCCGTTCACCGTCCCCCGCCCAGGTGCTGTTTGAGCCGGGCGGTAGCCGCCTGCAGGCCCTGGACCTGACAGAGGGTACGACGTCGGCCTTCACCCTGCCGCTGAAGGTGGCCACCGTGTCTCTGTCGGCGCCGCGCCACTGGCTGGTTCAGGAGCACGGCGGAGACGGCAGGTCAGTCGTGGAGAGGGGATGCCACACTGGAGGAGAGGGGAGGTTTGGCCACTGGGAGAGGGTGTAGTGGCAGTGGGGTAGAAACTAGAAAGGAAAGGTTGTGAGTTGTGACCTTTTGGTTCTAACTGCAATCAGTTCTCCTTGCTCAGTGTGTCTCCAGCTGCCATCCATGACAGCTTGCATCGTAGATTTATATCTGAAAACCCTTCCACATCGTCCTATGTAGGTACCTACTCTATGAGAGAGTCTCCTCCCTCTCCGTCAAGTCAACGTCCTCCATCGCCGCCCTGCCGCCTTTGCGATACCCCCTGTGACCTGGTAAACGGTGATTCCGCAGGCGTTTCGTGCTGCGTCCGTCGGAGGACCTCTCGGAGATGGTCCTCTCGCCTGTGACCGAGGGTGGCGGCGAGCGACTGGGCTCCGTGCGCCGCTGCTCCGTCGAGGACACGCCCAGCACCGTGCTCTCCGCCGCGCTGGGCGAGACGCTGAGCGCTCCGTCCCGCCTGCTGACCGCTGGCCACGCGCACGCCGCTGTGCTGGTCGGCTTTCCCGAGCTGGAGGCCAGCGAACACGAGCTGTACCGCTGGCCGAGACAGGAGGCCGAGCAGCCGCCGGTGATCGGAGGACGAGAGGCGCCGCCGCCGAGCGACCACCGCCACACGACTGTGGTGCAGCCGGAGACGGGACAGGTCAGTACTGAGCACAGGCGGGGTCACGGGTCAGTGCTGAGCTAGCTCGGGCGAGGTCACCGGCCGGTTCTACCAGCCCGAGACGGGGCAGGTCAGTTGTGAATACGGCCGAAGTCAGAGGTCAGTTTTGAGCATCGTGACGAATCGAATCAGTCGGAGACTGTTAGGTATAGACGGATGGCAAAAGTTTCGGGTAAGTTTGAAAGTTCGTGTGTTATGGCGGCGTTATCGTTTGTGGCGTTTCTGTGAACCAACAGCCAACGGGGTTGCAACTTGGCAGTGACTAATGCATTCGTTGACGTAAGCTCATGGTCGTAAAAGTTTGTTTTGCTCTTCATATGAATCCGGAGCTGCTTTTCATATGAATCCGGAGCCAGCGCACGATATTTACATAGTGGTCATTGAAAGTTGTGGCTTTATTGCTCATTTTGATCAGTTTAGATACGCAGCCCTAAGAATTATTGGTAACCTGACATTTCCAGCCGCTGCATTAGAGATGCATTGAATGAGGTTGCCATGGTGGTTCTAATCCCAAATTCAATTTGCCCTAGCCGGCAATTTCTCCATGCCGTCCAAAATTTACTGATATAATTCATTACGCTCCTAGCCTTACTGTGGCGACTAATTGCCTATCCGTCTCATATTTCTCTCACCACCTAATCTAGGAGCGAAGTACAGTTTCCGATAGGTTACGGAAGACCTGAAGCAAAGCTCATGGTGGGCGCGGAACCAATCACCTCCTTGCGCTTGCTTCGGAGACAGATCGGAATAAAAAGTGATACAATTGCAGGCCCGTGCTTTGGGGGATGCCTGCAATACATAAGTGCTGCCTTTACGCGAGCGTGGGGGTTTAGTTGGATGCTTCTGCATTCAACTCTGCCTTTTAAAGCTAAATAGAATTACGTTGCGATGACTCTGCAATATGAATGTTTGTTTCCCTCGGCTTACGGCTGGCATTCTTTTTGTGGAAGTAATGCTGATCAAGCTTGTCCCGGATATTTCCATGTCGATAATGACTATGCTTATCTTCCTTGCTCATCAAAAGAGTCCACCAGAACCCGAGGGACTTGATAACAAAGCTGCTTAGCAAAAAGCGGCTTTTCGCGGCGTGACTTCAATCTGGCGGGTTGAGCCGGGCTGTCGGTCGGGCCGGCCGGGTATTGTGTTCAGTCATCGCCGGTGCGGCGATAGGCGCTCTGTCCCGACACGCGAGACTGATGGTGATTGCATTCGACCGGCCGGCCGACCCGTGCTGGCTTCACTGAGATGACCGGCGCAGACTGATGGACCCACGCGGGTCGGAAACTGCCGGTACCGTCACCGCGGCTGTGTCTGTATACGTGTAGAGTCCTGCGGCCGTGTTACTGCTACTGGCGGCCTGGGAGCAGCCTAGTCAACACGTGTTTACGTCTGTGATGGCTTGTTTCATCATAGATGCGCATTAGTTACTACCCGGAGGATATTGGTGGACAGGGAAGTGCGCCTGTCACCATAAACATTGCCTGTTCGACGCCATTGAATTTGAGATGTTTGCTTTCGCTCTGAAGGCTAAAAGGTACAGCTCCTAGAGGAGCATCGCTCATTTTGGCCATCATACGTCGCACATTATTCCTGCTGGAGCACATTTTACCGGCCTCCCGATGCCGGCCCGGCGGAAATTAGGTACCAGTGACGCGGAAATTGCGACCACTGGTATAAAATATCACTCACTCGCCGCAAAGGTTCCCGACCCGAAAGACACTGCAGCGTGGCTTCTGTTCACGCACTGTTTTGGTTGTCGATCCATTGTAAATGGCTTTGTTTTTGCAAAGGTAAGACGAAGTGTAAGGAGATTTGGATGACCATACTAAAATAGCATTTGTTGTGACAACGCCGTTTGGTCGTGGTTGTCGTTCGTCGGTTCTCGGACTTCTTCCCCCGCCCCTCCCCTCAGACGCAGTGTCTTTGAGAAGAGGTGCGCGCGCTCCAGAGCCCCGAGGTGAACTGCCCTCCTCTGGTCCAGAGCCGAGGGTGTGCGTAGCCAGGCCGAGCCACTCGTTACTGGTTCAAACCGGTAGTGAGTGTCCTTTGCCCTGATACGCCCACTCCAGTTCTTTTCCATCCGGCGTTAGCACCCGAGCGGCCGGCGGCCACCGCACCTTCTGATTTATTGTACATCAACAATTAAGCGGCGGCGCCCGGCGCTGGTGACGCATGCCGGTGCATCTGGATAATGTTTATACTGTCACACCGCGCGGCCGAGCCTGCACGGGCTCAGCTCCGGTCCCGGTCAGGTCGGGTCACGTCGGAGGAGCAGATGGGTGAACACCGTACAGTATAGGTATGATCAGAAAATAAAAATTTAAACCGGCTAGACGCTAGACGTGCTAGACGCTAGACGTTACAATACCTTCCCCCCTTATAAAAGAAGCAATTTGCTACAAATTGAAGACGTTCCGGCGCCTGAAGGGCACAGGAACGCTCTACACTACCCAGTACAACACTTCATCCGATGGCACACAACACACTACAACACACTACAACACACTACAGTATGATCACTACAACACGTTGCGTTGCCAACGAGTGGCAAGCAGTACGTCGGCAGAAAAGCAGCGGTACCTCACACCAGAGGGGATAGGTGAGTCGGTCATGGGCTCTGTAGCCCAGACACGACCTTGACCGAGGCAGTGGGAGTGGCGCTTAAGGGTGGCGCCGCGTCCGGCACGGTCGATGGCACGCAAACTGAAGATGATAAGTCGACGTCAACAGAGCCACCAACAGGTGATGGTGGAGGCGAAACCATTGTCGGCAGCTCCTGCATTTCCACGGCGGGCTCAGGTGTACTGGGTATTGCTGAATGCACAGCATTGAAACTGGGAAAACTAAAACGAATCGGGGAGGAGCATGAGCGCCGAAGTACGATCATGAGCCAGCCGAGGAGTGCAATCATTGCGCCAATCCTCATGGTTACGCCTGTAACGACAGAAACAACGATCATCAGCCGGGGCTGGGAAACAGGACTGTTGCACAATACAGCAAAGCGTTTGAGACCATCGAGCGCCAATCGGGGAACATAGCAGTCTGCGTCATGTTCTCCTCCACAAATGGTCGCTGAGTCAGGACTACATTTGGGTCTGCTGTCCCGTTAGACAAACAGTCCAAGTCAAATTGTACTCGAGGTCGTTTACTGTCAGTCCGCTCGGTCGATAAATCGCGTTGTCGCTTTGGCACGTACCGAGCCTGTTGATACGTAAAACCTTCTAGAGGAGTCGATGCGTCACTTGGCTCAGCGACCGAACCGCGTGACCTGAGGTCATATCTATGCCTCGGTAATTGTCCCTGTGAAATACTCCTCTGTGACGACGGTGTCAGCTGACCGTGCTCACCATTCTCAGGAAAGGATGGCGAGTGAACAGCGGGGCTGGCGGTTGTCGCTGAAGGCGGTAGCGGACCTTGTGCAATACCTTCTTCCGCTTGTTGCGGACTTACCGTTAACGGATACGATGGTGTAGCCGGTTCATAGTCAACGAACCAACTTTGGTCGCTGTACGGTAGCCGAGCAGCACGCATGGGCTGCTGTCTAACTGGATGTTCTTCCGGCATATCACTTACCTGTATAGGTCTCCTGATCGTCTGATACGATCTGTCCCACACGTCATTTGAATCTCTGAGTCTCAAGTTTTCTGAATGTACTATCTTGGTTTTTCCTGTGATCATGTTTTTGATGCAGTAGTTTTCAATTCCTTATTTGGACACTACACGGAAGTAGTTTTTCCAATGGAGCGTCAGTTTAGAAGAGTCACCTGGTTGAACTGAAGGATCGAAATAGAATACCAGATCTCCTGGCTTAAAGTTTGATGGTTTAGCTGAGCTCGCAATGAGTGATTTGTTGTGTTCCCTAGCCTGCTGGATATTGTTGGCTACCTGTGTGTACGCGTTGTGTAGATGTTCGAACATGGCTGGCACGTACTCTTCTCCTGTGTAGCGATGACGGGGCTGCAGGAGGGTGTCAACAGGAAGCACAGGATCTCGGCCATACATGATGAAATAGGGCGAGAACTTAGTTGACTCATTCTTACTCATTCGATAAGCTCCTAAACATGGCTGTAGTATCTCATCCCACTTTGTTTGATCTTCACTTATTTGTTTTTGGATCATCTCGTTCATACAACGGTGAAAACGCTCTGTTTTACCGTTAGACTGGGGATGATAACTGGACGTGTGGATCCTAGCGACGCCGAGTTCTTTGTGGACTAGATCCAACAAAGCATTGCAGTATTCTGTCCCTTGATCACTGATCACTAGCCTGGGACAGCCATGACGCGGAATGAACTGTTCCAAGAGAATTCGCGCCATAGTGTTTGCTGATTTGTCCGGGATAGCGTAGGCTTCTGGCCATCCACTAAAATGATCTACGATGGTGCACACATATTTGTTACCTGTTCCCGAAATAGGAAATGGTCCGCAAGTATCAATGCCTACGATTTCCATTGGCGCTGAGGGCATTGGCATATCCTGCATGGGTCGTCTTTCTTTGACAAGTTTCTTTCTTTGGCAGGTTTCGCAAGATTGGACGTATTGCACAACGTCCTTCAAAACGTTTGGCCAGTAGTATGACCTCAAGACCTTGTCGGTGGTCTTTTCGATGCCTAAATGACCACCAAGATAACCATCATGAGCTCCTTCCAAGATAGTTTTTCTCAACGCTGTTGGGACAACGAGTTGCCTTTTAGCATTTGGTCTGGTTTTCGTGCCTTTTTCTAAGTGATAGAGAAGATCATTTTCCATAAAGAAGCCTGGGTTTTGCGCGTCGATCGCATCGTTTTCTAATTTTGTGATAATGCTTTGTATCTCCTCATCTTCCGATTGTGCTTTCTTTAACGCTTTCTCATTGAAATTGTGATAGTCTAGTGGTTTCGTTTGTTTTTCCTCAGATTCGTTCTCGGTTGGACCTTTAACTGCGTTGTCGATCACGTTTACGTTAACCTGTTCGCCTTGCCAGTCTAGGTGGCAGTTATCGTTCAATTCTCCTGCTTCTGTCGTATTTTGAAGTCGAGACAGCATGTCAGCGGCTGCATTTTTGGAACCAGAAATGTACTCAATTTTACAGGCATATTCTCCTAGAATGATCGCCCAGCGCTGAATGCGCGGGTTTTTCATTTCACTTGTAAACAAATGTTTCAAGGGTTTGTGATCAGTGTAGACCGTCACATCAGTTCCAATCAGAATGGGTCGAAGCTTTTCCAAACTATAGACGATAGCGAACGCTTCACGCTCAATTGTAGGCCATTTTTGTTTTTGTTCTGAAAACTGATGGGAAATGTACTGGATAGCTCGATTCACACCGTCTTGTTCCTGCATCAGAACTGCACCCATTGCGTATTGAGAAGCATCAGTATACAACTTGAACGGTTTGGTGATGTCTGGAAATGCTAGAATTGGCGCTTCAAGGAGCGCTTGCTTGAGCGAGTCAAAAGCACTTTGTGCTTCGCTCGACCATTTGAAACGAGCGTTTTTCTTGGTGAGGGCTGTCAGGGGTTTCGCGATTTTACTGAAATTCGGTACATACTTGCGGTAATAAGATGTCATGCCTAGAAAACTGCGTACTTCTCGAATATTTTCTGGGGGTTTCATATTCTTCACTGCAGACACTTTCTCTGCGTCTACTGAAATACCTTCATCTGAAATGATGTGCCCTAGATAATTGAGCTGTTTTTTGACAAATTCACATTTCGAAATTTTTAATTTGAGGTTTGCTTTTCGTAGGCGGTCTAGGACTTCTTGCAAATGTCTAATATGATCCTCGAACGTTTCACTGAACACAATGATGTCATCTACGAATGCTAGGGCAAATTCACGCACATCTCCTAAAACAGCATTCATACAATTTTGGAAAATCCCAGGGGCACCCGCCGTCCCAAATGGCATGGAATTGTATTCATACACGCCCGAGGAAGTTCCAAAAGCGGTCTTTTCTTTGTCCTCCTCTTTGATAGGAATTTGCCAAAATCCTTGTTTCATGTCGAGGCACGTACGGAACTTCGATTTTCCCAGCGCGTAAAAGATATCTTCAGCTGACGGCATGCTAGCTGCCGGTCGAACAGTAATAGCATTGACCTTCCTAAAGTCTACACAAAGTCTCATTGAACCATCTTTCTTTGGGACCATGATAACTGGCGAAAGCCATGGTGAGTTGCTGCGCCTTATCACCTTTGCTTTAAGCATTTCTTGGATTTGTTCCTCTAGAATATTCTGATGCGCTAAAGGCTGACGTCTGGGCTTTTGATAACAAGGATGATGATCCTGAGTGTTGATTGTCATCTCTGTTACGTTTGTTGTTGTTAGTTCAGCATCCTTTTGTACAAAAACGTCCAAGTTCTTTTTCAGCAGTTCAATGATAGCTTCACGCTGTTCGGAAGGAACATGATCTAGATTGAACGTTGAAATGATATCCATCTCGTCCCTCTCTGTCTCCGACGCTTCCGCATCTACAGTTGACACATTTGGCTTTAATTCATCCTTGTTGACCATGGTCGCTGTTCCCAAAACCTGTCCTTTCTTGAAATGTACGTGTCTACCCGTTTCGTTTGCAATCACCCATGGAATATGCTTGTTCTTTGATATTTTGACCAGTGCATTCGGCAACAAAACACCTGGTTCGTTCTCGAAACAGGGTGATGACGGCAGTTGTGAGACTACAAAATTTTCATCTATATGTTTCTTTCTAGCGATAGAACATTTCACTTGTACCCCTGAACGTGGGAAGACGTCTACGTCCTCCGCTAGTCTCACGAGATTGACTTCCTTTTTGTTTTGTGGCGTTTTTCGCTGCAACGGAAACACAGAACTTCCCATCACAAGGATTTGTGAATCAAAGTCGATGATTGCTTTTCTCATGTTCAAGAAGTCGACACCCAGAATCATATCATGTTTGAAATCCTCAACGACTAGAAACTCATGGTACATTCTGACCTTGCCTAATGTGATACGAATTTGCACTGCTTCTGAAATTTCTAAGGTATGGCCGGTAGCTGATCGCAGGGAAATGTTGGGCGACTTTGAGCATGGTTTCACTAATTTAGGATCACATAGTTCCAGGAATTCTTTGCTAACTAGAGAGAGTTGAGCACCAGTGTCCAAAAGTGTTCTAAACGGGTGGGAACCTATATGAATGTCTACATAGGGGCAATGTTCACTTACCTGTAGCACCTGTATGTGCTTCTCCTGTTCCTCTGGGTGAGGTCCTTCTAGTTTTCCGGCTGCTGCTGCTGATGGGTCTTTGCGTTTTCTGCGTCTGCCCTACGTTTGCGACACGCTCGCTGAACGTGTCCAGCTATGCCGCAATAGAAGCATATGGGCCTGTTGTCTTTTGTCCACTGATACTCCTGTCGTAAAGGTCGGTTGTTAGGGGGACCACGGTTACCTTGACTTTGACCTCTGGATGGCTGGAAGTGGGGTTGTCCGCTGCGATACCGCTGTGAAACCTGTGGATGGACCTGAAAACGCTGATCTTGAAACTGAGGCTGTTGCTGTGGGACTGGTGGCTGGTTCTGGGCGACTAGAACCTGACAAATGTTGTTTAGAGTTTCGGTCACCTGGTTCAGTTGTTGTTGAATGTGGTCGTCCTTTGCTTTTTCTCTAATCAGTGCGTCGCAGTCCATTGGTTCAGAGCCATGAGTGTTGTCCTTAAACAACGAAACGTGCTCCCTTACCTGTTGTTCGTGATGAGCGTGTTTGTAGGCCTCTGCCAGAGTGCTAGGCATTTTTCTGGCAACATTTTCTTGGAGTCGGCGGTCGCGCAGTCCATTTATGAAAGCGTTGGTAAGGGTCTCTGTCACCTCTTTCTCGTCTATGCGGTCAGCGTATGCCTGTTTTCCTAGGGTTCTGATCCTCTCGGCAAAGTCAGCGACAGATTCGTTTGTTTGTTGCAGGGCCGTCCTAATCTTTTGCTTTGATCTTATCACCGGGTTGAGGTGTACATACCTGTCTAGGATGACCTCTCTGAGCTGGGGCCATGTGGTAATCTGCGAGCTGTTTTCCATATAAAAGTCAAGGGCCATACCTTTCAGGGTCTGTGAGGCAACTAGGAGCGTTTGGGCGTCGTCATGGTCCAAGCGGGCACAAACATAGTCCATCATCTGTAACCATTTTGTCAGAGCATCGGCACTCGATCCGTCGAACGTTTTCTTTAAATCTATCATTTGTGCAATCTTTTGTCCTCTTTCCAAGTCACGTACTGATCTCGCAATTTCTGCTAGAATGTTGGGGTCCATGTTGACGTTAGAGTTAGAGTTACACGAATTTCCTAGTTTAATATTTGAAAGAGAACTTAACGGGTTTTCTTTGGTTTCTGGTGTGAGGTACTCACTTGATTTCGGCCGGCGTATTGACGTTTTATTCAACAGTCGCCCTCCTCCGGGTGGTCGAGTATCGGCTGCGGTAGTGCGAGTGGCAGCAGTTGACTGCCTGCCGGGATGGACGGACGGTGGACCGTTTGGTCGGTCCGCTGACGCCAGTGTAGTCGGTCTATGCGCTCGGCTCCTCTTGAGCCTCTTGTGCTCGGCGCTGATGAGGTTGTCGGTCTATGCGCCCGGCTCCTCTTGAGCCTCTTGTGCTCGGCGCATGTGTAGCTGTAGACTCACGCGCTCGGCTCCTCTTGAGCCTCTTGTGGCGCTGGTGTAGTCGTCGTCACTCGTTGGAAGGTGGCTGTGAGCCACCGGCGCCACCGGAAGGTGGTCGTGGGCAACTGGTGTTCCCAGAAGATGGTTAAAGTTGAACTCGGACGAGTCTTTAGCCGGACCGATGCTGTAGTCGGACACCTTTTGATGTGGTGTTGCTGGCTGAATGCACGCTTTTCAGCAGGTGTACTGGCTGATCGGTTGATGCCGCTGCACACGATCGAGCTGCTGTTGAGTTGCGCTCAGGCTGGGTCCGAATAGAGTCCAGTTGGAGTCCAGGCTGAGTCCAAGTTGAGTCGAGTTGGAGTTCAAGCTGAGTTCAATGTGGCCTCTGATGGCGTTGAGGCGTAGTCGTGTCTGACCTCTGATGGAGATGACTACGAGGCAGAATCCAGATAGAGTTGAAACTGACCTCAGATGGAAATGAGGTAGAGTTCACTTCCAGTTGATTTCAGTCTAGTTGGTAGCTGAGACTGACCTTTTGTAGGGCTTTGAGCGGCAGAGATGTTCAGGAGAAGTTGAAGTCCGATCCGGGTCACGGCACCAATGTGACAACGCCGTTTGGTCGTGGTTGTCGTTCGTCGGTTCTCGGACTTCTTCCCCCGCCCCTCCCCTCAGACGCAGTGTCTTTGAGAAGAGGTGCGCGCGCTCCAGAGCCCCGAGGTGAACTGCCCTCCTCTGGTCCAGAGCCGAGGGTGTGCGTAGCCAGGCCGAGCCACTCGTTACTGGTTCAAACCGGTAGTGAGTGTCCTTTGCCCTGATACGCCCACTCCAGTTCTTTTCCATCCGGCGTTAGCACCCGAGCGGCCGGCGGCCACCGCACCTTCTGATTTATTGTACATCAACAATTAAGCGGCGGCGCCCGGCGCTGGTGACGCATGCCGGTGCATCTGGATAATGTTTATACTGTCACACCGCGCGGCCGAGCCTGCACGGGCTCAGCTCCGGTCCCGGTCAGGTCGGGTCACGTCGGAGGAGCAGATGGGTGAACACCGTACAGTATAGGTATGATCAGAAAATAAAAATTTAAACCGGCTAGACGCTAGACGTGCTAGACGCTAGACGTTACATTGTTGACTGCTGAGTCCAGTTCAATTATATGACGAGTAGTCACTCGAATGCAAAAAAAAAAATGGGTAATTGCGTCGGCAATTATGTTTGGGTTGATTGCTTAGTGGTAAACAGTTTCTAATAAACTGTTTGTTTTTGCAGGTGGTGCGGGCGGTGACCCGAGCTGACCTTCCGATCGAGGTCAGGAGCGACCTGCCCAAGTCGCCGTCGGTCAGTGCCTACCTGGAGGTCACTGACCTACCCTCAGGCACCGTGAAATACCTGCCGGTTCAGAGGTGAGGATGACGCACACGGCACAGGAGGCATCCCACAATCGGCTCGGTCCCATCAGTGGCGTATGTCAAATGCTGCCATGTTTTTTCTTGTAATTGTGTCTCTTGGTATCACCTCAAACATGTAAATGCATAATGTTGATCCTATGTCCGATAAATTCCTCGACAGAAGTCAGGTATCAATTAGTCTGCAAACAAGCAGACACATTCTAACGAAAAGTCGAGCAAAATGTGTCGTAATGGGACCACTTTTGCAAGTTCCCACCAAAAGTGGCATTAGCAGTGACTTTAAACACACGTGGGGAGGCACTGTCGCGATACATCACACAGCTAACTGGTTCTAGCCACACTAACCCCACCCCTCGACCGTTCCGGAATCCATTAGCCGACCCACCGGTCACGCGGCGGACCGGCCCACAGCAGGATATCTGTCATCCTCCGCATTGCCATCCATTTTACCAATCGCCGGGCAGTCAGGCAGCTTCAATATGTCGTGCCGGATCCGAGCTGATATTTGGACTCGGATTCATCATTTGGCCTTTAAATCAATCCAGTGGACGTCTGATAAAACGATGATAACTGATGGATTTTCCTGCCGGTGGCCGTCGATCTGAGCTCGGTGGGCGGCCGGAGGGGTCGTGCTCGCCAGGTTCGTCCGGCCGTCGGCCCGGAGTCGATACCTGGCCGCCACCGGGCGCGTCCGACACTCGGCGATCCCCTGATACGGGCCGGTCTGATGGGCCCATTCCACCGGCCATCGGACCACTGTCGGCCGCCGAACACAGCGTGTTTATACCGGCCATCGGACCGGGCCGGCCGAGCCGACAGATTTATGATACGGGCCCGACAGACCTGATTTGCTGACCGCCAGCCTATTGAATCCCGCCCAGAGACATGGCCACTATTGGGCCGCAGCGTCCGGAGTGGCCGACAGGAGGTGGCCCTGGCCTCTTGGCTTATAGTGATCTTACAGTAGGGACGATTCTAGAGAGAGTTTTAGTGGCCCTGTTTTAAGGCTGGCTGTATTGACAATATGTTATGCCCAATGTTTTGCACTGTATGTGGAATGCGATTTACGACGCTTACGGCCGAGGTGCCGTATGCAGTGAGACAGGATGTCAATATGTGGATCTTATAACTCTCCTCGGCGTGAACAGCCCGAAAGCAATAAAGCATGCTGGTCGTCTCCTGTACTGTCCAAGTGCAGGAGATTCGTCATGTCGTTGCTGTCCAATAAACGCCGGCGATGACCTTGCAATAAGGCGACCTCGTTGGCGACGCAGCGCCAGTGATCCTCATCGGAGGTTTCCCGGGGAGTGCCTCTTGTCTCGCCATTTCTCCGGGGTGGCTATTGGCCCGTGTTACGTGACGACCGGTTCGGATCTCTTATAGAGCAGTCGCCGGGACAGCAGGGACGGCTCGACGACTCAGATAATTGGGTGACGAGTGAAAGATGGGCTGTTGCTGAGCCCTTCAGAAGTACAGAGATCTTAGGTGTGATTTTTGTTGGCAAGTGACTGACCCCCGGTATCCGAAGTCTTGTTCGCTATTTTAGCGCTCTTACCGGCTGCTTCTGCCTCACGTGCGATGCACTGCTGCTTGTTTTTGGCGGATGTCATGTCCTCTATCTGATTCGCACAGGCATAGCAACAAACGCATTTCTGAGGCGCCCGGTAAATGTTTCCGGTATGCAGCTGTCGCATAGGTTGAGTCAACATGTATTAGATGCATACTGGCTGAATGCTAACCTTGCTGAGGGTATATTTTAGCATGCTACATATCTACAGGTCACGGCGATATACCGTGACATACCAGTTATTCTTCCACGCAGCCACTCGCCCGATATGTGCCCGCCGCCTCTAACGCACACTCGGCTCTCACCCATCCATCACCGAAACATCCAACTATCTGTCGCCGCTCGCTGACAGTCATCAGCCGCCGCGGCGCGGCGGTGGCAGCGTTACCAGCTGTGTTCGGCGCCCGCCCCGGTCTGATGTGGTCCGCAGCAGTCTGGTCACGTCACAGCCACACGAGCCATCAGCTGCCGCCGGTCCGCCGCCCCGCCGGCAGCCCGCGCCGACCGCGCTACCGCACGTGCTATCCGGACGACGGGGTGACGCGTGCCACCAATGGGCGCCACCAATGTCGGCGGTGCGGTGGGGAAGGGGCGGACTCTGCGTGATGGTTGTGGTGGCATAGAGATGCTATATAAGCTCTCTCAGGTTATATGTTAGATATCGATGGTAAACCTCTTTGGTCGGTGGAGCCATTTGTTCTGACTCGTGAGGTCACGGAAGTCGTAAGCTTTATTGTTCGGGGTGATGAAGGCAATATCGATACAGTACAGGGGTGTTCTGTGACTTTCGGGTTGTAGATACTTAAATTCGTTTTTATTTTTAATATAAAAATGACCTTGCCCATGCCATGGATCATAAATCAATTCTCTTGAAGACCTCGTTGCAATCCTTGCCGAGTTTAAAAGCATCTTAATTATCCTGATAAATTTTTAGTTTTCACTGTTGAGAGCTAAGGTTTCTCTGTCTGCACCGTACTCTCAAATAGATACGGTGGTAATTTCGTCATTATTATGAAGATAAGAAATGCTAACAATGTCAGTGAATTATAAAAAAAGTTGCAGCGAGAACTGTGGCGTGGAACTGGTGTGATGTAACTGGCACCGCCAGACTTCAATGCCGGCCGCCGTGGCTCTGTTAACGATGTGTTTCCCGGTGATGTTCACGAGATGCCTAATGACATCAATTATCAGCAATCAAGCTCACTTGGTAGCGTCACGTTGAGTGACAGACGTTACATAATTTACAATTACATAACCTAATTAGCTAGTTACGTAGCTCAGTTGGTAAAGCGTCGCATTCCGGGTGACGAGAGACCGAGTTCAAGTCGCTCTGGCGCACTCTCGTAAGAGTGGAAGCTCCTATAAATAGGGAGCCTAACGGGGATCGTCTACGGGTGGTGAGAGCAGCTGCAGCCAGTTGAAGCTTCAAGCTTGTGATTGGGATGGACCGCGTCCGGCGCCCAGCTATGCACACTCAACTGGGATTTCCATTTTCCCGATCGGATAGTAAAGGTTAGCATCTGATCTGCACAACAAGCTAGTCGTTATCCTTAGCTCTTGGTTCGTCACAAAGTTAATTAGATACGCATTCGAGCTAAGTAAATGTAGGGAAAAAAGTAAATGTGGAGGGTGCAAATGTGCTACGACATAGTTATTTTCATCTCATTCTGACTTAAATACCCTTACTTCTCAAGCTTAAATACCTACACCTCAGTCATGTTTGACAATGGCATAAGGTTTTTGTTCTTTCATCGCCAAATCGTATGCCTTGTGCCAGTCATTAGTGCCTGCAATTTGTATCACTAATGGCTGCAGGATGGTCATTTGAATTTCCTGTTCATTTGTGTTTCTACGCTTATTTGCTCATTAACTACCAGCACAGCTGTATCATGACCATTTCATATTAGAATGATATTTCACATTAAATTGACTTGGCTGCATAAGCATACAAATGCTGGAAGCTGTTGGAAGATCCGGTCTACTTAAAATCTTGTGTAATCGTTGCAAACATGCAATAATTGACTCCCACGGTCCACGTTGTTGGCTGGATGCTTTCAGCTTTTCTTCTTCTTCACGCACCCGTCTTGTCTTCTTCACGTGTTTACAGACGCCAGCCCCTTCTGTGTGTCTACCCCGTCTCACTGCGCTCGGTCTGTCCCATCTCACCCCGTTCTATCGTGTCTCGCAGCCCGTCGTCCCACACGCATTACTACTCGTGGGCGTCCAATATCAACAGCACGCCGCTGTTCGTGGCCGGCCACGGCGCCGGCGGCGTGGTGACGGTCGACACACGCGGCGTGGTGCGGCTCTGGGAGACGGCCACCGAGCAGCTGACCCGCTCGGCCGCTCACTGGGCCCGGCTGGTCGGAGACGGTGAGCGAACGCTGGGGGACGGAAAGTGTGACGGGGAAACTAAGGACGTTGGGACTGGGAGGGTGTGCGATTGAGATCTGACTACCGGAGTGTTTGTGATCAAAACCTGAGAACCGGGAGTGTGTGGCTGTGAAGGAGCTTGGGGATGGAAGTTGGTGAAGGGAAGAAAAATGGACTGAGAAATTCAGGGGTCGACGGGGAACTGCTGAGAAGGGTCCCTATCAACAGGAGGATACACCTCTTTGTGATGACGGGTGGGCACTGAGAGCGGGCCTGCGGGTCTAAGGGACCCGGTGGAAGTGTCAAGCAGGTGGTCAGTAGCTGCTTGAAGCTAGTTCAAATTTAAGTGGAATATTTAATGGGTTGATGGTCAATCGACGACCACGATGAAACAAGTTTTAATTACATTACAGTAGCATGCAGCAGCCTGAGCCCATATTCAGCCACTTCACCTGCCCTCACTGCCGATCTCTGAAGCCCTGCGTGGCTAGACTAGCCCGCAGTGATACCGTGCCCGGCGGAACAGTCTACCTATTCTCGCCGCCGAGCTGTGGCTAAAGCGAGCAGACAGCGAGACGCAGGCTGCGGTGAGCTGGTCCGAATGAAAATGAAATTATTCGAGATCTTGGGCTCACCGTATTATGACCTCTAAATGCCCCGAGGGCATAATCTTATCCCCTCATTAGTATGCCGGTATATGCTCAGGCATAGGTATGCGGTATTCCGTCGGGTTTTTTGCTCGTACAGTGATAATGTTAGAACGTTCCCCGTCCCTTCAGCAACGTTTAACCCGCGCCCCAGTGGCGGTCTCAGCCAACTTCACCCTAGTGGGGGGGGGGGGGGGCATATGTTACCACCCACCTCTAACTCAAAAACTAAGAGGGATAGAAAGACGCGGTAAAAAGCAGTCGATAGCTCTCAATGCGTACGTTTGAAAGTATTTCGGTCATTTTTCACCTTTGAGCAATATTGGGGTCACCAGAGGTCATCAAAGGTCAAAATTTGCCAATTGTCATTATATTTTTCAGAAAACATGCCGCTATCTCAGGAACTATGGTAGCTAGAAAAACGCATGGAACAGCAAACGATAGCTTTTGAGCTCTTCTTTTGAAAAGGTGATTATCAATATTGACCTCAGGTCAACGGTTTAGCCTCCAGAGGGCAAAAACTCCAAAAATAGCTGTTTTTACGAAAAGTGTTTTTCGACAATAACTTTTGACTACAAAAGTGACGGCATTTCTATTGCCAGAATCGTGTTCACCTCGCCGAGACGCGTCGAATGAACTATAATTTGACCTTGAAAGGTCAACTTGAAAATTTGACCTCAGGTCAAGGTCATGACCTGACCGGAAAAGGTCATGTTGCATATCAGTCGATGCGTCTCAACAAGACAAACACAATGAGACCATCCCCAGCGTCCTATCTCTTTCCAATCGCGAGTTATTGGCAAAAAACTGTTTGTAGCCTCAAGTGACCTCAGATGACCTGTCTACAGGCTATCAGCAAAAATGACACCTTGGTCATCACGAGTGGACTAAATCATTGTGATTCTGAAATATTTGGACTGTTTCTATGCGTACACACGGATCTAGAGGCATTTTCATTTTTCTCCATTGCCTTATAATGGTAAGGTCACGCCACTGACCTGACCTTAGGTCACGGATATGAAAAATCCGAGATATACAAATTTTAGGCGCCCATAACATCATGCAATCCACCAAGTTTGAAACCTTTCTGACAAACACTGCAGGCTGGACATGATTGCAAACTTTTTTAGGCTTGGTCAGTTAATTTGACCTGGTGACCTGACCTGACATGACCTGGGGTCAAAAATTTCACAAATTGTCCAAAATTGAAGTACAAAAAGCTACCCCAAGCGGCGCGGCGCTACGCGCCGCGCTTTTTTATTTACACGCGAAAAACGCGACAGGGTGGTAACATATGCCCCCCCCCCCCCCCACTGGGGCGAAGGTTAACCGCCGATCAACAAACATTGGCATACCCTGCCCTATAACATCCACTCTTCTCAGCAATTTTGACCGGAACTATAGGCCCTGAACTGGCTCCTCTCTCTAAAGAGCACTGATTCGTCTTTGTGCGCTGTTCTTAATTAGTGTTGGCCAGTCTGTCACTTCTAACTCACAACAATAACTTTGCGTTTGCATAATATCTGCCCTCCTCAGCGGGTGACACGCTGTAATTATGGGAAGCTGGTCCACCATCTTTGTGGGCCTGCTCAATGCTCGTAACCCCGGCTACTCGACATTAATCGGGTCGGCTGAATTCTGGTCAGCCAGCTGCGTGGCAGCCTTGGGATGATGTAATATCACCAACCGGAGTATCATAGGCGGCAGAACGGGGAGGGCACCGGGGCACCGTGCCCCCCTTTGATTTTGGCATTTTAACATAAGCCCTATAGGCGTTGCATGGAAAGAATGGGACCAAAAGTCGGCGGTGCCCCCCCCCCCTTAATTGAAGTTGTTCCGCCGCTACAGTGGAGTATATACCTACAACTGGTCTGCCGTCTCACTGCAGCAATGTCCCTGGCTGTAGGGGTGGAGCAGGAATGGATTTGTGACGGTTGTTATCGGAGGCGGACCCTCCAACGGAAAAGTTCACCGTCAACGTGAAATTTCCTTTGCCTAGATTGTTTTTCAAACCATTTTTTGATATATTTTGTCGTCCCAAATGCACTTCCACAAATTTGACCTTTGCTTTGACTTTTCACGAAAGTCGGGATCGACATTATCAACCACAAAGGAGTACGGCCAATGGCCATCATACAAGTGTTTGCTTTTTTGCAATGCCGCACTCTCTTCGCCAGACCATCCGGGTGGTAGAGCAGGCGTTTTCCATGTATGTGTGACTGTCTGCCTGCCTGTCTGTCTGTCTGTCTGTCTGTCTGTCTGTCTGTCTGTCTGCCTCTCATACCCGCGTCCGACGCCGACGGCGCCCGTAGCGTCCCCTCGCCGCTGATCCGCCGTCGCTGCCGTCGTATTTGCATGCAAATGACTCCTGACGCGGCGACTCGGCCTCCCATCGGCAGACTCGCGGCCCGTGCAGGTCACCTACGAGCGCGAGAGTGGCAAGGACGTGGAGGCACCCAAACACGGCAAAGTGGACGCCACGAACGCGCCACACGTGGGCGGCAACACGTGGGCCGGCGGCACGGGCGGCCGCGACACGGCTGGTCTCGGCGGCAAGGGCGGCCCGTACCGACTTGACGCCGGTCATGACGTCACACAGGTCAGTCCCGGGGGGGCATGGTGGGCGTGTGGGTCAGTGTTAACGTCACACAGGTCAGTCTCAAGGGACATGGTCGTCACTCGTCAGTGTGTGGGTCAATCAATGTTGCGTCACATAGGTCACTCTCAGGGCCGTACAGCCGTATTCGGAATATGACCGAAGGTGAGCAATGCCACTTTTTACTGTTCGCTGTATGAGAAGCTATGTTAGGTTAATCAGAATCAGAACATCATAGACATGCATCGCTCTGATCAATGCTTCACTCAGTTCAGTTCCCCGGACACCACTTCTTCGGGTCACCGTGTTGAGTTACCGTACCTTATCAGAGCCGTAAACACCGCCAAAGTTGCCGGCTTTGATGCACTATAAAAATAACGTAACTGGAATTCATGGCCATAAACTTCCCCAAATATTTTCATCAGACGAAGTTATGATGCTGAGACTCACGGTGGACCGTGAACATCTGGAACCGGCGGTGCCTTTTGATCAGTGTATCGGGACAAAAATAACTTGCATTTGCCACGTCGCAGAGTTTTTTAGTTTTGTGCTCTGATCAAAATTGTGTCAGTGAAAGCCAAACCGAAACAATACACTTATAAAAAAGTCCTGAGGCATGGATTTCATCAAGCGGGTATTCAGGCAAATTACCAAGGACTTAATAATGTTTAACGCTTAGTACCTATGCCTATCTCATTTTTGTAATGTAATGCCCGTTGGTTTGCGTTTTTTTTTTCTTGCCCGAGGGAAGTAGGCGTTTTCACATAACTTTTACTCTTCTAGTGCGAGACAGCTGTAAAAAGCTCATTTGAAATTCTAACTATGACTGCTGTGCAAACTACTTATGTTACTACAGGCTACAGCGCCAAGTTCCTTCCAGGTTTTCGGATGTCCTTTACTGTAAAAAGTAGAAAGTTGAACCAACAGACATCTGGAGCTGGCGGGTACAGAAGTGGCCTTATTTTGAGAAATGCGTACCTATTTAAAGGTAGACTGCCACCTTTTTTCCACAAAACGGTTTTCACTAGAGCTGAGCCACCTATGTCCCAGACTGAAGTCGGTTTTCCGAAATTCGAACCCGTTTGCGAGAAATCGGAGACCAAAGTTCAGTTTGATGCCATTTTTTTAGTCCAAGATAACCGACATCTCTACTGTTTATCGATAACTTTGAAACATGAATTTTCTTATCTTTTGGTAAATATATGTCAAAACTTTGATTGTTTCGAGATCAGAGAAGAATTTTGGAGTGTCAAAATAAAAGTTAAACTTATATATTCAGTAGTTCATTTTTTCCAAAAAAAGTGTGGGAAATGGGGTTTAACATGGGCCAGACCCATTCCAAATGAGCCATGATTTTTAAATGTTTTACGAACTTAAATGCAAAATAAATTAAACATGGCCAATTTCTTATGAAATCATATATTAGTAAATCATAAAATACCTTACTTTTTCAAATAAAATGTAATAATCTTATGACCTTGAAGTCTAGTGATGTGTAAACATTGTCGCTAGACATTAACCGATTGATAATTGTATGATAATCGACAATTTTTTTCGCGATTCACGTGATGATACTTTGTCAGGTGAATTCTAAAATTTTGTTTTGTCCAGGCAATAAATCATAGGCCGATCTGAGAAAACTTTTTGAAGGTGGCAGTCTTCCTTTAATCCGATTATATACCTATCTAGTATCTTTCGAACATCTATATTATATATCAGTATTTAGTGGTCCGTTCTATTCTCGTTGGAGGGCACCTACGTAATACCTATCTCTCATCGGCAGGCTGCGATACATCACTCCATCGGCTTTGGCATCAATGTCGCAGACACAGCCCATTCCACATTAGTCCTGCAGGGATAATGGATACTTATGCCGCGTGTGTTTTTGCTGTTGTTCAGAACGACCTCCCCATACCACCGCCATTCGTTTTGCGGCCGGCCGGGCGCCGCCGCTGTGGCCGCAGTGTCGCTCTCTCCATTACCGCGGCTGAGGTATGGCCCGTGAGCGGCGCCCGGTCAGCCTCTGACGTCACTGGGGCAGTTACCGCCAGGTCAGCCGGGGGAGGGGGTGACGGCTGACCCTGGTGGAACGACCGGGGTATAGGCCTGACCGTCAGCCGCCCCCGCGGTCTCACAAGAGCAGCGGGGTGTCCCCATTTAACACAGTTCCGTGCTCCACTCGTGCATGCAGCGATGGTGTCACTCAACTGTGTCACTCATACCCGGCTGCCTTTCCGTCTCATCAGCCGCGCTCAATGTCACTGACGACTGCCGCCGACTCGCCCCTATGCGCGGCGCTCAATACTGCCTGTGGTCGGTCTGAGAGTGTCCAGGCGCTCCCACGGCACACCATAAATCGCCCGCGGCTCTGACCCGGCCGCCCGGCGCCGCACACACCCCTGAGAACCCTGAATCTGGCGACCGCCGCCGCGACTCTGAGAATTCCTGAGGCGGCGGCGCTGACGCCGGAATATCTGAGGAGCAAGCTGGTGTCGCTCGCTGATGGCTGGAGAGATGTTTTACCAGATTGTCGATTCTGTCCGCATTCTCCCCCCCCCCTTCCCTTTCGTGTTACGGATGTAAAGGTCAGGAAAGGCATACGGTCAGCTCTATTATTGTTACGTGAATATGGAGGCGAGTGGGCTGCATTGTGGTGATGTGATATGCTCGTGAAATATTAGGGCACACGGCTCACGTTTTCAGCGGTAAGATCTGTGGGTTTTGATATTCCACTCCGAGGCGACGAAGCCAGGCTGTTTCAGATGTGAAAGGCTCCAAACTCGGCCGTCCTATGTCCATTAATGTCTGTGCATACAGGGTGTCCCAAAAGTAAGGTCATGATTTAACCCGCGCCCTGCTGGGGGGGGGGTGTTTGAACACCCCCCCCCCCTTGTGGTTTTTCGCGAATATCTCCAAAACGGCGGCGCGGAGCGCCGCCGTTTTTGGTACACCTTATCATACATCAATTCTACACATGTTGTAAAAATTTCAGACCAAGGTCATTCAAGGTCAGGTCACCAGGTCACTTGAAGTGACCTCACCTCATAAAAACTTTCAATGTCTGTCATAGCTACACCGAGTGACCGATCGCTTTGAAACTTTCAGCGATTGCTAAGGGCAATAGCATGTACAAAATGTATATCTCAGAATTTTGATATCGATGACCTAAGGTCAGGTCAATTTTGCGACCTCGCCATTATAAGTCAATGGGAGAAAATTGAAATGCGCCTCTTTTGGATGCAAGACATTATAAACACTCCCAAACACCGAATTACAAGTGTTTTAGACACACTGAACATGAAAATGGTGTCCGTGACCCTTGTTTATGCCCTGAGGTCATCTTAGGTCACGAATGGTATCTAACAGTTTTTCGCAAATAACTTTTGATAGAGGCATGCTAGAGCGATGAAAACGCCTTAGATGTGTTCAGCTCGACGGTACGGATCGACTGATATGCAACATGACCCTTTCCGGTCAGGTCATGACCTTGACCTGAGGTCAAATTTTCAAGTTGACCTTTCAAGGTCAAGTTATAGTTCATTCGATGCGTCTTGACGAGAGGAACACGATGCCGGTAAAAGTAAGCTCGTACAAGGCTTGGGTCAAAAGTTATTGCAGAAAAACTGTTTTCGAAAAAAATCGACTATTTTTGCAGTTTTTGCCCCCTGCAGGCAAAACCGTTGACGTTAGGTCAAATCTGAGAGAATTACTCAGAAAGGGCGTTAATAGGGCTATCGAATGCGCTTTTCCGCGGCGCTGTAGCTCTATTGGTTCCCGAGCTATGCGTTGGCTTCTTAGAAATTTTCGACATTCGACCTGGAAATCGGCGAAATTTTGCCTTCAATGACCTCTGGTGACCTGACCTTTGACCTGACCAAAAAATTGACCGAAGTGATTTCGTCATTATTTTTGACGCTCTTTCGAACGCCGCCTTCCGCGTATCGCTACGTGGCCCAGGAGCCGAGTTACAAGGGGGGGTGTTCAAACACCCCCCCCCCCCAGCAGGGCGTGGAAATCCAGGACCCCCAGCCGGGCGCGGGTTAAAACTTAAATATCTCGAGAAGTAAGAGTCCGAATCACTTCCAATTTTAACACGTGCAAGGTACAGGTCTCGCGGGTTTTAGCGGTAGGTTTTGCACCTATAAAATTTAGTGTACTTCAGGCTCTATCTTCGTCGTCTTAAGCTTTTAAGTGTTGAAGATGCGATCGATTTGTTGGGTAACAAGCCGGCCATGATCGTGTAAAATGGCTGGGGCATTCCACGTCAAATCAAACACCGAAATCCGTCATCCCCTTCGATTTTTCTGAAAATTTGTAGGCAAACTGGGCATGGTTCAAAACTGAGTTACGTATAATATTTTCGAAATTTGATAACGTATCGCTGAGATATAGGTCATCGAATATAGCGAAAAATGTCACACATCAATTTTTTAAATGGCTATAACTCTGGTTCCTTTTCTGGTATCAAAATGATATTAACAGGGTCTTATAGGCAATTGATAAGGCTTTGATTTTTAATCATAAAATAAAATTGAAGTGACCTTGAGATGCATTTGACCTTGAATTAAAACAGAAAAATTTAAATTGCAGAAAACACGTCACCTTCGATTTGGGTAATTTTTACATATTAGTCGCCCGTCACAATGTTCCTAACCATCTGTGAAAAAATTGGAGTGGGCCATTCATAACTTTCGCGGCAAACGCCGTCTTCATGCATCAACATCACGCAACCGCGCGTGACCTTGAAAGACAGATTCAAGACATGCTTGCTTGTGTACACTTTCTGAAATGAATGATTGCTGATTTTAGTGATATCCCAAACTCTGCGAGAATGGAAATGCATAGTCATCGTAGTCAAGCATTCACGTTCCATAGTAAAAGTGTCTCAGGCAAACGGTATTTTGCGGTGAATTTTGAGACGTGTGGAAATGCATCATGAAGTAAATTCAACGAAAACATTATCACGCAACGGTATCTTCACGTCTTTTGATCTTCACTATACG